TCTTGTAACTAACTAGTTGGACATGATCGGTTCTAGTTACGCTGGTTCTATACAAAATCGTTCATAACATATTCTATCAGGCATACTAATACACAATTAACTTCTATATAATAAAAAATACTAGTTTTAAGAGATAATCTCTTAAGTGGTTATGACTCAACCAAAACGTTGTTGGTGTAGCCACAATACTACAAAGTCTATAAGCCAATTTTCGTAGCAATTAGAGCATCTTCAATCTATCTCTATTTTAGAGGAAAAAATAGAGTTTAGAGGAAAATTCTCTCCAATCCACCTCTATTTTTACCTCTAAAATAGAGATTGCTATTTTTCCTTCTATATTTGGAGAAACTCTATTTGTTCCTCTATAATAGAGATGAACTTTTTTATTTATAAACTGGTCCCTTAACTTTTACATCTTTTTATTTTTATTTATATAACAAATACAAAAGTTAAATTAAATATTTGCATAATCTAGTTTGTATATATCCAATAAATAGTTATATATCTAACATATAAATTTAATTAAACTATATAATGTTAAATAACTTTAATAAAGTTTAATAAAATCAACATTATTTCAGACAATAACTATTATAGAAAAACAGAAAATATTATTTACTTTAATTAACTATATAATTTATAAATAATAGTGATTAATCCACGATAAAAAAATGAACATGAATAGTAATATAATATACATGAATAACAATATAGTATACACATGTACAATAATACATCAATAAAGTTACATTATACAGTTTTTGTATGTTATTAAATACAAAAACCCAATAAATAAATAAATTTAATAATTTTTGTTATGGTTTGAGAAAATTTTGTGAACATATAATATAACTAAATTAGAAAATTCTCATTCATTTCAAACTAAATTATAAATAAAATGATAAATTATTTTTTTAAAAATACAGAAAATTATAGAAAATGATAAATACTATATTGATTTAATATTCTGAGAATTTGCTTCCGGATCCACATAGATCATGCAAATATTGATCCAACAGAGTAGATGGAGGAGGATCTTATTGATCTTGATGTTGATCACTTTGCTTTTGTAAAATGCGTGCTTGTTCAGCTTGAATGTATGAACGGATATTTGGATCTTGTATGGAACTCAAATCACAAAATAAAATTTTATTTTCTTCTTTCAGTTCTTTTAAAGCATAATTCTTTTTTTGAATCTCCAAATGATCTTGTCTTTGTGTGCTTGACTTCTTTAATTGCTCCAAAAATTACTTATTTCCTTCTTCTAAGGTGTTGATAACTGTTGTTGTTAGATCAACAAGTTTTATTTTTATTTTGGATTTTGTTTTATGAAATAAATGTTTAATTTTAATATATTTTTATTATTGATGGATATTTTTGTAAATAATAATATAAATGAAGTTAATTTATGAATTTTATGAAAAGAATGTGTTAATAACAAATTATAAAGAGAATATTCTTAAAATATTCTTTTTAAAAGAAAAAATAGAGGAACACATTGGAGAGAAGTACACCTCTATTTTAGAGGAAAAATTAGAAGAACACATTGAAGATGGTCTTAATGTGTATGCTTGTTACTTTTTTATATAGAGAAATCAATACTATATTTAAATACTTTTAATTAATTAATGAAGAGAAAAACCTCTTTAATCCACATCAGCAGACCAATTGTTAAGTTAATATTTCCTTGTGCGGCGATTGGGAAAAGCAAACCTTTTGTATGGATCGTGGGACCACGAAAACTCAACTTTGCTGCCAAGGGCACGATCCGACTGGCTATTTCATAATAGACGCATTTTCCCGACGATTGGTTATAAATTAGACGTTTCATGTTCCTTTTTGTTATGATCACATGTATCGAAAAAAGAAAATTAAATTTTGTTTATTTATGTTTCTTTATCGTATCAACTATCAAGGAACAACAAAATAACCCTTTCTCGCTTTGTAGGTAACATCTTTATATATGTTTTTTATTTAAAAGTAATTATTAAATTTTAATATGTTTACTTTTAAAATTACAAATAGATATTTTGATTATAAATTATTTTTAGTGATGATTATAAATAGGGGTATGAAAACACTCTAATCTCTAAAATTAAAAATACAGATAACATATAGTTAACAGAAAATATAATGACATGATAATAAAGAATTTCATGATTTATGCAAGTTTTAAAAGAAACTAAATAAATTGGTCAATTTGTAAATTTTTAAGAAAATATATAATTAGCAATTAACAATAAAATAGAAAAGAATATACTGGAGTTATTTAATTTGAAATATAAAAATAAAATAAAATAATAGAATGGAAAAATATAACTGCACTGTATGATGAAAAACACAATAATGTATTAGTAATGTCCTAACCATAATTTTCTTTATGGGAGTTTTAGAAGATTTCTTAAAAATGGTTTAGGGAGGTATCATTGAAAAATGACTAAAACATTTTTTTTTTATTGAACTTTTAAATTTTTGTTTCTTAAATGCTCCAAAAATAACCTTACCGAACCATTTTCCTGTCTACTAATTACATACTCTGAAAATCGGCTATTGTTTTTCTGGTATGAATGGATCTATGTAGATTTGTAGCAATTTAGTTCAAACTTTTATTCGATCCATACGTGCAGTTACAAGTTGTTTCCAATTTTTAGATATGAAAAAGTATTGGCGTTATAATAATTACAAAACGATGTCCTTATCGATGTGAATATAATTAATTATAAATGCATGGATAGAAAGAGACATTCGAGTATTCGACATGGAACAATGTATACAGAGAAAGATACGAAAAATCATTTATATAGTGAAACCAGAATCTCATTACTACAAATTAAAATAAAAAGAAAAAAAAAAACTGAAAAGAAGAAAAGTACCTGCAGTGCACATCAGAGAACATGAGATTCTAGTGGGAAATTATAGGTTGCTTTACAAAAAGCAGATCGTTCATGTTTTTTTATTTATATAATTACGTATTTCTTATCTCTGTTTAAAATTTCTATCTTTTTTTTTTTTTTGGTTTAAGGTTAAAATATTATTACCAGAAGCGAACTTACCAATAGTTTGTTACAAAAAAGGGGAGGAGGAACATACTTATAAACTACTTACCAATATTCAAAGAGACTAAACAAGGCAAGACCATTAGAATGGAAGAGAGATACAGCCGAAGTAAATTTCTAGGAGAGAAGAAGTGTTATCCTGCTGCGGTAAGGAGAGTAAACGATCATAGATAGTCCCGTCCACTTGCAATTTCAGGACAGCTGCCGTCGAGGAGATATTCTTGAAGATTCTTGCATTACGCTCTCTCCAGAGAGCATAAACAATAATCTGTAGCATTAACTTGAGGATGATCAATTTCTATCTTAAATTGACATATAAGTTTTTACATTTTTTTTTCAACAATAGACTAAATTGTAAACAAATCCGTCTCACCAAATGTTATGGTACGCTAACCAAAAAAAATGTTATGGTACATGCAATTTTCGAATTGATAAATCATAAATGCACCTTAGAAGTTGACAAATTAGGAAAAAAAGTAAATGTTTAAAGGAATAAAAAATAACGAATATGTCGATTTCATGTTGATGGTTGATCAAGGTTCCAATGCAAAAAGAAAGAAAAGAGCGTATAAACTACGCATCTTAATTTTCTTTGGTTTTTCTTAACTATCATATGAATAAAATTAAGACCTACCTGAACTGTTTATTAGTATTTGTTTTACGACTTACATTATGATTTTAGGTAAATATTGGGGTTTTTTGTTCTGAATTTATAGACAAAGACCAACAAAAAAAAAATTTAGTTTTCCCAAGTTATTCATTTTGGAAAATTTTACTAGTTTATTACTCCATTTTTTATTAACTATTTTAACGTAAACTCAGCGTTTTGTAATGCATGTTAAATTACAAGACAATAAAGTTAAGAATAATAAATTATGTGGCACATAAAGACTGATGAGTTTAAAAAAAAAGTAGAAGAAAAAAATTGTTGAGTTTACAGTTGTACCCCGTTGACTGATGTCGTCACACTTCGCTTCTGTCTCTTGTACGATTCTTAAAGACTTCAGGAGAAAGCTGTAGTGAAAGAGATTTAACCTTCGTTTTATATTATTATCATATTTTAATACAATTATTCGTCGAGTTTATTTAAAACATGCTTTGTAATAATTTTTGAATACCAATTCCTTATTCCAGCGAATGGCATTAAAAGAGTGTCATAGGTGAAATCGAAGATTACTTACTATATAGTATTCAATAGTCTAGTCAAGTTATGTGGGTCCCAATTATGGGTCATGGAGTTGTCAAACTTTTATGGCTTTTTCTTCTTCTCTGGTTTAGTTAATATTTTCCTTGCTAATTTAAAGGGTTTTTTTTTTCGAAAAAACTTTGTATCTAAAATATGTGTAATATTATTATTGTTTGCAAGTTTTTTGGCGGATAAAATTTTTGTGAACTCCACGATTTATCATTAAATTTTGTTTTTAATTTCACCATTAAACTTCACTCTTCAACTGTTTTCAATAAGAATTTGCTAATAAACATTTTAATTCATTTAATTTTGTATGTTGTTTCTTGGAAAAAAATTTTCTGTTGAATTTGTTTTTTTTGTCAACTGTTGAATTTGGTTTAAATGAGTAATAAGAAACTTTTTTTATGTTTACCAAATTGGAAATGAATCTTATATATATTTAAAATCGGCTTCAATTTTGGAAAAAAAAAATATACTCTAAAGAATAGTAGGAGGAATCTTGGAGAGGCAGGGTTTTTCAACTTTTTCTTTTGTACCCAATTACAGAGTTTATACACAAAAGGTATATAATTCGACGAAAGAGGAAAACATATAAAATTAAAAAATAATAAACTGAGAATTAATAAATATCCAAAAGGTAAAGAAGTACGAGTCAAGGGGTAGATTCGGTATTTCAACTCCATCTTCCTCTTTTTTTTTCACATTCCAAAGCCTCCTTGGATTTGGAAGAGATTTTTCGTTTTCTCTGCTTCCTCTTTTTTTTTTTTTTTTTTTTTTTTTTTTCCCGTTTCCTCCGGGAAAATAAACGGCGGCTTCACCAAAAGTCTCCGATTTCGAAACCAGTAAGCAACTTACTACATTGCTCTCAAATCTCAAGTTTCTTCCGCGGGTTTTGCTTTCTTTCTCCAGTTTTCCTTTTAAGGTAATTACGATTCTCGTTTCTGATCACTCTCTCTGATTTCTTATCACGCTTTTTTTTCTTCTTTTGTATCTTTTGATCAATTCTCGTCAGTGAAATCCGATTTTGTTTCACAAAACCTTGTAAGATTTTCGATGATTGTGTAAATTCAACTTCTTTCGTTTATGCATGTTCTTATCAGAAAAATCGAATACTGTTTCAGTTTCCTTCTGGGATCGTCTTGAGTCGGCTAAGTGTTTCGCAGTAAGGTCCTTGTGGGGCTTCTGGGAGAAAGGTTTTTTTGTCTTTTTGGTTTCCCTTGGGTTATGTAAAACTCCATTAGTGGAGGTTTAACTCTGTTTTATTAAGTTTAAGGTTCCAAAGCTAGAAAATTTCAATATTGTGTGTCAAAAGTTGGAGCCTTTTCTTTTGTGTGTGTTTCTGCAATAGTTTTTGCTAAGCTTTGGAATAGAATCTCCTCTATCTGGATTTGAAATATTGTTTTCTGGGTTTTTGCTACATTTCTCTTTGTTATTCAATCAGTGAATCTTCTAGCCTTGTACTATTGTGTTTAAAGTTCTAAAAAGTTACTTTCACTAATGTGTGTTCAAAGTTTGAACCTTTTTGTGTGTTCTGCCAAAAAACATTTTTTTGACTCAAGTTTGAGATGGAATCTCCTCTGTCTAAACTTGTTTTCTCATTCTATCTGTAATTTGATTTAGAATCTCACCTTATTTTTAAATACCATCTTGCTTTTGATAGGCCAGTCACAGATTGTGCTTACAGTTTTGTCCATACCAAAAGTTGTCTGTTTCTCAGTGGCCTATCTTGATCAGAGAGAGAGAGTTGTTTGGTCTTGTCTGATTGGTCAAATGTGAAAGATTAGTTTTTGTTTCATATTCTGCACATTGGATTGATCACTAGAGAGGTTCCTGATATAAAAAAAAACTGATGTTTTTCACTGAAGTGGTTTTTTGTAGTCTTACTGATGATTTCTCTTGTTGTAGGTCACTTTGGAACATGGAGGAAGATCTCGAGGAGCTTCAGTTTCCTATGGGAACTCTAAAATCAATAGGTTTTAGCATTTCAAACAACAAAGATCGAGTAAGTGATCCCCTGAACCTAACTAAAATCTTCCATATATGTTAGTGACTATAGATTAAGCAAAAGACATTTAATGTAATGGTGCTTTGGTTATAGGAGAAGATGTCTGTCATGGAAGTTGAAGCAGCGAATCAAGTGACCGATTCACGGTTAGGTCTCCCGAATCCGGAGTCTACTTGCAGATCATGTGGCAGCAAAGATAGAAAAACTTGTGAAGGTACGTTAATGTTAATGAAACCAAGTTTTCAACGGAAAAAAAATCATCAGAGATCAGCTAATTTAATGATTGGATTCGATGTTGTTTCTTGGTTCTTGTTTAGGACATTTCGGGCTTATTAAGTTCCGGTACCCGATAATCAACCCGTATTTCCTAAATGATATAACTAATTTGTTGAACAAGATCTGCCCTGGATGTAAATACATGCGGAAAAAACAGTCTCAGGTTCAAGAAACTCTCTTAACAAATCTTTATATGGGTTTTTGTGTTAACCATATATAGACTAAGACTTGCCTTTTTGCTTTGTATAGGGTACTGAAGACAGGCCTGAGGGATGTAGATATTGCATTGTAAGAAACAGTTTGATATGAACATTACTAAGTTTGAAAATCTATGTTCTTACAGTGACTTGATTCCTTTTATTTGCCAGTCAAATACTGCTTACCCTCTGATGAAGTTTAGGGTGAGTAATAAAGAAGTCTTTAGGCGATCTGCAATCGTTTGTGAAGTAAGCGAAGAGAATCTGTTGAAACTCAAGAAACGTGGACTATCAGCATTACCTTCTGATTACTGGAGTTTCTTGCCTGAAGACCCGAACATCGACCAAAGCTCTTTGAAACCAGCCAGGCGGATTCTTACGCATCCACAGGTCTAAAAGAGTGAAACTTTTCGTCCAAACACTGAACCTATTCTTGGCTTTTTTTTGTTATCTATAGTTTTCTGACACTTTTCAGCTTCTTTCAGGTTAATTCTTTGTTGTGTGGGATTGATGAGAGGCTCGTCAAGAAAGACATCCCCATGATCGACTCTCTTCCTTTGCTATCTTTTCCAGTTACACCAAACGGTTATCGTGTAACCGAAATGGTTAATCAGTTCACCGGTCCTAAGCTAATCTTTGTAAGTAAAAAGCTTTGATTCTTGCATTGTTGTTGTTCTTCTCTTTGAGTTTGCAGTGTGTGTAAACATGTCTCGTATATACTATGGTTTCTAGGATGAACGGACTCGGATCTACAGGAAGTTAGTTGGCTTCGAAGGAAATGGTCTTGAACTGAGTTCTCGTGTGATCGAGTGCATGCAATATTCAAGAGTAAGCAGTTAGTTTCTTTGATAGAGTAAAACTGTTTCTTGTTTCATCCTCTGTGAAGGAAAAACTGATTCTTGTTTTTTTTTTTTGGCCACAGCTGTTTTCGGAAACTCTGTCTTCGAGTCAAGAATCTGCGAATCCGTACCAGAAGAAGTCGGATACTCCGAAACTATGCGGTCTAAGGTTCATGAAAGACGTCCTGCTCGGTAAAAGAAACGACCACACGTTCCGAACAGTTGTCGTCGGCGACCCGTCTCTGAAGCTTCACGAGATTGGTATACCGAAGAGGATCGCAGAGAGGCTTCAAGTGTCGGAGAATCTCAACAACTGGAACAGAGAGCGTCTCGTCACGTCATGTTTCCACAAGCTGCTCGAGAAAGGAGAGGTTCACGTCAGGAGAGGAGATAGCTTAGTGGCGATCCGAGTAATCGACGACCTACGAAACGGAGACAACATTTTCAGGACTCTGAAAGACGGAGACACGGTGTTGATGAACAGACCGCCTTCGATCCATCAGCATTCGCTTATCGCAATGTCGGTTAAAGTCCTCCCGACCACCTCTGTCGTCTCCTTGAACCCGATCTGTTGCTTGCCGTTTCGCGGTGATTTCGATGGAGATTGTCTTCACGGTTACGTTCCTCAGTCGATTCAAGCGAGAGCTGAGCTTGACGAGCTTGTGGCTTTGGATAAGCAGCTTGTTAACAGACAGAACGGACGAAACTTGCTCTCTTTAGGACAAGACAGCTTGACGGGGGCTTATCTTGTTAATGTGGAGAAAAACCATTGCTTGAACCGAGCTCAGATGCAGCAGCTTCAGATGTACTGTCCTTCGTCTCAGCTTCCTCCTCCTGCGATTATCCGAGCTTCTTCTTCGAGCAGCAAGAGCGAGGCTCAATGGACAGGAATGCAGCTCTTCGGGATGCTGTTCCCTCCCGGGTTCGATTACAGCTACCCTCAGAACGACGTTGTTGTAAGCAACGGAGAGCTTCTGTCTTCCTCTGAAGGCTCTGCTTGGCTCCGGGACGTTGAAGGGAACTTCATTCAGGGTTTGCTGAAACACGACAAAGGGAAAGTTCTTGATATCATCCACTCTGCTCAAGAAATGCTCTCTCAGTGGTTGCTCATGCGAGGACTGAGTGTCTCCTTGGAGGATCTGTACTTCTCATCTGATCCTCAGTCTCGTCAGAACTTGACAGAGGAAGTGAGTTACGGACTGCAAGAAGCTGAACAAGTCTGCAACAAGCAGCAGCTTATGGTTGCATCCCGTAGAGACTTCCTTGCGGTTAACGGAGAAGAAGACGAGAAGGAGGATTTGGCCGCGGATTTGTCCAGGTTCTGCTTCGAGAGACAGAGTTCAGCGGCGCTGAGTAAACTTGCGGTCAGTGCCTTCAAGGATGCGTATAGAGACGTTCAAGCACTGGCTTACAGGTACGGAGATCAGTCAAACTCGTTCTTGATCATGTCGAAGGCCGGAAGCAAAGGAAATATAGGGAAGCTGGTTCAGCACAGCATGTGCATTGGTCTGCAGAATTCGTCTGTTGCGTTGTCCTTCGGGTTCCCTCGAAAGCTGACTTGTGATTCTTGGAACGACCCGAGAAGCCCGCTTCGTGGCGCAATGGGAGATGACAAAACCGTAACCGAGTCCTTTGTTCCATATGGAGTCATCGAGAGCTCGTTTCTCACAGGCTTGAATCCTCTTGAAGCTTTTGTTCATTCAGTGACAAGCCGTGATAGCTCCTTTAGCGGTAATGCTGATCTTCCGGGGACACTTAGCAGGAGACTGATGTTCTTTATGAGAGACATATACGCTGCTTATGACGGGACAGTGAGAAACTCTTTCGGGAACCATTTGGTACAGTTTTCTTATGAGACTAATGATGATGATAATCATCATCCCGGAGAAGATATAACAGGCGAAGCAGTTGGGTCACTCTCTGCTTGTGCTCTCACTGAAGCTGCTTATAGCGCGCTGGACCAACCCGTTAGCCTTCTTGAAACTTCGCCGCTTCTTAATCTTAAGGTTCTCATCTTCTTCTTCTTCCTCTTCTTCTTCTTTTTCTTCCTCTTCTCTCACTTGATCTTTTGCATTTGCCTAACTGTTATGTTTTCTCTTTATGCAGAATGTGTTGGAGTGTGGATCGAAGAAAGGTCAACGAGAACTGACAATGTCTTTGTATTTGTCTGAAAACCTTTCTAAGAAGAAGTACGGATTCGAATATGGGTCACTGGAGATCAAGAACCACTTGGAGAAACTTAGTTTCTCAGAGATTGTTTCTACATCAATGATAATGTTGGTAACTCTTTAACTCTCTCTTTCTCAATCTTCGTTTTATTGCCAATGGCTTCTTCTCTTAACAACTGTTTCCTCGTCTTCTTGGTTAATAGATTTTCTCCGAGCACTAACACAAGGATACCTCTAAGCCCGTGGGTATGCCATTTTCATATCTCCAAGGTACACAAAACTCATACACATACACAAACCTTACATACGTCTATATATGGAAACGTTCTAACGTACCTCTTTTGTAATTCTTACAGAAACTAGTGAAGCAGAAGCAACTGGACGCCGAATCTGTTGTCGATTCATTAAACAAACAGTATATGAGCAGGAAGAAAGAACTCAAGCTTGATCTTCTTGATTTACAAATAGAAACCACGTAAGAAACACTCCTCCTCAAATTTGCAGCGGATAGGTTTTATTTGCCTTCTTTACTAATTTGTTATTACGTTTATGTGTTGTCGATTAGAAACCACTGCTCTTCGGATGATAAAGCAATGGAAGATGATAGATTCTGCATCACAGTCACTGTTGTGGAAGCGTTTCCTTTGGAGCTCGAAGCTATTCAACTCGTCTTGATCCCTTTCCTTCTCGACTCTACTGTCAAAGGTAAGAACCGGAACTAAACAAGAATATGGAACAGTTCTTGTTTTGTTATTACTGTTCTTACGAGCTCTCTCTATCATCTGTTCTTGCAGGCTACCAAGAGATTAAAAAGGTGGATATCTTATGGGTTGATAGACCAAAAGCGCCGAAAAAGACCGGGAATGATTTGGCCGGTGAGCTTTTCTTGAAGGTGACAATGTTCGGAGATCGAGGCAAGAAGAACCGTTGGAGTTCTCTTCTTGAGACCTGTCTTCCCGTTATGGATATGATCGATTGGACCCGAAGCCATCCTGATAACATCCGTCAATGCTGCTCGGTTTATGGAATAGACGCCGGTCGAAGCATTTTCCTAGCGGTTAGTACACTCCGGTTTCTGTTTACATTTCACTGGTCTCTGCAGCTTTCTAAAGCTTAAGACTTTCTTTTGGTTGGTCGCAGAATCTTGAGTCTGCTGTGTCTGATACCGGTAAGACGATACTAAGGGAACATCTGCTTCTTGTAGCTGATTGTCTCTCTGTTACCGGAGAGTTTGTGGCACTAAACGCTAAAGGTTGGGGTAAGCAAAGACAGGTCGAGTCCACTCCTGCTCCCTTCACTCAAGCATGCTTCTCGGTATATGTTTAACTAAAATCCCATTTCTTGATTTTTACCAAAGTTTAGATTGGATTTGGTTTGAGTTTTGGCACATATCTCTACAGAGCCCAAGTCAATGCTTTATCAAAGCTGCTAAGGAAGGTGTAAGAGACGAGCTTCAAGGATCCATAGACGCGTTAGCTTGGGGAAAAGTTCCTTCTTTTGGGACCGGAGATCAGTTCGAAATCATCATTTCTCCAAAGGTTAAAACAACAAACTTTTAGTGATCATTTCGTTACTTGAAGAAGTACAAATCTTTGGTGGTCTGATTAGTGGTTCTTTCTCCCCCGTTTCATCAGAAACATGGGTTTAGTACACCCGTGGATGTGTATGACCTTTTGAGTAGTACAGCGACGCTTTCAGAGACAGGAGAGACGACGTTGCGTGCAACGAACTCTTTGCCCAAATCAGACAAGTTCACGGTCCAGCCATTACGCTTGCTCGATACCGCTCTCTCCAAAACAATCAAGATACTCGACGGGAAAGGACTCACCAGGTCGCATCTAAGAAAGGTCTTAACATGGGACAACATCGTGGAGCTGTCTCGGTCACTGAAAATCATACTCTACAAGTAAGGAAACAAAAAAAAAACAAAACTTTCTTTGATTTTGGAAGTTTTTGCTCCAAGAACAGTTAAAGATTCATCCTTTTTTATGTTTAGATACGAGATCGATGCTCAGTTGAATGAGAAGGATGGTAATCTCGTGATGATGGCTCTACTCTTCCACCCAAACGGAGCTGAGAAAATAGGACCAGGCTTCAAAGGAATTAAGGTAAAAAAAATCATTTGAAAAGACAAAAAATCATTTGCAAGACAAGATCTTGATCCGGTTTTCTCTTATAGGTGGCTAATTCTAAGCACGATGTTAGCCGTTGCTTTGAGGTTGTAAGAACAGATGGAACAACAGAAGATTTCTCTTACCACAAGTGTGTATTGGGAGCAACAGAGATCATTGCCCCTGGGAAAGTGAACTTCTACAAGTCCAAGTATCTCCAACGCCGTACGGTCCAACCCGGTACGGACCAAGAAAACCCGAAAGCTGTTAAATAAAAAGAAGCAAAAAACTGTTTTTTTTTGTCGATATAATAATATCGAACAATGTAAGAAGGTGTTTGTTTGTGTTTTGTTAAAAAAAGGAAAGTGATAGATAGAAAGGTAGATATAGAGGAAAAGCTTTTTTAGCTTTGCTCTAAGCTTCTTTTTGCTTCTTTTACTATGTGATACCTTTGCCTTAAACCCTCAAAAGGCTTAAAGGTTAATTACGTAGTGGAAGCAGCAACGAGAAGCTGGCAAAGAGGGCTTCTGTTCTGTTTCTTGTTTCTTGCTCTGGTTCTTGTGTCTCTGTTTGTCTGTAAAACTATGGAGTTTCCGGTTTAACTATGAATGTTCCGGTTCTGTTTTTATTCTTTCTTTAACCGGGTTTTCGTGCAATTGTTATATGATTCCTCATAATATCTTTCGTTCTCCTCAGAAGAGATGAGATTTTCTTTGTTTATCAAAACTTATTATTTCTCAGGGCATGCTCTGCTTTTTTCCTGGTTAAGATCGGTTCTCAAACAATTTTGTTAATGATCATTCAGTCTGAAAATTTTGTAACATGGGTTTTAATTACTTAGCCCTATCCTGAAAGAGAAAGTTTTGAATATCAATTTACACAGAAATGCTATAGATATTGATTCGGAAACAATCAACAACGACATCATCTTTTTGGACTTCAAAATTTAAAGTTTACAAATTTATATATATGAGTCATTGTTACATTATTATAACACATTTTTAGCAAACTTTGACATGAACTTCTTCATTCTACAAAAAAAAAACAAAACTGGTTGTTTTTGTGATCCTCTTCATTAGTTACCATTCATTGTATTGTGACTATGTAATTTTTCAGTTTATGGAAGTTTATCTTGTGAGAAAAAATGTAAATTTGACTAAATTCAATTCACTTTAGAATAACTCCACATGCTGGTGTTTTTCTCTTTATAGCAAACCACACTTGCATTATTTTCTTCTTTATAGCAAAAACATGTGGTTGATAACTGTATTCTTATTTTTATTGATGATTGATTGATTGTGATAAGTTTTGTTTAATTTGACTATTGTTATCATAGTATATAGTTGTCTTATACTGATTAAATTTTTATTAAATATATTTAAACTTATCACTGTATTTTTCAATCAAGCAATAACTTTTTAATATAAATTTTCTAATTTTTTTGTTTGAAATGGAGATATTGAAATTTTGTTTTGAGGTAATATCGATCTCAATCACAAGGTATGCCAAACACATGTAACACTTATTATACATTACATCCATATAGCAATATAAATTATATATTTATATATTTGAAACTGATGAAATGGTGGATATTAAAATATTTGAAACTGATGAAATCGTGGATATAAATATCATAAAACAGTGATGATTCAGATTTTGGAAATCGCCTTAAGCTTCTAGAAAATTGCATATTGTCATTTACTCATACTCTCTTACACTTTTTTTTGTTAAAGACAATTGTACCAATAGAATATAGAAATAAAAAGCTAAAACATAAAATTTTTAAAAACAAGTAAAAATCCTAAAATACTCTCTTACACAGGTCCACAACTGCACTAACTATTCTAATGGATATTATGAATTGTTTTTCGTTTGTCTTATTTTATCTTTCACCTCCAACTTTTTTGTTTTTTATACATTATATTTTCGGCCGATCATTAGATTGCTTAAGATTGTATAGAGCCACATGTCTTGAACCCACAATGTCACTACTAATCTAACGCGTTTTCTTTCTCTTCTTCTTCTATCAGAGAACCTTAGCAAATCAAAAGGTAAGCTATAATCGTGATGACCAATGAAATGTGAACACGTGATGAGCTGACATTTTGAATGCAACTAACTTGCCATGTTTTACCAAAGATAATATACTAAAACTATAATTAAATCAGGAGAAAATCTGACACCATGCAAAAATCATAGACGTGTATTATTAAATACAGAGAGAATGGGAAACACATGCAGCGAGGTTTATTTTTGAATAAGAAATATAAATAGACTAAAAAGAATTCAGTTTCGACCACACAAAGTAGTAGAGTAATCATTTTTGAATAATTTTTTTAAAATATGTGTCCTCTCTTGAAAAACGAGTATCATATTGTAGGTAACTTGTGTACAGAAAGCATTGTAGACACATTATGTGTCTGCGTTAGAAATTTCTTTTTATTTTTTTTTGTCGGCGTGTAAATCATAATCTCTTTATATTATGCATTACATGTGTCATCTAATTAACTGTTAAATATTCCAACTAAAACTGTGTCGCTTTCTGTTTCTCTCCTTAATTTATATAAAGATCAAAAATACAAATTGGATACGAACACACATGAGTCCATGTCATGTTCCTTTACATGCAATACTAAAAAAGTAAAGACAAATTGAATACGGACACATATATACGTACACACACCATAAGTAAGTGCAAATACTTTACTTTTTTGTGTTTTATTAAACGATTTTTCGAATTATAATGCATAAGTAATTAGATCACGTTATTCTGAAGTCAAGGAAAAAAGATGTTATAATGAGTAAGTTGCAATTTTTTAAATTTGTTCTAAATATAATAGTTCAGTTTATATGCTTAATAAGTAGTATATAGACCACGCTATTCTGAAGTCAAAGAAAAAAAAAAGTTTTTATTTGCTGTCAAGAAAACAAAAGAAACAATAATATATACTGTATTATTATTTACAGAAAGTTGTAAATACTTTATTTTCTTTATTAGTTATAATATTCCGGAATATACGCCTACTAACTAAAAAAAAAGATGACATTACTTTGAATGAAGTCAAAAAAAAAATCACGTAATTATATATAACGATATGGTATGATTTCATAAATACTTTATTTCAGTTTAATCCAATAATTTCAGCCATTAGTCCGAGGAAATCCCCTAAAGTTTCACGTAATCACGCAAAAGCCCCATATGTTTCAAATAATCACGCAAAAGCCCCTTTGTTTATAAGAAAAGTGCCAATTAATTACTTTCAGCAGTCAGAATTTGATAATTCCGTCGTCTCTTCCATCAATGATTGGGTCCGAGTAAACTAAATGCAAATGGATGGCCACATGATGATCACATTGCTCGTTATATAGTCACAGCAATTAGTTTCTACACGAGCTCGAGACTCTCTCTTGATTTCCCCTTCTTCTTATCTTTATCGATTTCTCCGCCTTTCTGGGTCTTATCACAAGAATCGAAAGACTTCTGGGTTTGTAATTGGTTCTCTCAGATCTTTTCGTTGATTTTAACTCATAAAAGAATGACCTTTTGATCCAAATTTGTTGTTTTTTCAGGGTTAATTCTCGTTGATGGTCATCTAAATCTCAAAATCAGGAAGAAAAAAACAGATTCAGGGTTTCGATCAAGTTTCCTTCTTTAGGTATTGAATTTTTCTTCGTCTTTTTCGTTTGCAAAGTTGAAAAGAGAATCTAAGGGACGCCATGGTAGAAAAAGTTTAAAACTTTTTGGCGTTTCTCATATGTTTGAAAGGTGTGGAATTTTTTTCCCAACAGGCAAAAACAATTTGTTGTGCCTACTTAAAGCAAGTTGGTTTGGCTTCTTTATATAAATCATTTTAATCATTGAAGCCACTAATTTGTTTATTTATCTATTTATGTATGTGTAGTGTCGACCTTCCTTCATGCTAAGCTCGTGTGTTCTGATCCCTTTGCAGTATTTTAATCTTTTATTTTGTTTTTTCCAGAGATTTTGATCTGTATAAGATCTAAGGCGAAGCACCAGCTTTTGTATCGAAGAAGAGACCAAAAGGAGAACCTGAAGAAGAACGAGGATATATATACTCAGGTAGAAACATTGTATATATCTCTGATTTGGCTTTTGAACAAAGCATCTTGTGATGAATTGAAATGCAAGACTCTGAAGTATAAGTAAGCTGACTTTTTGCTGATTTTGTGTTGTGAAAGTTATAAAATAAGCTGAATTTTGATTGTTTCTTCAAAAATATTTGATTTGATTTGGTTTTTTTTTTTATTGTCCTCTGTGGTTTTTGCGTGATTGTCTCATTTGAGCACATGGCTTGTAGAGATAGCCAGCTTCCTCTAGCCGCTGACTTTCTTTGTATGTAAATTAAAAAACAAAGAAAAGTGCTAACTGGAAATTTTCTTGCTTTGGTTTCTGTAATTGTAATTAGTATTGTGCTTGAGCACTAATCAGATGGTCAGGAATTCAAAAACCCATTCGAGAGGGTTTATTCCATTTAGATGCTTAATGATCTGTTCGTGCTTGAGTCAAACTGTATTTATTTTCCTTGACACTTTCTTTCATTTCCTAAAACAGCTATTGCGGATCAATCCCCTGAATCTGCTCTGTGGCTATGTCTCTTGAAATCTATTATTCATAGCTCTGTTTGTGACTGCCTGATTACTCACTGTAAAATGTGAAATCGTTTGTGTAACGATCGTGTTTTGTGAAACTTCGTTATCTCCATTGAGTAAGGCTTGTTGTGTGGATTGGTTGATTTGAAATCTCAATGCAAGAGCTTGAATGTTATTGGAAACGTTCGTTCCTCTCCATTCCATATTAGGATTTAAAAATTGTTGACTTTGAATAATATTATTATCTATTTTGTATTAAATTCTTTTTCGGTATGCCACAAAACCCATTCTCTGTATGCTTCATCAAGTTGACAAAAAGCAAAATCTTTATATATAGGTGATATGAGGGTGTTCTGATTTCCACATTCTTCTCAGGCTCTTATCTAAAATTTTCTGTCTGCTATATGCGATAAAAAGATGGTGGCTTTTGGGAAATATTTGCAGCGGAAACAAATTGAAGAATGGAGCGGGTATGCATTTGCTTATGACATTCTCGGCTTTAAACTTTGATTTTCTCTTCTGGTTTTGGTTGCTAATGGAGTTCTGCTGATTCCATTGTAGCTATTATATCAATTACAAATTGATGAAGAAGAAAGTGAAGCAATATGCTGAACAAATCCAAGTCGGATCTCAACATCCTCGCCATGTTCTCAAAGATTTCTCGAGGATGCTCGATACTCAGGTATGTTGTAGACAATTGTCAAGAGGATTTTGTTTGAGTACTACACTTGCTGAATTGTTATTGTGAGTTAAGTATGGCTTTCATAGGAGTAATCATAGTCCGGTGTTTGTCATTGTTTCTGTTTATTAGATGAAACATTTAAGAAAATAAACATTCTAATGATCAGATGCAACTCCTTAATTATGTCGAATTGATTGAGATATTGAAAGCGAATCATCGTTTTTTGCAGATCGAGAAAACTGTTCTTTTCATGTTGGAACAACAAGGGTTGCTTTCAGGGAGATTAGCCACTTTGAGGGAAACGCATGATGCTATACTCGAGCAGCCTGACATATCAAGAATTGTCGAGCTACGAGAATCATACAGAGATGTTGGACGAGATCTTCTACAGCTTCTGGTATTCGTTGAGTTGAACGCCATTGGTCTGCGCAAGATACTTAAGAAATTCGACAAACGGTTTGGCTATAGATTCGCTGACTATTACGTCAAAACCCGTGCTGATCATCCTTACTCACAGCTTCAGCAAGTCTTTAAGCATGTGGTAAATAAATTTTTCTTACCGCTGTTTCATTGGTTCCCTCTAATAGGCTCTTTTTGTTAGGAGTCTTGAATGTTTTGTTTATGGAATTTGTAGGGTGTAGGAGCTGTTGTTGGGGCAATTTCCCGCAATCTTCATGAGCTTCAAGAAAACGAAGGAAGCTTTTATTCAATCTATGACCAACCTGTTCTTCCTCTTCAGGTACTACATATCATATATATCAAAATCAATATCCTCTATGTAGCTCTCGTAAATCCTAAGCCTTTGCTTTTATACTTTGCAGGATCCAGTGGTTGAGGCATTGAAAACCGCAGTGGACAAGTTAACCCACTCGACGAATTTCCTCAACTTCTTGGCCCAGCATGCCCTCATCATGCAAGATGATTTGCAGACTCCTTCAGAGGATACCATTGATGAACGGACTTACCATTTTAATTCGTTACTCCTGAATTTAGGAAACACATTTTTGTACATGGTTAACACATATATCATTGTCCCTACTGCTGATGACTATTCGATGAGCCTTGGAGCTGCAGCTACAGTTTGTGGTGTTGTCATTGGATCTATGGCCGTGGCTCAAGTTTTCTCGTCGGTTTATTTCAGCGCTTGGTCCAACAAGTCTTACTTCAAACCTCTTGTGTTTAGTAGTATCGCTCTCTTCATCGGAAACTTGATGTATGCGTTGGCTTATGATGCCAATTCCATTGCTCTTCTCTTACTCGGCCGTCTCTGTTGTGGGTAAGTTAAAAGTTAAGTTCCAATGAATCTGTGTGAAAAGAGGAAACCTTTTCTTCAACAACTTGTTATAACCCTTTGACTTTGCAGGTTGGGATCAGCAAGAGCTGTGAACCGGAGATATATCAGTGATTGTGTGCCTTTAAGAATCCGGATGCAGGCATCAGCAGGGTTTGTGAGTGCTAGTGCTCTTGGAATGGCTTGTGGTCCTGCACTTGCCGGTTTACTCCAGATCAAATTCAAGATCTACAAGTTGACTTTTAACCAGTCTACTTTGCCTGGGTGGGTTATGGCTGTGGCTTGGTTGTTCTATTTGGTATGGCTATGCATTTCATTCAGAGAGCCGTTGCGTGACACAGAGGAACAAGAGGAGCAAGAACGAAGCAATCCAAATGAGACAACATCAAGTAATTTGCTTTTGTAGATTTTTGAATGTAACGCTGTTCCTTTTCTGATTGAAACGAGTTTTGATTGGATTCTTGAATGATGCAGTGACAGATAGAGAAGACAATATCAGAGTCGAGGAAGGTCTTCGAAAACCTTTGCTGATTACTTCAGGAATAAAGCTGGAAGAAGATGAAGAGGAATGCGACGAAAGTGAAGAGTCTCCAGAAGACTCTCGCAGACCTGCAAATTCTTTTGGTGATGCATACAGACTTCTTACTCCATCTGTTAAGGTACCATCATCAGTTTTACGTAACCATTCTGATAAATACATGATTATGATGGTCTTGATTCGCGATAGAAGAATTCTTGGAATATTAGAAGTTCATCTGACTGAGATCTCTGTTCTGTTGTACGGTTTTGGTCTTCAGGTTCAACTGTTGATCTACTTCATGCTCAAATACGCGATGGAGATATTACTGTCGGAGTCTAGTGTCATCACTTCATACTATTTTAGTTGGACAACAAGCTCCGTTGCCATCTTCCTCGCGTGCCTTGGCCTCACGGTGCTACCGATCAACATTCTCGTCGGAAGTTACATCAGTAATATGTTTGAAGACAGGTAAATTAATCTTCGAATCCGAACTCATACCAAACCAAAAGCATTATTCGTTGATCTTAAAAGCTTGATCCTTTTGTTATACTTAATGATTGAACTCCTTAGAAAGCTTGAATCTTTTGGCATTTAATCTGAAGATTTAGATGTTTCTTTCATATTAAGCTTGAGTTTTTGCAACCTTGATGGTTCTTTTGGTGACTGATATGTGATCGTCTCTATTTGCAGGCAAATCCTATTGACATCTGAGATCATCGTCTTTATCGGGATTCTCTTCAGTTTTAACTTGTTTGTTCCCTACACCGTACCACAATACGTAATCTCTGGTCTCGTTATGTTCGTTGCTGCTGAAGTACTTGAAGGTAAGTAAACAACACTCTGTTTTCTTTTTCTTCTTCTTCTTCTTTAAAAACCAACTGTTTTTAACGGTTTTTGTTCTCTCTAGGTGTGAATCTATCGTTGTTATCACGAGTAATGTCATCGAGGCTATCAAAGGGAACGTACAACGGAGGATTGCTATCAACAGAAGCTGGAACGTTGGCTCGTGTTGTGGCGGATGCAACCATTACATTGGGAGGATACTTGGGAAGAGGCCATCTCTTGAATGCAACTCTTCTACCATCACTTGTCATCTGTATTGGCTCCATTGTTGCTACTTGTTGTACTTATAACTCTCTCTACTGATTTTAGTGGGTTTTTTTTTTTTTTTGCTGCCAATTTTTACACATTGTAGAATAAAAAGAAACTGTGTGTAATGATCCTTTCTCTTTTATCTGATTATTTGTTGTCTCTCACCAAGGTTCCAATTTCCAATGGGTGCATATGTGTTTATATATACGTATATATATGTGTATGTATGTATGTATGTATACGAGGAACATCAAAATCCTCCATTTGTTAGAAAACCTTGTTCCTGTTTTTGTGAGCTTTTATTGTGAATTACAATTTTGTTTTTTGGTCTTCTTTGTGTAAGTACTTCAACTTGTTTACCATATTGTTTGCCAAGTAAGAATAAAAGCTCACGGTGCAATTTTTTCACCAAGAGATATTGTTATGTAAACATGAAACTATGGAAATAAAAGATTGAATATGATAAGATGGAAAATAAAATTGGAATATGACAGAGGATTGTACCATGTTCTGTTAGTAATGGAGAATCTCCCTTCATCGTTTAAATTCGTAACAAAAAAAAAACATTTAAGTAAACAAACCATTACTAAATTGTAAATTTCATGAATTGTTTATAATATAATAAAATTGTTTGGACTTTGGGTTGTCTTTAATGGCTGCCTTCAGGGTTTAACCTTTATTGGTTAAATATTTCGAATTTCATCAATATAGCTTTACTTTTTTTATTCTATACGAAATGACATTCTAGATTTTTAAAAAATAGCAATGGTTTTATGTAAGAATTTATCTAGAAATTCATATATGGCTACTGGAAGATTTACTTTTTGTTTGGATTAGTCACGTAAATGACCGGTTAGTCGAAAATGTTATATACAGAAATGCAATAAGATAAGTGAAAACAATCATAACGTATGAAAAGAGGAATAATTATTTTTTGAACAGGAATATTCCATTTATTATCTGACTATGAACTTAGACTCTATAAAGTAAAAAGATAATTATTCGAATTAATTTATTTTTCAAATCGAGAAATAATTTATTTTGGACTGAAAAGCTATTCTTGTTCATTAAAAGTAACCATGGCACAACTAGAGAATATCCAACGGCATATGCTATTGCTCTATATCGCATAAATATACACATATATTCATGGTAACTTTTATCCTCGCTTAAACTTGCAAAACAACTGAAAATTAGAATAGAAATGAAAAGTTTTTAAAATGTAGAATTTAATCTTAATTCGTTTTATTGTACCAATGTGTTAGTTATGGTGTTTAATTGAACCGAACCGAATCACAAAAATGCATCATATAATATATAAAAATTGATGGTATAGTACACTGAGAACATCTACATGGAATTAAAAAACTCGATCTGATTGGCTCACATCAGCATATTCATTAAATAAAAATGTTAAGTATGATTAGGACGTAAAAACTTGATTTAATTGGTCCACATCAGTTTTTAAATCAAACCAAAATTATTAAGTATAATTAAAATATTAAAAGTTAATTTAACAAATTATATCCAACAAAAAAAATAAATTCAATCTGATTGATCTAAATCAACATATTTATTAAATCAGAAAATGTTAATATGGTTTAAAATTTTAAAAGTTAAATAAAATTTTAAAATTTAATGATTAACAATACATGTATAAAAAAAAGTAACCATTATCAATTATCAATTTAAAAATCTACAACAACTCGATTTAACAATTAAAACAATGAAAACTGAATAAAAATATAACATAAAACTCTTGGAAGACATGATTGAGAAGTAAAAAAATGGTTTTGCATCATTACAGCTTTCTAACAAAATTAAATGTGAATCAACATGAATCATGAATTACATATGAAGTGGTACACAACATCAATAAAACTTTCAATAAAAAACTAAATATTTGAACACATAAATGGAACTTTCAAGAAAATAAGAACTATAGAAATTATATGGAAAACAAAAAATAATATCAAAATCTTAGCAAGATTATATTTCTTTAAATCAAATGTATATGTACGTCAAAGTTGGATAATTCGATAGGTGTTATTGTTATTATTTTACCTAATAATTTTTTTAAATTTATAAATAAAAATAAGATAAATTACACATTATATATTAAATTTTCTTATATAAGTAAAAATTTCTATAAATATATTATATTTTAATAATTTTAAAGATAGTACCTAAAAAAAATTAAATCAAAATATTAATACAGATTCGCGCGTAGCGCGAGTTATATACCTAATCAACTAAAAACTTTATCCTTTTTCAAAATATATCTTATTGACACAGATATTTTGTCAAAAACTAGAGCCTGAACCAAAACCTAAAGTAGTACTAGTATTTAACAAAAGCACAAAACGAATAATTAAATTTCGAAACCAAACCAAAGTTAATTTCTTTCAATACTAAATTCGAAGTAATTTTCAAATTTCTCACCCTTCATATTCCTTTTGTATTCTCACCTCATTTTGTTCTGACAAAAAGCTGCAAAAACAGATTTCCAGCATTATAAATCACACATATATTATATATTCATATAGTAGAAAAATCTGATATTCCTTGTCGAAAATGCCTTATCTGAATACCTTGTCGAAAAATCTGATATTCCACACACATATTACATATATATACACACACACCACTTCATGGATCTTATGGAGATGAAGATGAACATGTAAGCTCACTAGTTCCAGGGCTTCTCACTATTGGCAGGTCCCTTATTTCCACATACACACACACATATTATATATTCATATTATCTTATATTTATATCAAACTTTGCCTATGATGGAGTTAAAAATGACCTGCCAAAGGAGAGTTGCCCTGCAACTGGTTTAGTTTAGTTAAACACTTGTGAGAAAGGAGAAACCAAAGGTATTATTAACTCTTTTTTGTCTTTCAACATTGTAATATATGTGTTGATCTATCTAGATACAATGTTATGGTTAGATTATTATCAGTTAACTATTGGTCTCAAGACTTAATATTTACGAAAATCTATTATTTCCACAAGAAAAAAAGGTCTTTTAATATGATCTCATTGCATTATTGTTGTTATTGTCTCATATTTTGAAACTGATGAGACTAAGAAGTGAATACATATGTAGATTTTTTTATAAGCAATTCTCAATTAGATTTCAGTGAAAAGGTCATTTTAATAGTCATAAGAATCTGGCATGGTATATAGTCACATGCATGATCACATCCAAACACACATAATTTTGGTGCAAGAACTTGAAGATATTGGAGAATGTGATGTGTTGTGATTTGTGACATGTGGGTTTTGCATTCAATATATAACTAAGTTGTTTGTTAAGTTTTTTACCTCGTCTTAGGTATGCACAAGAGAGGCTTGCCTGCGAGAACTAAAAACAAACGCTCCTGCAAAATTTGATAGTTTCATTTTTCTTTCACCGTAAAATTAGTCGCTAGTTAAAATGATTGATCAAAATGGTTAATTCTGTAGCTTTGTGTTCTTTGTTAAATCAAGTACTCTTATAATTTTACTAGCCACATATAGTTTTCTGTTGATGCGTACAACTTTGATGATTTTGTGGCTTTCATGAGGGGGACATAGATAAAATGGCTATAAATGCTCAAGCTCGAGATTTTCAAAACTTTGGATCACATGCAATAATAGAGAGACCTTGAATATCAATTTTGGAACCCTTTTTTTAACTAGAAGTTGTTTTCTAGTATAGGTTTTGTTAGTGAATGTTATTTTTTGCTGAGATCATAATGATGAATATACAAAATGAAGGTCTGTCCAGTAGCCGTCTTAGCTCAGTGGTAGAGCGCGTGACTTTTAATCCCGTGGCCGTGGGTTCGATCCCCACAGACGGCGTCTTAGTCTATTTTTTTCAACAAAAAATGAGAGGGAAAACTAGTGAAACGCACAGGAATTTTGAATAAAAGATTGTAGTTTCATTTGGGAAAAAATGTTCATTGAAGTTTTTGTTCAAATGATCCCATTTCTAAAAATTTAACCTTTAGTCGTTACTTAGTTCGAATCTCTTTGTTCATCAGTTTTTGCCGGAGAAATTGAAGTTGATGAATCATATAGATACGGTGTGCAAAGGATTTCGTCACCGATAAGAATCACATTTGTTTGTTGTCGCCGGGAACGTATTGTCTCGTTGAGATTGACTCTAAGTACCGTCGTTTCTACTCCAAAGTCGCCGGAGATCGTATGATCTCATCGGAGAAGGGTTTGGTCGGAAACAGAAGTACCCATTTGGCAATTTTGAATCAAATAAATGTTAGTATATGTGTAATGAACTTAAAAATTTATATTCATCCATTTCAAAATATAAAATATTTCATTTTTTTTTCCACGATATAAAATATTTTCACATTTTTATGCAAACTTTAACTTTAGTGGCTATTGTGTGACTAATTTATTTATTGATTTCTTTCATAATGTATTAAGTTATTTTTAACGGAAATTAGCTATATTTTGAATAACCATTTAATACTGAAAAGTGAAAACACAACCCCATCTACATCAACAAGAAAGTATTTAATGGATGATTAGAGTGATTGAGTGAGAAATCTTAAATTAATACCCAATAAGTGTCGTTGACCAAACAAGATTAATACTCAATAACTTTATGGCTGATTGCAAAAAAAGAGAGGAAATAATGCAAATGGTACATTTTTATTTGTAATCAAAAAAGTTTATTTTAAAAATACAACAACAACATCTCGACAATTCAAGAAAAAAAATACAAAAACACAACAATTTCTTTTCCAACCATAAACCCTTAGAAAGAGACACTTTTATAAAAAAAACTCAAACTTTTCTTTTCCTTTCGATTTTTTAGAACCGTTACCTTTTGGAAAAAAAAAACATTTCAAGCCTTCTTGTTCGGCTCAAAGACGAACTTGATGAGAGACTCTTTGATAGACATCATCTCAGGGAACTCAGTCTTCAACTTAGTGGCGTCGAGCTCGTTGTTACTCCTTGGAGCCACAATCACTTTAGCTTGTTCCTCCAACGTGAAGTTCTTCCAAGTAAAACTCGGGTCGATGTACTCTCTGTACATCTCCAAGATCTCGTTGTGGCTCACCACACCAGGGTTCGTGAAGTTGTAGATCCCTGTTAAGTTCCTCTTCGCCATCTCGATCGATATCGGGAGGAGCTCGTCGAGGATCGTCATCGAGTTTGGGATGTCCACAACTTTCTCATACCGAGCGATCTTCGTGATGAAGTTCCTCGGGTTCGATAGATCCGAAGAGATGGGCATTCGAACTCTTAGCGTGCATACGTTCTCATAGTTCTTGAGCAGCTCCTCCACCTAGTTTTTTTTTTTTTTCCAAGATCCAAAATCAGATTCCAACAATCAAGAAACAAGCTCATGATATGATGATGATGATGATAATCTCAGAAGATGAAACATTGAACTAATCTACATTTCATTCTGAAACATTTTGAAAGCTACTTCAAGATCTAAGACCTAAGCAATCAAGAATCGGATTTGAATTTGAAGAAACTCTCAAGAAACTGAAACATTTCAACTCAAGCAATTTGGGAGCAAATCGAACATTTGAAACCTAATCAATCATGCGAATCGGAACTTATCCAGCTATAAAACTTAGATTTTTCCTGTGAAGATTTCAAATTTCATCCTCTAGAGAAAGCTAATTAAAGAAAAGGGGTCGAATCTGAAGAATTTTTTAAATGAAGGGATTGAAAATGTAATATCGAAACTCTCACCATAGCTTTGGTTTTGGAGTAGAAGGATCCGGTGAAATTAGGAGTGTCCTCCTCCTTGAATCCGATACCCGACCCGAGAGTATGACCCGAATCGTACTCGAAAATGCAGCCCGTCGCGTAATTGATCAGAACGAGTCCTTTCTCCCTGCAAATGTCGGCGAGGGTCAGGGTTCCGGCGACGTTCGTGCGGATGGTCTCGACCTTGTGGGATTCGCACCAGTCGACATTGGGACGTCCGGTGACTCCGGCGGCGTTGAACACGTGGCTAGGCTTCACGGTCTCGATGTCGGCGACGATCGACTGACGATCCTGGAGCCGACCGGAGCCGTAAGTGTAGGAGATTCCCTGAGATTCGCAGAGCTTGCCGAGTAAACCGCCGATCCATCCGGTTCGGCCGTAAATTAGGAAGTTGAATGATCCGTTTGCCTCCGCACCCATATTTTTTTTCTTTTTCTTTTGTCGGTGATCGGAGATTCCGCCGGAGAGAAGGATATATAAAAGAGAAATGGATCTGAGTGGTGGGAGAAGAATAAGAGACGTTTTGTGATCGGTAATGCTTATTTTTATCCCAATTTTTCGGGGAGAAAAATATTTGATTTTACCACCCTATGTTTTCTATTTTCACATTTATGACCCCTAAGTAATTTTTTATGTTCAATTTAAATTTGAGATAATTTTTGAAATAACCCACTTAACTATTTTATTATAAAACATGATCTTATCTAAAATGACCAATAAGAAATGTTCACGAGTTTGCTTTCAATTTGCTATTAGTCTGTTAGTAATTTGCAATTAATTTATCATTAGTCTGTTAGTAGTTTACATTCAATTATTTGATTAATCAATTTGTTTGAAGTTAATTTTCTATTAGTTTGTCACTAGTTTACAAATAATAGTACTTAGAAAGGTAGCTGATATTTATAAAAATTATAAAAATATTATTTTCACAGTTTTCCTTCAATAGGGTATCCATATCACATAATTTTATTATTTTTGATCATTTTAGAGCATTCTCTCTTTAAAAATTTGGATGTACAAAAAAGTTATAAAAATCAAATGAATTTTTGGTTTGGTTTTATTGAAAAATCAACTCAGTTTAAATTTATTATTTTAACAAAAAGTTAATATTTGTTAAATATGCCTTATATAATTATATATATATATATATTATGTGATATTTTAAAATCTTAGTTAATATTTTTTATTTTTATTTTCTATTGAAATATAAAATATTTCCTATTTAATTTATCGTTATTATTTATTTTCAAATGCATAATTAATAATATACAAATAAAACATATTCAATACTATATTAATCATAATTGAACATAAAAATATTTTATAGTCTGTACGATGCAAACTGATTACCTAGTATAATTAAATATATTAACCTCTAATAAATTTAGTTAATATATATAATTTGGACTCATATTTATTGGGGTGGTGTTGATAAAACAAATAATCAGGGAGTTGTTCTCTCTTTTTGGGTAAAATATGATGGCGTTATAGAAATGTTTTGAATCTTCAGCTAGTGGACGAAATTTACATTATATTGTTATTTGTAGTGCTTGATTGTTTTTTTTAAGATAGTTAATTATTGTCCCTGATTTTAGACAGAGATCTGTGAAGGCGGTGGGACACCAGGACGTATGAAATTGTTAATTAATTTAACACAAAGGAGATTCCACTTCATTAAAGTTTTTTAATATATACTAAATTTTGGATCCGTGTATTTATGCATGTTTCTTTTTATAAAATATTATTTTTATGTTACAATAAAAATTAGTTTATATTAAATTTTGATTCAGAAAAGATCAGTTTATATTATCAAATTCAACATTATGGCCCAAACAAAAATTTTTATTAGATTATATAAACTATTTTTACATTATTGTTTTATGTTCTTAGAATTATTTAGGTTAGAATTTATAAAAAAAAAAATTTTGATTAGCGGATTTTCTGTTAAGTTTTGTAACAAATATTTCAAAATATTATGTTTTCTAATATTGTAGTAGAGATTTGATTTGTTTGTAATTAAGATTTCAATACTTACTTAAGCTTGTTTGTTTTTGCATCCAAATAAGTATTTGAATGCAAATGTTTAAATATTATTTTCTTAAAATATTTTTAAATCAGTTTATGGATGTTGTATCTCGATGCAAAATTTATAATATTGGCAAATATTAAAAATTTAAGATGCTAAAAAAAAGAGTTTGGATGCAGTATTTGAATCTCAAAAATTTAAAGACCAAAACACCTTTTAATTTAAACCACACAATCAAATATTTTTTTGTCAAAACCATAAAATCAGAGTTTCATATCGAAATAAAAAGTTGCATTTTCTTGCAAAATCATAAAATCACATTGTTGTACCAAAACTGAGAATTTCCGTAGAAACTGTAAAAATAGCATTTTCCATCAAACCATATATTTCTGCCAAAACTTCAAACTCATATTGTTTAACAAAACCAAAAATTATGTTTTCCCTCAACACCATAAAACCGTATTCTCTGGCCGAATTTATAAAAGCAGGTGTTTTTGTCAAACCTGCAAAATTGCGTTTCTCGTCAAATCTTCAAACCTGCACTTTCAATAAATTTATAAAACTATATTTTTCTATCAAATCCTATAAAACCCGCCAAAATATGTAAATCTTGTAAAACACACAAAATCAGGTTTCCCGCCAAATTTACAAATCCGTGTTTTCAGTAAAATTGTAAAATCTGTAAAATTACGTTTTATGACCAAATTTCTAAAATCATGTGTTTTTGTCAAACCTGCAAGATCGAGTTTCTAACCCAGAAACCTGTATTTTCCCGTATGACTATATTTTTCCGCTAAAATATGTAAAACCCATACAATTTGCAAAATTGTGTTATACGCATTCCGCAAACCCGCACTAAGCACATGCGAGAACACGCAAATTAACAATATATAATATATTTTTCTCAATAAATAATAATGTATGTTTCGAAGTAAATACATGCAAATATTTGCATTCCAGAATGTATACTTGTATATTTCGTATTCAGTGAAGATATGCTATCACAATTTTTTTTAAAGATTTTGTACAGATCTTACATTATCTTTGTTTAGTTTTCAAAATTTTATTAGTTATTGTAATTGAATAATAATATATTCCAAAACTATAATTAGGTAATTAAGAGTTGATATTTAATTAGTTATAGTTTATTTCGATTTATGAATTGGTTTGATTGCTTTAATATTTTTATATGTACATCGATTTTGAAATTTTGGTTACTATTACACTCAATAAACTAATCGAACCAAATCATCAACCGAATAAAATGTAGTGTTAACAAAATCCAACCCAAAAACATATCACCCGTAAAACAATCCGACCCACCTTCCTTCTTCTTCTTCACTATAATTCATAAGAATTTAAAAATTCAAAGAAAAAAATATCTTCTAAATATCACTCAAATCAATCAATCGAACACAACTCTAACCAATTCCTCAGTTACACTCAACAAAGATTCTCTTCATTTTTGTCTTGCTAAAGTTATGTCCTATTAAACCAGTAACTAACAATTTTTTTAAACCAGATTGTGTTAACAATGAAGAATCTTTCAAGATAGGCGAGTAGCTCACAATTATTAAACCCTAGCGTAGCTAACCAAAAGCCACCTAATTGTGCTGGAGCAATCCCATTTGAAAAGGTCACGTGAGAGATTTTCGTCAAACAATAACTTCACAATTTAGTGTCAACAACTATACTCAGCGTGTGGATCTAGGGATTTGCCTAACGTTTAATTATTTTTATATGTTAAGATCCTTAAGCGCCCAATGTTTCAAAATTGAGTTTCTCCAATCGAGATAAAACTCAATTGAACTTAAAATAGTGATAATCAGAGCGTTGATCCAAATTAATCAAGTATGGTTAGTGTATGTTAACTATAGTGTTTAAGTGTGTAATTATTAGAACAAAAAATGTGTAATTGAAATTATAATAAGACACTAATACCTTTAATGAAATTCTCTAATAAATATAATGACAGGACTTGTAAGTATCATGGTATGAATTGGATATTTATTAAAAATGATTCTCTTTAAATAATTTAGATAGTTACAAATATATAGTTAGTATAGTTCCATTTACATAGTTTATACATAATACTTATATTAATTTATTAATGGTAATTGCTGTAAATAACACATTAGACAAATGTTAGTTTAAAAAAATGATCCTCTTTTAATAATATAGATTTTAATCTAATTTCAGAATCTCATTTTACAAAATATTTAACAAAAATTGTTAATTTAATTCTTACAGTTTCAAAGTATAAATAATTAATCAATACAACAATAACATTCAACTCTCTCCATAAGATGACACATCAGTTTTTTCAAGCTTTTTAAAGTTGACACCTCAGCAAAAAAAAACTCCAATTATTAATGCACATCATCTACTAACTTTTATTATTTTTAACTTAAACCCATTAAAAAAACCTAAATATTTTTCTTTGTTAATTTTTGTTTTATTTTTTGCCAAACCGAAGTCCAAATAATAAATAACAGCAAATAAAAAAAAATATTTTATTTTTTTCCATCTCCAAATCCAAATAATAAATAACAACAAAAAAAGAAATCTTTTTTTTATATTTTTGCCAAACCAAAACTCAAATAATAAATAACAGCAATTTTTTTTTAATTTCTAACTGTGTGTTTGCTTGATAGAGACATATATGACTGAAGAAAGTGTAGACTCATTATCAACTATACTTTCATCACAACAACGCAAAAAGCGTTATATTATAAGAAGCTCACACAAGTTGTGGTGGTCTGAGCTTCTCCTAATTTGCTTTCAACTTTAATCAGCAAAAATTTGAACCAATAAAAACATAACAATAATACATATTATTAACACATTAATAAAATCAGTTTACTATTTTGCTGACCCATTAAAAAGCCCAAAGATTACAAAAAAATTAAAGTCGAAAGCAAATGAGGAGAAGCTCAGACCACCACAACTTGGAGATTCACATTTCTGGTGGTTATTGAAAGCAAATTTTCTTAGGTTTGGCGGGAATAGCAAATTTCTTGGTTTCGGTAGGAAAATGTGATATTTAGTTTTGGTAGAAAAACATAATTTCTCGGTTATGGGGACAAAAATAAATTCTTGGGTTTGGCGGAAAAATGTGAATTGTTAGTTTTGATGATAAAAAAAAAATTTGATACTCGAAAACAAAATATCTAAGTTTTGACGAGAAAATGCGAGAGAAATGCACCTTTTTCAATTTTGACGAAAAATACGATTTCTCGGTTTTGATAGGAAATGCAAATTTTTGGCTTTTGATGGATAATGTGATTTCTTGATTTTCGCGGGAAAATGTAATTTCTTAGTTTTCGCGGGAAATTATAATTTGACAATTTTGGCAGAAAATACAATTTATCAGTTTGATGGGAAAACAAAAATTCTTGATTTTGGCAGGAATAAATAATTTTTCGATTTTGATGGAAAATGCAAATTTTCAGTTTTTGACATATAATGTGATATTTTGGTTTTCGCGAGAAAATGTAATTTTTTAGTTTTTGCGAGAAACGTAATTTCCCAGGAGATAACGCAATTTTTGGTTTTCACGAAAAATTGTGGTTTATCGATTTTGGTAGGAAGGCGTGATTCTTGATTTGACGAGAAAAATATATATTTTTTTGTTTTGGCAGGAACAGATGATTTCTCGATTTTTGCAGGAAAATAATTTTTTCGGTTTTGACGGAAAAATAAGTTTTTTTGGTTTTTGCATGAAGATGAAATTTTTGGTTCTCGTGAAAAAAACTTGATTTCTCTGTTTTTGCGTGAAAACACATGTTCTCGCGGGAAAATATGATTTTTTGGTTTTTGCGGAAAAATGCAATTTCTTTGTTTTGGTATGAAATTGAAATTTCAGGTTTGACGAGAAAATTTTTTTTTTGGTTTTGGCAGGAATAGGCGATTTCTCAGTTTCGTGAGAAAATATAATCTTTTTGTTTTGTCGGAAAATGCAATTTCTCAGTTTTTGTAAAAAGATAAAATTTTTCTGTGCTAAATTTTCAAGTTACAATATGTTTATAGTAACCAAAATTGAATTATTTAACTTCAACTAAATTAATATTTCAACAGTTCAAACAAAACTTTTTATTTAGTTTTAAAGCAATAGCAATGGTTTTGATACTAATGTTATTGTTTATAGTTTGGTAGTTTTAGAAACATATGTTTATAATAAATATTTGATAAATAAATAAATTTTATAATTTAAAATAATTATATTAATTAATAATTGTTTTTCTTAAATGGCAATTTGCTTTATATAATTTCACAGGAGGATTAAGTGGCAATTTAGTAGAGAAAATAAATTACATTTGCTATTAGTATGAAGGTACTTAAAAATGTATTGTTTTATTCTTACATATACATTTATAGATAGTTAGCTAAACAATTTTGATAGTAGATTATAATTTTGAAAAATAAAAAAATTAAGGATATATAATGTTTATTCAGATTTAAAACATATAAATACATAACTTAAGCTGATAAAAAAATAAAATATAATATTTATTTACATTATAAAAATAATTTTATTATATTAAAAATATATATAAAATCTAAAAAAATATTTCGTAGTGTAGCACGGATAAATACCTAGTATTAATCAATAATTAACATCCTTACTCCACTGGTTTAGATTTCTGAATCGTTTTAAGAGAAAAACTATTGATAAAAAGAAAATAATAATAATTAACATCCAAATCATTTGATTTGTTTAGAACAAAGCGCTATCTTGGCAATAAAAATCGGTCAATGAATTGGCGAAAATAATATACCATATACAGTAAAACTTCTATTAATTAATAATGGTGGGGCTCTCAAATTTTATTAATTTATAAAGTTATTAATTAATCGATAATAAATTAATATTTTATTATTTTATAGAGATATTTTTAGTTTGAATTTTTAATATTCATCAAAAAAACAAAATCAATATTTCAACAATGTAAAATTCATTCAAAAAATGTCATAATAATTAATTTAGAAGATAAATCAAATAAATTTTATAAACTTGAAACAACAATATAATCATAGCTTACTATATTATATTATTAATATATGCTTAAATATATAATTATTAATTTATATTATTATTGGGACCATATTTTTACATAGAACTTTAAAAAAAATATTATCTTATTATCTTATCGAATTTTGTCAATTTTTACACTGGCCCAACTTGGAACTGGCAAAAATTATTAATTTATAGTGATTATTAATTTATTAAATATTAATTTATAGATATTTTACTGTATGTGGTGGAGATCAATATCACATATACTGATATACATAGTTTCATTCTGGTAGTATTTTTTGCAAATTGAGAAGTTTCTATATTTATTTATTGTAATTGATTTGACATAGAAACTAATGAGGTTTAACCAAAGATATATCAAGCAAATAAAGCTCCAAACATACAAAACCTCGATCCCTTAAATATCATACATTATCTATGAAAACCTTTAACATAATAAATGAAAGAAAATATCATACCCTTTTATTGAAAATATATGACCTCATGATGTTATAGTATGAGATTAGGATGTATATATACTAGCTAGTAATATACAATTGGGCTACCATGATTTTTATGAAAGTCATGTATGCTTTCATATAAACAGATCGGATCTTCTGTCTGAATCGTAGTGGACAAGTAATGGGAGTCATTTAATGTCTTTGCTAAGATCCAAAACTAAATCTCGAAAGTTACTTTAATTTCTATCTAATATATATATATATATATATATATATATATATAAGAACTATTGTGCACACAAAAAAAAAAAGATATAAGAAGAACTATATAACTCAATTTCATTGGCACATCTATTCTAATGATTTATATATTAGATGATCTTCGCTGTTAATTATTTGAATTCTAACCCGCGTGATATATTATTGACAAAAAAACGAAAATGTATAAATCTGAAGTATAATATTTTTGTCTCGTGAACCTTAGAAAAATGCACAGAGACCAACGAACGCGAGGGAAAAAAATTCAGGTGTTAAGGATTTTAATAGCTATCTAAACTGAGATTGAACAAATTCATTTTTATGACGATTTCGTTTATATATATATATATATATGTTGATCATATGTTTATCATATAGGAATTACTTAGTATTTTTATTTGAACATGACTATAATCTTCAAATGATACTTCAAAACTATTCTGGTTACAAGAAAATATTTTTGAATACACTGCAAAAGAGTAAAACAAATAATCAATTACAATCTAGTAACGAAAAGTCTTAATGACACAAATTAAAGCACAAATCATATAGTGGTTGGGGGGATGTAATAAGCTAAGTACATGATATTAGTGGGCACACCTCATTATTATATATCAATAACATGAATTACATAATTGTCATGCATGAATAACCAATGTAATTAGTATGAATATGTAGCGGTAAAATTTATACTAATTAGTAAGAAGAGATTAGTGTTTGCGCTTGGACTTCAAGGAAGTGAGGGAGTGAGAGTTGTTGTGCCAATTTCTCTTGCGTTGATTAATGAACCAATTGTTGATTTGCTTCAACTGTAATCCTGTCTCCTCTACCAATTTCGCCTTGTCATCTTCCTGTTCAAATCACATTTTTTTACATTATAAAATTTGATTTTTGTTAATTACTTTGTAATATCTCAATCTCTATTTGTTTATTTCATATGGTTTGTGTTGTTGCATTTTAAGATGATAGAAAGTACTCACAGTAGGGTAAGGCCACTTGCAATGTTGTTGCCACCAATTTTTCAAGACAGTAGTTGTGTCTCCAGGCAATTTCCCTGCCCTTCTTTTCCTCATTATCTCTTCTCTTACATCTTCAATTCTTGATTTAAATCCCTTACAAATAAACAAAATTTTCATTTCAGGAAAATAAATAAATTATAGTAACGCAAGCAAGTTATTGTTGTGACTCATAACATTCAGTATAATATACCTGTTTGAGTTCGAGTTTAAGTTCTTGTCTGACTCTTTCCATAAGAGATCTTTCCGACTCAGTCGGAAGCAATGGACCAAATCCTGTCATATCGTGGCCACCGCTAAAATCAATGCCGGAATTATCCGATGAGAAATCTATCTGAAGATCGTCCTCGTCCTCGGACATCGTTGCACCAGACCCTTCTCCTAACGTTGCTCCTACAGGGTTTGAGAAAGTTTAACGAAATGTTATTCCAACTACAAGATTTTGTTAGATGGATTATAAGCCCAAACCCAAGTTCAAAAGCATTTAGCTTAGAACAAGCCGTATCAATTGTGTGTACATGTACAAGTGTATGATTTTTTAAATCTCCAAACTCGAAAGCTTTGGAATTATTGTCTCCTGTTACATTGACATCTTTAGAATAATCATAAAAGTTAAGCACAAACTATATATATATATATATATCCATATCTTATATTTAATTGTGAAAGCATAAAATATATTCTTCATGATCATCTTCCAACACATACATTTAGTTATATATAATTTCTTTTTGCTTACCGGTTGTTCATATCTGGTATGATCAGCAAGAACCTTTTGATACCTAACTCAATTATTTGTTTTAAAAATCGCTTACTTATCAAAGAAATTTTGTTTTAACTATAATGATAATTTGTGCATTCTAATTCTGTGAGGTGCAATATAAGAAAATATAAATGATCATGGATATATGTTTTTAATAATCCATTTAATTATTAAGCATATTCTAATTTAGCACACGCATGTCCTTATAAGAAATTTAAAGTTAATATATGATTTTTTGTTCTTAATATATATTTTATATAAATAATAGAAAAAATGTTGGAGAAGGTACCTGTAAGAGAGTGGAGGTTGTTCTCAATTTCACGGCAAGCCATAACGGCTTCGACGGCATGAACCCTCACGTGCTGTTGCAGCTGTTCTTTGAAGCTACACAACACCATTATATATTGTGCCTGTTTCCAGTTTTATTATCATTATTTATACCAACGGTACTGTCAACACATTAATATTATGACTCAATTCATTTAAATTTAATAAACATTTCCATAAACAACCATACACACATATAAATATGTGCATCTGGTGTGGTGTGTTTTGGGCGGTTTAATTAATCATTCTATAGTCCCATATTTTGCCTAATTTTAATAATACAAAATAAATTCGATTTTTTTTCCTTTTGAACAAATCGTATACTAATTCCAAAGCTATAGTTGAGATATCAATTCCGCTTTAATGCAGTTGTAAATTTTAGTTAGGAGTAGAAATCAATCATCGACTTCAACCAACTTCCAGATTAACCAAAGTTTAAATAATAATTTCAATTCAATTACAAAAATGACATTTAGAACTGACTCACTCTATATGAATTTAGCACCTAATTATTGTACACAATACTACACAAAGCTATATCTATGCAAATATCTATGCGTAAGTATATAATATATATGGAAATTGTATGAATTAAGATACATAATATTTCCATGAAAACTGACCAAAATTACTTGTTTCACGATTAAATTCACAAAATCTGGTAAGAAACAAACACCACAGAAATCATTGAAAAGAAATAGGTGTCCACAAGAATAATTAGTACTTAGAGGTTTATAACGTCATTCATCGTTAGTCCACTAGCAATCATTAAGAAATTTTATGAAGAAACATAAATTTCCATGAAAATTGATAAAAAGTTACTTTTGGACTCTCAAGATTAGCTTAACAAATATTTGTAAAATCAAACAACTAGATCATTATAAAAATTTAAAAATTTGAAACATATTGTTCCACAAGATAATAACTCAATTCATTCATAGTTTGGTTTGTTATAAATCAATCTTTCAAAAAAGGAAAAAATAACAGAACACACAGTCAAGCTATAGGCTAAATTTTACAACAATTAATAAAATAATAAAATAGCCTTACCAAGAAATTGTCGAGCTCGTGGCGATCATGGTGCGAGAATCCAACGGAGGTCGAGGCGTAAGAACGGAGAAGATGATGAGAGTGAGAAAGCTGAGCTTCTATGATCGGAAGCTGATCGATCGGAGTTGCTACTCTGAGACATGCCACGTGTGCGGCCAATAATTGCTCGTACATCGGATGTGTCGCTATCTCACCTTTCATCTGTCTATTCTGCTCCGCCACCACGGCGGCGTCTCTATCACCGCCCACGGTGGCTCCGATCATACCTAACGCTGCTTCTTGCATATTCTTGAACAAAGACGGAGAGAGAGATACTTTTTTGTTCTTCAAACCCTAATCTTGAAGCGGATTTTGTTTGTACGATTAGCTCACAGACAGAGAAAGAGAGGGAGAGAAAATGATCGGAAGAAATCAACGTATATAAAGCTGTCATGATTTCTTTCCCTTTATTTGTTTCTTTTTCACCTTTTTATATTATTTATTTATAGATTATTATGTTTTATTTATATACATGTAAAACAAATTAAGTTATGGGTTTTGATCAGATCGACAGGATTGGTCTGATCATACCATATTAATGTTCTTAATTCTGATTAGTTTGTATCAGTAATAGTGTGTGAAACTAATATATTATAATTGTTATATACGCTATTAAAAAATTAGAAAAGAAAAAATCGAGTTAAAAAAAACTAGACAAAATATTGTTGTTGTTTATTTTTTCTTTATTAGTACGAATATGCGACTCAAGAAACCAAACATGCATCAGTTTAATGATTAAAATTATTATTGGGGGGTTGAATATGTATATAATTTGGGAACCTGATTTATCTAAATATGTTATCTTTAAAAGTTATCAAAACCTTATTCTGTTTTATATAATACTACTGAAGTTGAATTTTCTTAATTCAAAACTAGACTAAGAAGTTGGATTTTCTTAATTCAGAACTAGACTATCTGAGTTTTACTGTTTAAAGGTTATATGAAATGGTGCATTAAACTGTACCACATAATTCACCATATAGTTTTTGGATCCGTAAATAATTATATTTGTTCTATTAAATAGTAGTATTAATTTGGTGTTATTAGTTCAGTGGGTGTAAGAGGATTAGGTGTGTCTACCGGTCCTGTCGTTAAAGGTAGGAAGATATTTTCTTTATCTCATCTTTTTCACAATTTTCAACTAATCTTAAAGTTCAAGTGGTTGAATCACTGATTAGGTCTCAAATCATTGTCAAGACAAGATAAAAAGAGACGAGTTTTCTATTTTTATTTGTTTTTCCAACTTTTGTTAAAAGATGTGTTTTCATTTTACATTCTATATATATAATTACATATTCATAAGTATAGTTTTATAAAGCACGTTATCAACGTGTACTTTTTCATAACTTTACGTCAAGGAATATCACTGTATCAGCATATCGTGGAACCTGACATAATATAGTAGTAGTTTTTTTTTCTTTTCTAATTCCGTTTTACCGAGTGGTTTAAAATTAAGAAATCTGATGGAATGGAGAGATGAAAAGTTTTTTTTTTTTTTTTAAGGCGGCAAACAAAAGTCAATATATTATTTCCAATAAATGGGAAAAATACTTTACTACACATGCATAAATTTGCTTGGTCGGTGAAACATTGACTTATTAGAAAAGCTGATTATCTTTTCACTGTGAAATTTCAATCTTTTTTTTTCCAGCATACGAGTATGACTATACTCGTCCACAAATTTAGACCAAACGATCGTCGTCTCTATCTTTTAGATAATTCTAAGGAAATGGAGCCGGGATATGCATAAACATATTTAATATATTGTACTCACAATATTAACATACAAGTTTTGCATTGTTCAAAAAAAAAGTATCCTTTGAAAAAAAAAAACTCTTTCAAAAGTATCACGTGCATGATGCGTCTATATATGTTTTATATTGACGTAAGTTACAGTGTGCTTAACGAAATAAGGTCAGATTAGTAATAATATGTTCATCGTATCAAAATAGTGATCCCCACTTAGAATTTTGGCTATTGTAATTCTTTAATTGGTAACAAATTAACAATATATTATTGTCATCTATATTTTATTTAAATCCCATCCTAATTTCTGAATATAAATATCCTAACAATTACTTTGAATTTTTAAATATGGTCTGAACTCTGAAGTACATAATCTTTGTAGAAAAAAAAAGGTTTTAATGGAGTTGAACTAAAGCAATATAAAGGGTTAAAAAGAAAGAAAATGAGCAATCAAACGAAGATTTTGCATTTAATTAAATAAAAGACGAAAGATGCACGCCTTCCACCAATAAGGAAAAACTAATTTTAATTTCTCCCTATCTTTGTGTTGTAGTTCATGTTTACAAAATACCTTTTGTTTTACGCAATGAAATCAAAATATGATGTAGAAAATATGAAAGAAACAAAATAAAGAGAGACAGAGTTGGTCGAAACAAATGAAAGAGGGACAGAATTGTCGTTTTCTTTAGCCTAAGATTTAAGACATCTCACATCTGAAACAGTGTGTGGTCCCTATTCCTATGAAAACTACTTCTCAACTTATAAATTGTAATGCCATTATGCATTATCAACGAAAGTTAAACGAGATTATACTCAAATTCAGGGATTTTCTTATATATGGGCCGAATAATAATATTTTGAGTTTGGACTCTCTTGGGTCACATTTTCTTTTTTTCCATTGTTTTTTCTTTTCATATATTCTTCCACTCGAAAACTAGGCTGGTCGGATCGATTCCTGACAGAAAAGTTTCAACTATAATAATGGTTTTAGTGCAGATTTTTGACAAATCTTTCAGCAACAAAAATGTATTTATTTATTTTATATATAAAAGCTCAATAAGAACCCTTTTCCCCGTTTTAGTTGTAAAAAGAGAAACCTGATCAGAAATATGTTCTATAAGTTTTAAGTTTAATCTGATTAAGATGTTTTTGAAAAAAGTTAAATTTTTGGGCCTCATTTAACGTATAGATATGGTCATGTATATCAATTATTCATAATGATTTTCTTTTCTCATTTGATTTTCTTTTCTCATTTGATTTTCTTTACACTAATTCTGTTACCGTTATCTTACAATTTCACCTTCGTGTGTTGTACGTAACCAACTAATTATATATATGTCCCCAAACTCCCAACAACATATATTTTTAAATAAAACATCTTTACAAGCAAAATAAACAATATACTACATTTGATATAAAAAAACAAAATCACAAGCGAAAATTAAATTAATTAATTAGGAACACACTCATGTTCCATGAAACCCGGCAAAGTCCTTGTAGCGGAAGAAACGAAAACCCTAGAATGCCCCACCATCGTCACTACTCTAAGAGCTTCTTCTTCATAAGCTTTTCTCTCCATTTCTTCCCTTTTTGCCCTTCTCCTCCTCTTCTTCGCCGTCACCACTGCCGCCACCACCACAAGCCCTAAAAGCAGAACCCCAACCGTCACAGACCCAACAAGCCCTCCAACAACCGATCGCCACCGTCCGATTTTCTCCTTCTTCATCTTCTTTTCTCCTCCACCCTCCGATTTTGGATCATCCGTCATCACCAAACCAAAATGTCCGTTCGTTTTAACGGCGCAGACAAACGGCTTCACTTCTCCGGCAAATGTTACTTTCCCGTCGAGTCCGAAAGTCACGCACACTGGCTTATTCAAGAACGTTCTCTCTACCATCGACGGTCCTGTAACGTTTCCAAAATCAACAGTGGACGGATCTTTAGTACCGTCTAGGAAGAGACTTATCTGATAAGAGCTGCTCACACTGTTCCCCAAAACGTTGTCGTTCAATGCGTTATAAGACAAGAGCCCTAAAACCGGAGAGATTAGTTTATAACCGGAGAGATCGTAGTTCCTGTAATATATATCCGACCAGTTTGATCCCAAGATTTGTCTCACAACCACAAGACGTTCACCACACGGCTCAAGATTTGCTCCCACGCCGATATGGAACTCTCCTACTTGAGCTCCATATCGCCGGAGACTCCCACACCGGAACCTAACGGCGTCAACATTAATGCCGGAGAAGTTATAAGGGAGATGAATTCGCCGGAGAACGCCGGTCTTGATTGAGGAATGTTGGTTCTTGAAGGAGTTGAGAGTGTAGTCTCTTAGGAGGAGATCGAGAAGTCTTGAAGATTCGTTGAAAGGTTCTTGAGTAGTAGTAGTAGTAGTAGTAGTACTAGTAGAGGTTGAACCTTCTAGATGAGGAGGAAGGAATGAGAATAGTATTATGATTGCTAGTAGTGGAAGAGAAGGAAAAAAGAGTGTTGTTGTTGTTGCCATTTTCGATCTTGATTGAGTGATTGTTCTCGTTTGTTGTTGTTGCGAGAAGATGAGAAGAAGAAGAAGTGAAGAGGAAGACATTCATTTACTTGATGATGAGATATTACATTTTTCTTTTTAGCTCGATGAAGAGTCTTTGGATTGAAGGGAAAGGTTTGCTTTTATATGTTTATATGTTTATATGCTAACCAATATGATTTTTTGGATATGAAACTTAAGGCCGCGTGAGGTTGTTTTGAGTAAAGTGCACGTCTACTACTATTAAATGAATATATAAAAGAAAACACTGAAGTATACATTTTCCCTTTTATTTTGTTGTCAATAAAAAGATCTAATTACCGATTGTTAAAATAAAAAATTAAAGACAAAAAAAATCAACAATTTGTCTTCGTTGAAGCCAATTAAGGAGGATGATGTCCTTTCTCAACCAATGATGATGGACAAAATATAAGATACACAAGAATTAATGACTAATTTATAATCAAACCGAGTTATTAAAAAAAAAAAAATTTGTCTCTCGGTTGTTTTGCCTCAAGAACAAAAGACAAAACCGTAATCTCACATAACGGTTTTCAGTAGGATCAGCTGAAGTTAGCATTGGTCTTGTAGGTCTTGCCTGCGCTCCAGTTAGCCGGAACAGCATTCCAAACGTAGATGGTCTGACGAGTGGTGAAAGAGGTGACTCGGAACGAGAGAGATTGGCCGTAGAGAGAAGAGAAAGCTTGGTACGAAGCTCCCCAGTTATGGCTCATGTCGATCCAGTTCGTGCGGCTACCTTTAACGGCCATGGACTTGATGTCACCAGCGCCACCTACGTTCATCACGTACACAAGTAGCCAATATCCATTTCCTTCAAATTTGAACCTTATTCCTCCATTCCTTCTACATGCCACTCTGCATTTTGTATATACCATTCACAATATGGTTAGATGTTTTTTACTTATTCCACTAGCACAAAACCTTCCAGCTAGTAAATACTTCCTCCGTTCCTAAAAAATTGATTTTTAGATTTTTTTCTTTGTTCCATAAAGATTAATATTTTTAGATTATTAAATATATTTTTTACAGATTTCAAGAAAACTAATTACAACTATTTGAATTCTTAAATTATTACTGGTTAAGAGTTAGAAAAACGTAATGATTGTATAGAAGTAATGTATTAATGACTAAAAAATAACTGTTTCTTAATTTATGTAAATATGCTAAAACATCATCTTTTCTAGAATGAAGGGAGTATGTTTTTATGAAAATATAATTTGGTGGTTTTAAGAAAAGCGTGTAGTCCAAGCGACACAAAGTACTATTAAGAAGAAGAAAAAACACTATTTTGTATACAAATTTACCATTTATCCTTATAGTTAGTTGATAAAAAAATTTATATAAAAACAAATGCAAGAGTATTGATTAAATACTACAAAAGCCTTCGTATCTCTCTTTCAAATTATGATTTTTTTTTGTTTCCTTCAAAAAGCGGTATTTTGAAAGAATTTTGTTTCTTGATGGTATTTTTGAAAACTGATCCATCAAAAGTGGTATATCTAGTCAAATTCCCTTTTGAGTTAATCTGGTATTACATTGATTTATTTATACATACACCTTAAGACGTTGGCAGGGTTTGATATGTATAATTACTTAAATTCTCTGGCTTCAAATGGCCAATCCAAATTAACCAATTGTCAAAATCTCGAGAAAGGGGCGATTATGTACCAAAACTCAAACTATTATTTAATAAATCTTTTCTATAAATCTTCAATCAAAATCTACCTATATTTAAAATTCTGGTCCATGTGTACACATACATCTCCCAAAATATATTGGATATACTTAGTATACGTATATATATGCCTATATGTTATTAAGGTCGTGGTGGTCTTGTGGATGTTACCTGCGGTATGAGACGGGAACGATACCGGCCTTCCACTGAGCGATTTTCATGAAAGCCGGTTTAGCCAAATCAAAATGGGCACGTGGCGGATTACACCACCCACCGTTGTTAGAGTTTTGGCCCCAATTCGGTGGACATATGTTGGTCGCAGTCACCACGGTGGCTGGTGAACCGTAGTAGCAGTTAGGCGACGACACACACCTTATTTGGAAACACTGACCACACGCGTAACCGTCGTTGAACAGCACCGTGCTTAGTGCCGCCGTGGCCGCGCCGTAGCCGCTGTCCCATAGGTTTCCATAACCACAAGCCCCACCTAATAGACATGTATACTAATGTCATTTTCAAAAATGTACCAGTTACATTGTGGATCAAAACATGCATGCATGTAGGTTATAATTTTTGTTTTCTTACTATTAATGATTGAAACATTCTATTACATGGAAACGGAAATGGTATTTTAGGAATGTCTTAATGATTGAAACATTCTATTACATGGAAACGGAAATGGTATTTTAGGAATGTTTGATTTTTACCCATTGTTGCACTGGCGGTTTCGTCACCATAGAAGGTGGCTGACGCCTGGCGCCACGCGGTCCCGGCATAAGCTGCCGTTGATGTTCCGATCATGGCCATCATCGACAAGATAACCAACAATTTGGGATTTATATTAGGATCCATTTTTGGCTATAACTTTTCTTTACGGCCGGCTTCTATTCTTGCCTCCTCTCTGAAATGCCGAGTCTTATGATCGTAGATAGATGTCATTTATATAATGATCTTTGCTAAAATTGTTGAAGAGCAAGTAAGTAAACGTGAGAAACACTAAGAAAGAAGTGTATGAGCAAGTAAGTAATGGACGTGCTCGCATGTTTGCTTTGGTCTGCGCCCCCCTAAAGACTTAGATATTCTATTTAACTTAGTTAGTTTTATTTACATGTTTTCTTCAATTTTCATTTCATATATTTGAGTCAGTTTTATAAAAATTTGGATAATATATCAGCTCATATATATATAATAATTATCAACAGACTATAATCAGGTTGTTATTGTTGTTTCTTGTATGTACTATGTACTACATGCTTCATTATTCTTTTGTCATCATTTTATATAACTCACACACACACGTGGCGGCAATATCACCATAAACCATTAGGTCAAAAGTATTAAAATATCGTCCGTCCCTTTTTGTTTTAAAAAATAGTTTACACTATTATTAGGCGTGAACATAGGCCCCGAACATAGGCCATAAGTATTAAAATAGTTTGGTCTATTACGTGATCATATAAGTATTAAAGTATATATACAAATTCATATGCAAAGTAATGCATAGCAGCCTCCAAATAAGCGATCTTCGTGACTGCGGTTTAGACAAATCGAAATGGGCCGATTTATGGGCCTGGTGTGGCTGATATATAACGAGGCAAAGCGATGAGTCTTCGCATTAGCCTGTTCAAAGGGTTGTCGTACCGAACATATTCATCGTTACCGAACATATTACCCAACACCTTGCACATTTGCAATTTGAATTTGGATCCATTATTTGTTTTTGTCTTGCAATAGCACATGTTTACATGTATACAAAAATTTTTTTGCTAAAATGAAAGGATCAAAATAATTGGTGTACACGTGAGAGACAGTGTGACTTGAGAAATTATAATTATGCAATATGTTTTATTTATACATATAAGAGTTGGCTGTTATTATAAACGGAATGTAATCTAAAATAGTTTAAACGTTCTGCATGCGAGATGATGATAATATATTCGATTAAAATACCCCAAAAAAACAATTAAAAATAAGCGATTAACAATAGGACATCGAGATCCACATTAGCACATGGAAAGTAAAGTTTAGTGTCATACTATAATACAATTTGTATCTCGAATGATTCGCAGACAGCTCTTTTTCCACTGTAGTACAATTATCCTTGCATGTAAATGAAAATTCTTTGTAATTCGGTGCGTCAAACGTTAACTATCTATATTTACGGGTTTTTTGTTGGATTATATGCCAAGTTAAAGTTATATTGTGATGATTTGATAGTTAGATGATGATCATTACGAACAAAACTGAAACTCTCACACGTTCGAGAGGTTGCATATTATATATACGGCTTGCTTGGTAAAGGTTGCATATTATATACTTCTTCCGTTTTATAAAGAGTGTTATTTTAGAGTTTTGTTTTTGTTTTATAAAGAATGTTGTTTTAGGTTTTCAATACAAATTTATAACAAAATATCTAATTTTAACCTTGTTACTTTAGTGTATTAATTAGAAAGAGAATTATTTAGTGTATTTATTAAGAATAAAAAAGATTTTTTGTTAACTTTCTTAATTTATGTGAAAAGTGTCAAAGTAATACTTATTTTGAAACAGAATAAGTATATGGCTTGCTTGGTTAAGGAACTTCTGGGTTACCAAGAACGATCGAAAAAAATACAGCTCATGCATTATCTTCAGACTGACTTATTTAATTTGGGTCAAAGTTGTCATACTGATTTTTATAATCATCCTTTCACGTTTTGTACGTGGTATATATAGTATACAAAAATAAAAACCCATCAACAAAATAAAGAAAAAGAAAATTAGAAGCATCTTTCACTAATGTAAAGATTGAATATAAAAAGGATCGTGAAGAAACAAAACATCGAACGACTAATTCCTAAAATGATAAGAAGATTCACAACACAAATCTATAGATCGTCGCCAATGGTGAAGAAAGCAGTACTTATAGGGATCAATTACCCTGGAACCGAAGGAGAGCTACGTGGCTGCGTCAATGACGTCAAGCGAATGCACAAATGCCTCATCGAACGGTTCGGATTCTCAGATGAGAACATCACTCAGCTGATCGATACAGACATGTCCAAAATCCAACCTACTGGCAAGAACATACGACAGGCTCTGTCGGAACTTGTCGGATCAGCTACTTCCGGCGATGTTCTCTTCGTTCATTACAGTGGACACGGCGTGAGGTTGCCGCCGGAGACTGACGAAGACGACGATACTGGTTTCGATGAGTGTATTGTTCCCTGCGATATGAATAACATCACTGGTAATTTTCTTTTTCCTTTTATGATACAACCCAAAGAAAATGGCTTTTGTTCTTATAATATTCTCTCTTTTTCAAATTAATAGATGTTTAAAAAAAATTTCACATATACTTTTAAAAAGCAATCATTTTGTGATTAAATTTTATAACTGTAAACTATTTTTTTCTGTCGTCTGAAATATTAGACAACTTTCATTATTTGCTTATCTTCGATAACTTGCAATTTTCGCATTTTCTGGAAATTGAAACCCGTACCTTTTCGTATAGCAAATATTAATAAATCGTTTAGTTAATCATTGAACCCTTCAAAAAATATTTTTTTTTTAACTCTAACCTCATAATAATTCTCTAAATTAGGTTATTTTTGTTAAAGTTTATAATTCATCGTTATTAATTGATAGTGAAAAGTCTATCTTTTTTAATCAATTTTTTTTATAAAACATCTATTAATTTGAATGGAGGAAATATCTATGTTAATTATTTTTCCTTTTTTTTGGCAAATTTTTTTGCTTCAGATGATGAAATCAGAGAGATTGTTGATAAAGTGCCTAACAACTGTTCCATTACAATAGTCTCGGACTCTTGTCATAGTGGTGGTCTCATTGAGAAGGTCAAGGAGCAGATCGGAGACAGTACGAAGAAAGGAGAAGCAAAGACTAAAGAGATTGAACAAGAAGATGAGAGGAAGAACAAAGCCGATGTCATAAACAGATCTCTGCCTTTGCAGAGTATGATCAACATGCTAAAGCAAGAAACAGGGAAAGATGATATAGAAGTTGGGAATATAAGAACGAGTCTTTACGATGCGTTTGGAGAAGATGCATCTCCGAAAGTGAAGAAGGAGTTAATGAATCTGCAAGAAACCCAAGGACTAGGTTTGGTATTGAAGGAACAAGTCGTGATCAAGAAAGACAATGGTATATTGCTTAGTGGATGTCAGACTGATCAAACTTCAGGAGATGTACGAACCAACGGAAAAGCCTATGGAGCATTCAGCGATGCGATACAGATCATACTCTCTGAGACAAACGGTAAGATCACAAACAAAGAACTTGTTTTAGGTGTTAGAGAGTATCTTGAGTATGAATGTTATCCTCAAAAACCAGGGCTGTATTGCAGCGATAGTTATCTGAATGCTCCATTCATATGTTGAGAAGGACTTTTCAGATGTTATAGTTTCATGTATCTTTTACCATTTTCTAACTTCATATTTGTTTTCATGCATCTTTCATGAAGCCCAATATCCCAATATGAAAAGCCCAATACTAAAAACCCATTATAATACTGAAAATAATATACAGTACCTTATATTCTTATAATAAACAAAAACTAATATAAAAGTTACATAAACAATCAGTAAAATAAACAGTAATACATATTCATATATTAAACATTCTATTTTCATTTACAGCTACATATTCATTATTTTATCTTTTATTTCTGAATAGTCGATCTTTATTCCATTCTCGACCTGAAAAAATTGAAACCAAGGTATATTGTCATTATTTCATTATACAATTTACATTTTTAAGATGCAATGACTAATAAGTATAATAAGTGTGAGGAATTATAGTCTAATAATAATGGTAAGTAGTTAATGATAACTATACCTGAGAAACAATGGTGTGTGTAAATCGTTGTTGCAGCTTTGATGAGAGGCAACTAACTACACTAAGCCTTTGCTCTTGAGCCAACGTTTGTAGAACAGTCGAGAGACAAGACTTGTTTCGTTGGATACAACAACTTATAACGATCTCAACACCCATCAAACAAGGCATGACCACAACTGTAATGTGTTTGTCATCTACACATGAGCAGCTTGATGATAATGTTGATGACGATGATAAACTACTACTAGTGCATTCCTCTGTTGATGGATGCGTGATATGTGTGCCCGGTATTGATTTTTTAATCCGATTTTTCTTTTCGTTTAGTTCTTTGATTTTGTTTTGTAAATCTTTGATGTAGTTCACTGCCTGGAAAATATGATCTGATGTGGCACGTTTACCCTGGATATTGATATAGATTATATTATTAAGTGTGTATATATAGATAGTTAAATAATCAAAGTCACTAGGTATTAAAAACATTACTATTGTGGAAAATCTATACGAATATGAAAAAATAATGTAGGTAATATATAAAAGTGATAGCACGATCGTATATGGAAATATTAGATGGGTACAATTTTATAAAGGTGTATCAATTGGAAGCATAAATTAATGAATGAACTGGTCAGTAAAATCTTGTAAATTAAAGTAGGGTTATATACAGTAAAACTCTATAAATTAATAATATTGGGACTTTGATATTTTATTAATTTATAGAGTTATTAATTTATCAGTTTTAGATAAAATAATTATATTATTAATAATTAATTAAAAATAATATTTTCTTTAAAATTTATAATATTTCCTAAAAAAATTATTAAAAAATTAGAGATAAATGATAAAAAGTTTTAATTTTAATATAAAGAACAACAATATATTCATATTTTAATAGATTATCGTAATTATATATTTATATAAAATTATTTTAAATGATATTTATTAATTTATGATTCTAATGGGACTATATTTTATATAGATTTTTAAAAAAAGTTATTATCTTATTAATTTATTAATTTTTATTAAATTTTGAACCGACCTAACTCGGGACCGAATAAAATTATTGATTTATCAAGTTTATTAATTTATAGAATATTAATTTATAGAATTTTTATATACATAAACATATAAAACAACCTGCTAAATTGATGTCTGTTTGACACGTATAAAACATTTTTTTTTAAAGAAATCAACATGCATGAAAGGAATATATATACAAAAATATTAAATAGTTATGAAAAAACAAATAAAATATATTTTGAATAGTTACCTGGATATATTGAAATGGCAAGAGAGTTCTTAGACTTTTGAAAAGAGATGAAACTTCTTGTCTTCTTTGCCTTTCAATGTCTCTGTGTCTCATCTTCTTGCTTTCTCGATCATCAGGAGCCCCTTTGTTGGCTTCACTTGCGCCATATGTATCACACAAACTTCGTTTCTTATTGCTCCCACCATTTTTGTTTGCTATCGGATTGCAAACATCATGGTTTTGGCATGGCAAAAACGGGGAAAGAACAAAAGAATCAGAAAATAGTAACCCATCTTCCTCGGTTGAATCAGGCATAAACATTGAAGGAACCAAATCCATATATAGCTTACGATTTGAATGTTATAGTAGTGTGTTTGTAACTTCTTTACTTGCGAGTCTCTTTATATACTTGGCTCCAAGATTTCTTTTAACTATTTCTTCTCCCTCTTTAATAGGACAGATGTGATGACAGGTTAGTGACTGATCTCGAAGAAACTTTAACTTTTAATTAAAATCTCCATAAGATATATGAGTAGTTGGGATTCAATGTTAGATAATATTATCATTAAATAAAAACTTCGACGCTGTTCATTTAGTGGCTATTAAATAATCACGTTAAAAGAGGATGGGAACATATGTGTTTAATGTGCTTGTAAATAAGTATACATCTCAACTTCATCACACATCACCCGAATTTTCAACCCGAATTAATATATGTTCCACAATAATTCAATAGAATCAATACTTCCTAAGTTTCCTAAAGATATTTTGTTTTATGTTTCAGAATTTTGCTTCATATAGATATATATAATTTATTAGTTTCGATGCAGAGTTAAATGATATGCACAAATACAACTTTCTACTCCTTCCGTTTTTTTATATATGATATTTAATAGGTTGATACATAAATTAAGAAATTAATTAATTTTGTATTTTTTTAAAACAAAATATATTTTATTAACTCCAAATCAATTTAACCAATAGAAAAGACAATATAGAATTTAAACAGTTTAAATAATAAAAATATAATTATTTTTTGCATAAAAATATAAGAACATCAACTATTTGTAAACAAAAAAAAATCTCTAAAATATTTTATATAAAATAAAAAAGGAGTAATAACCAATGTTTAGCTACAAAATCACACTTCTAAAAAGTAATAACTAAATCTAAAGAATGTATTTAATCTTTTAAGTAGTTTATTAAGTGCATAAACTCTAGAAAATAGCACTAACATATACTCTCTCTGTTTTATAAAGATTGTCATTCTAACATTTTGGATCTGAATATCAACTCTTGCAGCATGGACCAAAACATTTACTCTATTTCTTTTCTTGGACCGAATTTTGGAGTAAGATCGAAAATGTTTATTTGTGTCGACCATGCTACGTGTTTTAAATAATAAGGGCTGTACTGGAGAGATTTTGATAATCACAAATTTGTGAAGTAGAATGGCGATTAAGTTATACATAATTCGTATTTAAAATATTAATCATGACAACTTAGTGTTGCGAAAAGGAGATTAAGACAGGATTTTGTATTTGAATAGATTAATGTAAAGCCCAATTATTATGGAGTGTAATTGCAGTGATAACGTGGACACTCAAAAACCCATAGAATGGTTTGCAATAATTGTTAGTGAAGTAAAGATTGTGTATTTAATATCAAATGTATTAAATTAGGGTCGGGATTAGGTCTGACATTTTGGCCTAAGGGGTCCCTTTTAATCGCAAGTCCAATTTTGTATTTGTAGGTGATGACGAACTGAATGATGATAACACATTAATAAGGTTTTACCAATTGTTATTGAAAATATTTTAAATAGTGGATTTCTGAATGATGAACCCTAGTTAAGATTTCTGAACTAAACTTATTCCAAACTCACCTACACATAAAATATTTGCATCAGATTGTTGTATTAGTATTTAGTGCTGAGCTCATCTAATTTGGGCGGTGAATCACCAGATTTTGGGAATTTTAATTTTGTCTTTAGTATGTTACTTTTCGTCTTTTTCTAAAATTCAAGGTTTTAAGCAAATTGATTTTATTACGATCTTTTCTCAATCTCGAGAGAGACTCTTCTGCTCCACTGCATGTGCTTTAACCGGCCAAACCGAACCAAACAAATCAATTCGAATCCAAAACCAAAACCAAACATAGTGAAAGTCAGTTTTTTTTTTCATGTTTTCCCAAACTTTTGGATCTTTTAACCAACAACGGTTCCGACAAAATTCAGATGAGCACTATGATTGTAGTAACAAGAGGGAAATAACCAAAACGAGAGAGAGCCTCTTTTCATTTGAATCAAAATCCTAACTTATCAAAATGATTCTCCACATCTTCCCATAGCTACATTAATCCAAAATGAGGCCCCAAAACATTACAAATACAACTATTTGCTTGTATAACCTTAACCCCCGAAATGCTCAGACCGATCTAGAGAACATCAAAAGATCAAAATGCAACCTTCATGGAAACCGCAGGAGCTATATATATTACGCTAAAACTAGTACAACAACAGTAAGAGTAGAGGCCTTAATCTTTTGATTCTGCATTTTACTCTCTTAGGTTCCCTTTCAAATCCGATTCTACTCAATCAATCTCGATTACTTTTCGAGGTCTTCCAAGTTTCGGTTTTGTCGATGCTTTCTGCTTGCTTTGCTTCACATTCTTTCTCTTTTTTGTTCCACTCATCCGCCAGTCATCGTCGTCATCTTCATCTTCCTTACTAGAATCAGAATCTATATATGAATCATCATTATCATCATCATCATCATAATATACCTTTGGAGAGGATTTTTTAGGTGCTGTTTTAGGTAAAACATTGACTGAGATCTTGGTCGCCTATGGAAATGCTCTTGGTGCTGATTTAGGTAAATCATTGACTGAGATCTTAGTCGCCTGTGGAAATCTTCTTGGTGCTGATTTGGGTAAATCATGAACTGAGAATTTAGTAATCTCTGAGAATCCTATTGGATAGAAACCCCAACAGCAATAGTAACTATCTTCTCCAGCAATTGGAGGTGGTGGAGAAAGAACCTTCACCGCCTGGTAAGCTCTCCTGCAGCTCTTATTTTGGCATTGAAGCACACTCTCCTCGTAAGTGTTGGGATACTTGTAGAGGACAAAGCAGTAAGGACAAGTCGTCCAGAAAGTCGAAACCTTTGGGTCAAAATCAGATCTTGCAGCACCGCTATTTGGAGTCTGCTCAGTAGATGGGGTTTCGTTAGGGACCCAATTTGGCTGAGAGACTAGCGGAGGCAGAGCCGGAGATTGATTAGTAGTCTCCGCTGGAGCCGGAGAGGGAGTCATAGTGACCGGAGGTGGCTGGAATGATTGAGTTGTATTGAAGGCAGGATGCAGTAAAGAAGGAGAACTAGAGGCTTCAGCTGACTGAGACACCGGAAATGGCTTCGAGGTTGTAGGTTGCTGAGATACCGACAATGGCTTAGAGGGTGTAGGTGGCTGAGATACCGGCAATGTCTTAGAAGTTGCAGGTGGCTGAGATACTCGAAATGGGTTAGATGTTTGTGGTGGCTGTGACACCGGGAATTGCATAGATGTTGGTGGCGGCTGTGGCTGTGATACCGGGAATGGCTTAGAGGCTGGTGGTGGCTGAGATTTTGAAAATGGCATACAGTGGATGATGGTTGAGACACCGGCAATGGCTTAGAATTTATTGCTGGCTGGGACACCGAGAATGGTTGAGAGGTCCGTGGTGGCTGAGATACCGGCAATGGCTTAGAGTTTGGTGTTGGCTGAGACACCGGGAATGGATTAGAGGTCGGTGGTGGCTGAGACACCGGGAATGGGTTAGAGTTTTGTGATGAGTGCGACACATGGAAAGGCTTAGGCTTTTGTGATGGCTGAGAGACCGGGAAAGGCTTAGACTTTTGCGATGACTGAGACACTGGCATTGGCTTAGAGATTGTAGATGACTGAGATACCGGGAATGGCTTAGAAGTTGCAGATGGCTGAGATAATCGAAATGGGTTAGATGTTTACGGTGGCTGAGATATCGAGAATTGCATAGATGTCGGTGGCGGCTGCGGCTGTGATACCGGTAATGGCTTAGAGGCTGGTGGTGGCTGAGATTCTAAGAATGGTGTAGCAGTGGATGATGGTTGAGACACCGGCAATGGCTTAGAATTTGTTGTTGGCTGGGACACCGGGAATGGTTGAGAGGTCCGTGGTGGCTGAGATACCGGCAATGGCTTAGAGTTTGGTGTTGGCTGAGACACATGGAATGAATTAGAGGTCGGTGATGGCTGAGACACCGGGAATGGGTTAGAGTTTTGTGATGAGTGCGACACAGGGAAAGGCTTAGGCTTTTGTGATGGCTGAGAGACCGGGAAAGGCTTAGACTTTTGCGATGACTGAGACACTGGCATTGGCTTAGAGATTGTAGATGACTGAGATACCGGGAATGGCTTAGAAGTTGCAGATGGCTGAGATAATCGAAATGAGTTAGATGTTTACGGTGGCTGAGATATCGAGAATTGCATAGATGTCGGTGGCGGCTGCGGCTGTGATACCGGTAATGGCTTAGAGGCTGGTGGTGGCTGAGATTCTAAGAATGGTGTAGCAGTGGATGATGGTTGAGACACCGGCATTGGCTTAGAATTTGTTGTTGGCTGGGACACCGGGAATGGTTGAGAGGTCCGTGGTGGCTGAGATACCGGCAATGGCTTAGAGTTTGGTGTTGGCTGAGACACATGGAATGAATTAGAGGTCGGTGATGGCTGAGACACCGGGAATGGGTTAGAGTTTTGTGATGAGTGCGACACAGGGAAAAGCTTAGGCTTTTGTGATGGCTGAGAGACCGGGAAAGGCTTAGACTTTTGCGATGACTGAGACACCGGGAATGATGGCTTAGAGTTTGATGATGGTTGAGACACCGGGAATAGGTTAGAGGTCGGTGGTAGTTGAGACACCGGGAAAGGCTTAAGCTTTTGCGATGACTGAGAGACAGGGAATGGCTTAGAGTTTGATAATGGCTGAGATACCGGGAATGGGTTAGAGGTCGGTGGTGGTTGAGACACCAAGAAAGGCTTAGGCTTCTGTGATGGTTGAGACACAGGGAATGGCTTAGAGACCGGCTGCGGTTTAGAGACTGAATGTGACTGAGTCGAGCGAATTTGCTGAGATACAGAAGGTTGGTCGGAGACAGAAGTCAGCAGCGAGAGTTGAGCAGCTTCATTGGACCTAGACGGCTGAAACTGCCTGACCGGCTCAGAGGATTGCCATGATACATGCTCAGGCGATGGAGTAGGCTTCGACGGCCATGTGATATCTGTTGAAGGAGACCTATGACTTTGAGACGATGCCTCATAAGATCTACCACTAGACGACCGATCTGGCTCATGAAAACGACGGCTTGTTTATACCCTTTCTGTTGCATTGTTCAAGTTTAGCGATCTCTCTTCCTCCACGGGGAGTTTCCAATCTCTCTCTCTCTTTACCGCTACTACTCGAACCACTCCTGATCGGCTCACTCTGCTCTTGACCAAACTGTTGACGCCATGAAGCTTGTTGCTGCTCCTGCAACGACTGCGATTGCATCAACTGCTGATCAAACTGTGATCTTTGTTGCTGAGGCTGAGCAAAATGCGGTTGTTGATCAAGCTGAAATGGTAATTTCTGGTTCTGAAACGGCACCGTTTCATGTTGTTGATGTTGTGGCGATTCTTGATGTTGCTGTTGCTGGTGTTTAGGAGATTGCGGCGGCTGATTGAATAGCTGAAACCCTAATTGACCGAGTTGCCCAAACTGACTCAGCTGCAGCTCCCTATTGTACATTGCCTTTCTAGAAGGATCGGAGAGAACGTACCACGCATCGGAGATCAGCCTATAAGCTTGGTCGGAATACGGAAACCGATTCTGACTCGGGTTGAGCAGCACAGCGAGCCTGCTGTACTGAGTCGCGACGAGTTTGGGGTTGTGAGTGAGACGAACGAGGCGGAGCACGGCGTACCAGTTTGGATGATCAGCGGTGCTTTCTCGAATCCGAGATTCTCCGGCAATTAGAGTATCGGCGACGGCGAGGATTAGCTCGGCGTGGTCTACGAGGGAGTGATCGGCCTCGCATGCGCGGATCGCGTAGGTTTTTGAGCCGTTTAGGTCTCCGGATAAAAGTAATTTCTCCGCCGTAGCTAGCCAACGTTCAGTGTCTCCTCCGCCACCACCGCCCATCATTTCACAGTCGAAAACCTTTTCCCCGGAGAAGAAAGAGAGAGAAAGAGAGAGATTTGATTGGAGTTGCTCAGTCGACGGAAAAATGATTGACTTCTTCGTAACTAAAAGATTTATTTTTAAAAGATTTTATTTTTTTGTATAGTTAATTAATTAATTACTTTTTCAGTAAATATTATTCAAACATGAATTTTAACAAAATTCAAACTGATTCAGAGTTCAATATTATTCAATTAATGATTTTAAATTATGCCTTAAAATCCAGTGTTATTAGATCTCTTATTTAAATTATGCTTGACATATTTTAAGTTTAGTGTTATTCAGTTATAATTTAAACATTTTACTATCCAATGTTATTCGAAAACTTTTTACAAAATCATTTAAAATAAATTACAAAAAGTTTTATGAGCAAATCATTTGAAACAAAATCCAAAAGTAAGATGCAGAGAATTTTAAAGTACATATTAATTTTGTAAAACAATATTCAAATTTCAAATCTTAAAGATTATGAAATTTATAGAATTAACTTTAAATTATTGATTAAATAAAAATTATAAATTTATGAATTTGTAAATACAGTAATCAGCTTTTAAATATGTTCTAAGAATAAAGAATATCTTTTTTTGTCATCTGATAAAATTTATTTAAAAAGAAATATTATTGTAAAATATAAGAACAGTAAAATTTTCTAAAAACAAAATCCCTAATAACGAGATGCAAAGATTAATACAAGATAGAATCTTAAAAAAGCTACAAAGAAAAACCCATTTAAAAATAGAATTAACTTAACTTAAAATCTAATCAATGATTAGCTTCCAAATCTGCAAATTTTTACAACTTCGAGATTTACTGTTGCCCTCCACAGTCCATCGAACAGTAACACTTTTTCTTGTAACCAGTAATAGAAGACTTTATAATCTGGCAAGACAAATCCACCAAAAGGTTCACCATACTTCCGGATGCAGCTGCAGAACGCACACACGCACTGCCATTTTTGCCTAGATAGAAGATCCAAAAAATAATCATCCAAATCTCAACAGATCTAAAAAGAGATAAAGCCTAAACACACAATCAAAATTGCACATAGAACAAGACAGGCTGAAAAGAAAGGATGAAGAGCACTTATAGCAGAACCAACAAAGAAAATAAAAACTTGTATGACAGGAAGCATAACATCAAGAAGATAGAAATCAAACTTTCTCTTTAGAAGAGGATAAATACATCTTGGAACCTTTGGCTACATATACATATCTAAACAAAAGAAGACAAATGAGACCGAATATGAGCTGATCCGAGCAAAATCCAACGAAACAAGCCTCATTGAACCCAACAACCCACAGTCTCACACCAAACCCATATCCAAAAAGATCTACCATGTCCTCAACCAAAAAAAGCAAAACTGTTAAAAAAAATCAAAGCCCATCCGACTCTAATGTCAAAGAAGCCACTGGAATTGGTAAAAACAAAGCAACTGTGAAACTTAAGTTTAGGTTAGAAAAAAAGGAAAGAACAAATTAGGTTAGAGAGATAGTTTTTGAAAAAAAATCCAAATAGGGAATGTCAATTAGTAATGAAAACATTACAAGAATAATTTATTAGACTTGTACATTGTGATGTACCGGTTGATGAGGATGTTCTTTCATCGACGGTTCTTAGATCATAACAAGTCAACATCTCAGCTTCTTTCCCTCTAAACAATAGCTTTTATAAACGTAGTCATTTAATCTATTAATTGGCCCAACTTCATAATATATGTGTCCAAACATATATTTGGAGGCCCAAATGTATCGATATAAGCTTTATGTAATTTCGAGATCAAGTGACACACATGGGTTCAAAGTTCAAACTTCAAAAAATTGTAATAAAAACATTGTAAATCGTGGATATAAGCTTTCCAGAAATTCTATATGATGTATGGAGGAGATCTAACTCTTTTATTATATGTCTGTATGTTCTGAATTGAGCATTTCTAACAGTGTTTTTCACAAATCTATTTAACGTAGATGTTTTTATCTCTATTTTTAGTGACTTCTAGCTAAGTATGTTCTGAATTGAGTTTTTTTTTTTTCTCTCCAAAATTTCAACTACTAGACTAATGAATAAATGTCTCGTCTCTTAAGGTTTGTGCAAGAGTCAATGAAATGCTTGAATTTGTAAACTCTATCATCACGTGACCCTAATGCATTGCATTAAACTTTTTCTACATTTATATTATAAGTTTTCTCGCAATCTTAAGTTTCATAAACTTAAACACATCATGTGGTTTAAACTCAAATGTTGTAAATTTGTAATCATTTGGAACTTAAATGTTATAATCATGTGGCTACGGTTGTTTCAAATAGAATCCCACAAAGTCATAAAACGAAAACACAAGTGAGGAGCCCACATGATGATGATTCATGTAAATCATATGTTATATAACGACCAAAACCGCAGCCATCTCAACTTGAGGCGGAATCACACACGAGGCCAAATCCAATTTGTTCTACTTATCAACTTTTGTCTCGCATTATTTTATTATAAGAATAGCAATTATGTTTGTTGATTTATCATTTTCTATCAAATGTATAAAAGGATAGCCCTTGTAGCTCCTATAAAATATGTGGCTTATGCAATTTGGAGGGAAATGTAAGGACATTATTTTTGATATGGATTATGTTTGTACTATCGACATTTTCGACCATATAACAAGTGATAAGAATATCTACATTTTGGACCATATAAGAAATGATACTATCTACTAGCCAGCTGTGATTTAATGTAATTTTTAAATTTATTATTTTAATTGATCTGTTTTTTTTTGTCATTTATGTTTTCCACAATGAGAGAAATGTTTTTTTGGGGTTTTCTTGTTTTATTATGTTCGCTAGTTTTGTTAACTTCTTGAAAAAAATAGAACTTTTAAATATTTTTGTAGAAATTATTCAAAGAATTGTGTAATATTCATTCTCATTTTAGCTAGTTTAAAATAGAAACTAATATATTCTAATTTACAGCTTATATAACTTATTTTCAATGGAAAGAGTCCAATCAAATCATTAGATTCAGATCCGGATTCAGTAGTTAGTACATACTATTCAATATTTCACTCATTTAACTCCAATTCAATCAAAATTCTCCATTTGGACCGCACATTCTTACAGTCTTTTTGCATATAAATCCAATTACATATCCCAAAATAACTAGATAAATAATAATTATACATTTCCATGTTTATTTGAAAATTTATTAGAAAAAAGACAGAAAGTTCCCAGAGAATCCAAAACTTTAGGGACCCAGTTAAAAAAAGAAAGGGTAATATGGTAATTTCATTACGCTTCTCTCTCCCTCCAAAAAAGTCTCAACGACCCAAAATCAAATAACCCATTAACTAAGGAACGAACGAGAGCGTACATCGCTCCAAAAGAAATTCCAAAAAAAAAAAAATTCGATTTTTCGTTTAACCCTAAAATCGAATTTTTCTCTTTCGTCCAATCTCTTCGCCGTCGGACCCAATAAACCGTTAACCCGACCCGAAAAATCTTCAAAGGCTCCGATTTTGATGTAAACACTGAAAATACTACCCGAGACATGACTTCACTACAATGACCCGTACCGAACCCAACCGGAGCCGGAGCTCCAATTCCAATTCCGCAGATTCCGGCGACGGAGGCGGCGGTGGAGGAACCACCGCGATGAGGGTTATCGTTCCGTTACAAGGCGTGGTACAGGGTCGTGGCGGGTTGTTCTTAGGTTCTGTGATTCCTTGTGCGTTCTTCTACTTTCTCCAGTTCTACCTAAAACGAAATCGTAAAGACGAACCCGGTTCCGGCGACCAAAACTCCGCGTCGTCTCCGAATTCGGATTCTAACTCGGGTTTTCGAGACCCGACCCGGTCACAATCCGCTGGACACCTCACGGAGCTTACTGGTTTGCCTCGTTCTCTCTCCCGGATCCTCCTCTCGCCGAGAAATTCCGGTGGAGCTGTTTCGGTTTCGGGTCGGGCTAGTTGTGTAATCAAGGGAGAGGATTCGCCTTACTACGTGGGTCAAAAACGGGTCGAAGAGGATCCGTATGACGAGTCGGGTAACCCGGACGGAGTCATCGAACTTGGTTTAGCTCAGAACAACAAGGTACCAATCAAAGTTCTTCAAATTTTTTCTCACTTAGTTTGTGAATTTCTGGATTTAACTGACTCTTTCTCTTCTAACAGTTGAGTTTGGAGGATGATTTGGTTTCGGAGAATCCAAGAGAAGAAATTTTAGATGGATTGAGTATTAGTGGCATTGCGTCTTACGAGCCTTCTGATGGACTTATGGAACTAAAAATGGTTCGTCTCTTCTTAGTACCCATTAAAGTTTTCAACTTTTTGTGTTCATTGCTCATGAAGGAGAGACCTATTGAGAGAAATTTGAGGATCCTTATGTGTTCTTGAGAGAAGTTGTTCTTGGATCATGAATGAACAGGCTATTGCAGGGTTCATGTCTGAAGCAACCAAGAACTCGGTTTCTTTCGATCCATCACAGTTAGTGTTAACCTCTGGTGCATCATCCGCCATGGAGATTCTCTCCTTCTGCTTAGCTGATTCAGGAAACGCCTTCCTTGTTCCAACTCCGTGTTCCCCAGGGTAAAACTGTTTGAATCCAAAATAAACGCTATAAAGCTTGTGATGAAGAGAGATGTTGAATCTTTTGATGTAGTGGCAGCCATTCTCCTCTTGTTGCAGATACGATAGGGATGTGAAATGGCGAACGGGAGTGGAGATCATACACGTTCCTTGTAGAAGCGCCGATAACTTCAACATATCGATGCTGGTTCTTGATCGAGCATTCTATCAAGCCAAGAAACGAGGCGTGAGAATCCGCGGCATCATCATCTCGAACCCTTCGAACCCCATGGGAAGCTTGCTGAGCAGAGAGAATCTCTACGCTCTTTTGGACTTTGCCCGGGAGAGGAACATTCACATCATCTCAAACGAGATCTTCGCTGGTTCCGTCCACGGAGGAGAAGAGGAAGGAGGAGGAGAGTTTGTTAGCATGGCTGAGATTGTTGACACGGAAGAGAACATAGACAGAGAAAGAGTTCATATCATCTATGACCTCTCGAAAGACCTGTCTTTCCCCGGACTCAGATCCGCCGCTATCTACTCCTTCAACGAGACTGTTTTGTCAGCTTCGAGAAAGCTCACGACGCTCTCTCCGGTCTCATCTCCGTCCCAGCATCTGCTTATTTCCGCAATCTCTAGTCCCAGGTTTGTTCAAAGAACTGTGAAAGCCAACAGGCAGAGATTGCAAAGGATCTACACAGAGCTTGTCAAGGGGTTGAAAGAGTTTGGGATCGAGTGCACGAGAAGCAACGGAGGGTTCTTCTGCTGGGCTGATATGCGAGGGTTGATTTCATCTTACAGCGAGAAAGGAGAGGTTGAGCTGTGGAACAAGCTCTTGAACACTGGCAAGATCAATGTCATGCCAGGTTCTTGTTGCCATTGCATTGAACCGGGATGGTTCAGGCTCTGTTTCAGCAATTTGTCTGAGAGAGATGTGCCTGTAGTTATGAACCGCATTAGAAAAGTCCGTGAAACATGTAAATCTCAAAATTGATTACGTTATTTGATTATTTGTTTTGCTCCGATGACTCTGCATAACCCGGATTTGGCTTGATATTGACTAAACCGGAAAATACCAAGCCTGGAAAGTATGCAATTGAAGCCAATTAGTGAAATTTTACCAAATCCTACAAACAAAATTGACAAAAGAATGGATCTTATGTTATTTTATTTCCAGGGGGAAAAGAATACAATTTCAATTAAACCGGAAAATTTCAAATCACAAAAGAATGAACTAGTCACTGCACAATTACTTCTAAACCGGTTTTCTCATGATCCCATTCCATTTCTGATCAATTCAAGAACCTGCACAACCTCTGCCATGCTCGGTCTCTTCAATGGATTCTCAGTCGTACAAATCAAACCTAACTTCATCACTTGAATCAGCTCATTCTCTTCAAATCCTCTCAATCTACTGTCAAAGCAGCAAGAAGCCGAACCAGTTTCCAACAAATCCCTCACATGATCCCTCAAGATCAAAACCTCCTTCTCCGATGGAGACTCCACCGGTTTTCTACCTGTGACAAGCTCAAGAAGAACCACACCGTAGCTATAAACATCGCATTTGTCACTCACTCTCAAGCTCTGAGCTAGCTCCGGAGCTATGTACCCAACAGCATTGTGGAGCTTGGTCAAACCGAAGCTGTTCAAAACCGGAAGAAACTTCTCCAAACCGTAATCCGATAGCTTTGCCTCGTATCTTTCATCAAGAAGTATGTTGGTAGACTTCACATTGAGATGAAGAATCGCAGGTTTACAATCATTGTGAAGGAAAGAAAGAGCCTTTGCAGTTCCTAACGCAATCTCGAATCTTCTTTGCCAATTCAACTCGGTGTTTCCATGGCTGCTGCTGCTGCTACTGCTGATTCTGTGGTAGATTCTCGGGTGTAGATTATCGTAGAGGCTCCCGTTAGGAACAAACTCAGAGAGAATCAACTGCATCGTCGAGGAGAAGTAGTAACCTTGAAAAGAAGCAAGATTCGGGTGACTCAAACCTCCAAGCCTTCCTATTTCTTGCTCGAACTCTTCTTGGCTCTCGATTCTTCCCAAAGTCTCGAGCTTCTTCACCGCAATGGAAACACCGCCTTCGAAAGAAGCTCGATAAACCGTTCCTACAGATCCTATCCCGATGATATTATCCTTGTCGAGCAAAGCTTTCGTGCCGGCCTCCCAATCTTCATACTTTGAAGGCAAACTCTTGCTGAACAGAACAAGTTTCCCGAATGTCACACCGCCAATACTACCAGATTCAGTTGAAGCTACGGTGGTTGTTGCAGTATCGACAGCGACTATCTCTTCTTCTTGGTGCTTGTTCCGTCTCTTGCGAGCTCTAAGGTTCAAGAGAAGGACTAGGCAGATACCGACCAAGATCATAACAGCAGCGATGATAACAATGATAACAGATGTGCTTAGAGCTTTGGTCTTTCTTGATCTTGGTCCGGCTCTGAGAGAACTGCACGGTGTTTCGAGAGGTTCACCGCAAAGGAAAGGGTTGTTGGAGAACGAAGAAGCTACAGAAGCTTGGATCTTTGGGATAGGTCCGGAGAGATTGTTGTAAGAAACGTTGAAATGTGTCAGTCTATTCAAATTCTCGAGGGAAGACGAAAGAGGACCTGAGAGCAAGTTCTCCGATAGATCGAGGAACTGGATTCTCGTGAGGTTCCCGAGATCAGACGGAATGCTTCCGTTGATTCTATTCCGATGCAGATCAAGAATCTCTAAGTTTGTTAAGTTGAATAGGTTCTTAGGGATCTCTCCTTCCAAAGCATTCCCTGAAACATCTCTGCAACAAACAACAAAAGATTAACAAAACAAAAACAAAAAACAGAGTTTGAGGAATGGTAAGAGATTGAGAGACTCACAGTTCAAGAAGTAGTCTGCAATTGGATATATCCTCTGGAATTTCACCAACGAGATTGAGATTACGCAAATTCAAAACCTGTAGATACTCCAGATTCCCTAGCTCTCGAGGAAGCTTCCCGTCTATGGAGTTATCGCCTAGTCTGATCACAGAGAGCTTCTCCATCTTCCCGATACCTTCAGGTACACTCCCGTTGAGCCTATTCGATTCCAAGTCCAAAAGCTTGAGACTTTTGCATCCGGTTACACCGTTAGGCACATTCCCGGTTAACTCATTCGAAGAAGCATCCAAAAACTCCAAACTTTCGCTGCAGCCAACGATGTCACCGATCTCACCTCTAAACCGGTTTCCAGAGACATTGAAGTAAGTCATGTTCTTGAATCCAAGAGCCTCGAAAGAAGCTAAACCGTCGAAAGAATTGCTTCCTATGTCGACATGGCTCAGTCTCTCGCATTTCGATATCTCCTCAAATACATCACCAGACAACAAGTTTCTTCTCACAGACACAAACTCGAGAACCGGGATATCGCAGATCCTAGGCAACGAACCGGTAATGCCATTGTAAGAGAAATCGAAACCGATGAGACTGTTACAGTTGACGATTGATTCCGGGATTGATCCAGAGAGATTGTTGTGAGACAGAGAAACGAACTTGGTCTTGTAGCAGAATCTGAACAGAGAATCCGGAATCTCTCCGACGAAACCATTTTTGGACAAATCTAATAACCGTAAATTAGGCAAGCCGCCGATAAACTCCGGGATCGAACCAGACAATGCGTTGGAACTGACATTGATCTTCCATAAAGTCTGTAACTTTGAGTAATCCAAAGGTAAGTTACCTGTAAACCTGTTGCCAAACAGAGTCAAAACCCTTAAAGAAGTTAAACCGGACAATGCCGGAGTTAGTGTCCCGGCGAGACTTGTGTTCCAAAGAACGATCTTGTCGACGAATCCTTCTGGGTTACAAGATACGCCATTGAAGCTATTACAGAGATCGTCGTCGTTGTCACCACTTGAGACCCAAGAAGCTAAGCTGTTGTACGGATCTTCGATGATTTTGCCTTTGAACTGAAGCAGAATCTCTCGTTCGGTAGATGAATCGGAGAAGTGAATGTAAGCGAATGTGAAGATTAGCCAAATCAGGAACCGGGACTTCCTGATTGGCATTGTCGGTTATCGGATCCTAAACCGAATAGAAACCCGGTTTGAGAAGCTGCGTCTCTTTCAGTAGCATTATTCTTCCAAAAAAATCTTGAAAATTGACGAAGAAGATGAAGTAGTAAGTAGCTGCTATGCTGCATTTAACTAAAACCCAGGATTGAGCTTAGCATTTGTCGTCTTTAATGGCTAAAAAAACGACAAAATCAAAGTCAAGAAAAAGAAAGAGCTCGAGAAGCGATATTCAAGAATCACGGAATCAAGAACAACCCATGATCAAGAAACATAGAATAAGATCTGGGTTTTATGAGTTTCCGAACCAAACCCATTAATTAAAAAAAAACTACTTTTAGCTATGGAACAAAAAATAGAGAGAGAAGACGAGTGCGTGGAGAGTGTGCCTTGGCTGGAAAGTAAGCAGGTGAAGCAATTTAATACACTCTCTCTCTCTCACATTGACTCTTTCTCTCTTCTGTAAAAGGTTTTATTTTCTCTCTCTCTCTCTCTATGAATCTATACATCTGTGGCTTCCACCATGTGAACAAGAACCACGTGCAAGCTTTATAGGTATGTTATGTATGTGTGTGAATAAATACATATATATGTTTGTATGTGTTTATTAGTTTTATACTAGAGTGAGAGGAGGGCGTCTGTTTGTCTGTACCATCAAGCATTTATTCTCTGCCTACACCAATCAACCCTTCATAAATATAATTCACAGCCCACAAAACCAAATGAAATAAATCTATAAAATTGATCATTTTTTTTTCAGATTCTATAAAATCATGAATTATTTGAATCCTTAAAAATTGATCAAGAACGAAAAATTAACCATTCGTTGAGTGTACTTCTAAATATTTGTTGTGTTAAAATGTTCAACAACAAAAAAAATTTAGTTGTGTTAAATAGTACGTGGTATTTTTAAAAATAAGAGCTTTACTTTCCAATTATGCCTTCTGTCGGAATTTATATGTATACTCCGAGAACAATTATGGACTGAGAATAATAAATACTACTAGTATTAATGTTAGCAAAATTTAAATATTTAATTCTTTATATTCCCTGATTTTATAACACAGCAATAACAATAGCAAGAGTACTCCTATATGATAATTATATGTATGGCCTTTGTTTTTTACTTTGCATAGAATTTATAATCTGACCGTTGGTTAGGTACGGAGCTGTTTTTTTTACGTATATTTTGAAAACTTAAAAGTCTCTGACTTCTGTTCGTAAGATTCTTAGATTCTTCCCTTTTTCGACAGAAATTGACCAATGGCCATAGTCTTATGGTAAATTAAAAAATAAAAAGATTTAGGTCCTACTCCTACTTAAAAAATCCAATCAATATATAGCAGAACATAATTTTGATTTTTGACCATACTCGAGATCCTATTAGAGATACCAATAACTGATCTAGCCAATTTGTAACGTTTTACCGTGAGTGGCTCAAGTAAACTGTATTATTGGTTCTAAAGTAAAATTTAGTTTGAGAGAAAATTGTTGGTATTGGTGATAGACTAGTGGTACTATTTTGTCATATACTGTATTTTAGCGTTCGCACAAAAAAAAAATTACACTGTATTTTAGCGTCTTGAAAATAGTAAACAAACCGGTTCTCTATTAAAACCGATTGCTACAAAATTCCGGTTTAGATAACTTCTTAAAATTTAGGAGGTGTTATTGGTTCTTGTATTTTAATAGATTTAAAAATTCAAACTAAATTCAGTGTTATTAGTTTTTATATTTTAAAATTTATATTGAAATACAGTATTATTGGTTTTATGATTTTAAAATCTATAATGAAATACAATGTTATTGGTTCTATCATTTTAGAATCTAAATATTATAAGTATTTGAGTTTTAATTGAATTTGAATAGATTTGAAAGGATTTTCATGACTAAAATATAAAAATTCAAATACAAGGTCTAATCTTAGTATTTGAGTGGATTTGATTTTTTTCTATTTTACTGATTTTAAAATTAATAAATTTATCAAATCTAAAAACAATTTATAAATTCACCGAAATACAAAAACTAATAACCCCTATTAAATTAAGTCAGAACCGAAAGTTCTATCTGCTTCTGGTCTTTTCTCTCCCTTTCTCTGTCTCGCGAAACCAAAGTTTCGGTTTCGGTCGCCGATAAAAACCAGGAACACTTGTCGGAAAATTTCAGTGATTAGATAACTTCAATTCAACATATCTTCTTCAAATTTTCCTAAACAAGTAAATTTCGACTCACAGAACTAGAAAAAAACGAAATTTCTTTTTCCGGCCTCTGGGATTTCAATTGGGAAAGGTCTCTTCCGATTCTTCATTTGTCTCTTCTTGATCTTACAGTTTTGTCATGTATTGATTCAATTCGTTCGAAATTAGCCCATTTCGTGAGTGAAGAGTCGAAATCCCTCCAGAAAATCTATCATTTTCATTTTTCTTTCTTTCTAATCTTAACCCTAATTGAAATCTTAACCCTAATTCAAAGTCTTAAGCTTTAACTTTTCTTTAATTTCGATTTCACCTTTTTCTTTGTTGCTGCAGAGGAATCGAAAATGGGTTCTGAGCAAAACGACAGCACAAGCTTCTCTCCTTCGGAACCAAAGCTCTGCGTCAATGGCTGCGGCTTTTTCGGAACAGCTGCTAACATGAACTTCTGCTCCAAATGCTATCACGACCTCAGAGTCACCGAAGAACAAGCTTCTTCAGCTAAAGCCGCCTTCCAGAAATCCCTAAACCCTAAACCAAAAATCTCACTCGAACCTGCTGTTGGGTCATCATCAACGAGCAGTGAAACGGCGGCGTTTTCCGAGCCACCGCCTCCACAGACTACGGCCAAGAACAGGTGCTTAAGCTGCAAGAAGAAAGTGGGCTTGATGGGGTTTAAGTGCAGGTGTGGAAGCACATTCTGTGGAGACCATAGATATCCGGAGAATCACGAATGCGAATTCGACTTCAAAGGAGAAGGAAGAGATGCAATTGGCAAAGCTAATCCGTTAATGAAGGCTAAAAAAATGGAGAGAATCTAAGTAAAAAGTAAGCCAAATGTTCTTGCTGTCAAAGATCCTTGTGTTATATGTATATTAGCTCTGGTTATGGTTTGTGTTCTTGCTATTGATTTGCATTTGCTAGAGTCTTGTTCTGTAATAAGAAAAATGTTGATAGAACTTGGTTATATCAGAAATGTGTGGTCTTCTTTGGTTACTAATTTTAGTTAGAGAAAGTTGAGTTTAATAACCAAACTGAAAGTTTTTTTTTAATCAAAGAGAAATCATAGAACTACAAACGAGTGTTGATATAAGGACATTTGTAATCAAAGGAGAGTAATTAAGCGATAAAACGAGGTTAATTTGTAAGATTGGAACAATGGTTTCTTCTACTACTTCATGCTGAGGATTTTGTCTCTGAGAAGCCTCCTCATGATCTTACCAGAGAGAGATTTGGGGATTGAATCCACGAAATGGACGGCTCTGATCTTCTTGTAGTGAGCCACGTTCGCTGCAACAAAGCTAAGAATGTCTTCTTCTTTCTCTTTCGCTTTTGGATTCATCACAACACAAGCCACCGGAATCTCTCCGGCTTCCTCGTCCGGTAACCTTTTTCATTGTTATTTTCCCAATAATTGATTTGAATTAGCATTTCTTGAAATATTAATATTTAGCTTAAAGAAATCAGAAGGCAGTAGATACTCACGGTACGACGGCAACATCTTCAACAGATGGATGAGTGAGGAGAATAGCTTCAAGCTCCGCCGGAGCCACCTGCCGGAAAATAAACAACTCTGTTTTTAGACCCACAATGTATTTTGATTGATTTACTTAGAGAAGACTGAACCGAACCAAATCAAATTTCTAAACCGTAACCAAACCGAACTGAACCAAATAAGGGTTCCATTGTTGCAAACACAGTTTTTGAGATTAGTTCTGAATTAAGTTACCTGAAAACCTTTGTATTTGATGAGTTCTTTGATGCGATCAACGATGAAGATGTCACCATCATCATCAATGTAACCTATATCTCCTGTGTGAAGCCAACCTTCTTCATCGATCGTCTTGTCCGTCTCTTCCTTGTTCTTGAAGTAACCTTGCATCACACATTGGCTCCTCACACAAAGCTCACCGGGAGTGTTCTTCGGCAGAGACCGGCCGGTGTCGGGATCTATGAACTTTACTTCAAGATTCGGAAGTATAAAACCGACAGAGTTTCGTTTCGCGATTACTTGTCCTTTATCAGGATCTCCATGAGTTAACGTAATGCAACTATGCTCCGTTAATCCATAAGCCTAATGATAAACATCAATGTGTCCAATCCGGTTTAATCGATAACCGAAAACAAAAAAAAAACAGAGAGGACTTAGTTATATACTTACCTCTTGGACTTGGACATTAGGAAACTTGGCTTCGAAGGCAGTGAGAAGCTCAGGAGCTAACGGAGCAGCAGCAGTCATAACAGAACGGAGTTTAAGCTTCGAAAGATCAAACTCATCGACAATCGGATTCTTGACAAGATTCAATATAATCGGCGGAACAATAGGAGCAAACGAAACCTCGTGAGCAATCAAAGCATTCAAGAAAAGCCTTAGATCGTAGCGACTCATAGCAACAACTTTGCCTTTGTTCTTCATAGTTGCACAACAGATTCCAACGATGCCGTAAATATGAAAGAATGGAATCAAACCAAGAGTCACGATCTGACCGATCATTTCAGACCGGACGCTGAAGAGAGAAGAGCAAAGATTGGCTATGAGGTTGCGATGCGTGAGCATTACTCCTTTTTGTAATCCTGTTGTACCTGAAGAGAACGGAAGTGCACAGAGATCTGTCTGAAGAATCTCTTCTTTGTTGTTGTCTCCGGATTTGTCTCCTGCTTCTAGAAGATCTTTCCAGTTCACTGCTCCTTCGATCTTCTCTTCACCTAACACTATTACTGGTAAACCCAATGTCTTCACCTGTCCAAATCCGGATAAGTAGATTTTTCACCGAACCAAACTCGAACCGAAATAAGTACCAAGCCTAACCGAAACAAATTCAATCTTAAACCGACCAGTATCAAAAATTCCACTCCAAAAAACCAGATTCAAACCCAAATTTAGTCCAACCAAAACCGAATTAACAAAAGTACATTGTATATATGAATTGAAATTTTGATTTTTTTGTAAACATAATTCAAACAGAAAATATACCAAATCTAACCAAATAAATCGAAGATCACCAATAACAATTTTTTAATTTTTGCAAAATAAAATTCACTTCACATCTAATTGATTAAACATCAAATCAAATCCTAACCGAAAAACAAACCAACATTTAACCAACGCTTAACCATGAAATAAATACCATTTTAACCAGTGATAAAATTCTACATGGAAAGGCAAAAACTGAAATAACCAAACCGAACCGAATTATATGAGTGATGTTAAACACTTATGTGCATACGTACAATCATAAAAACAAAACATGTATGTTTTACCTTTTCATAGTTAGTAGAATCAGTGATGATTCCTCTAGCACCGGAAGCTTCAACTTGCTTCTTGATCTCCGAGACAAGAGCCGTCGGATTAGCGCCGGAGAAAACTCCACCGGCGGACATAATGCCAAGGGCAATAATCCCATACTCGGCGACGTTTGGTAGAACCACAACCATTACTTGACCTTTCCTAAGCCCAAGTGAGGTCAACGCTTTGGCTAGCCTCTTCGTGTCCCTCACTACATCACCGTACGTCACGGCTTTACCCGTCACAGCTTCTACGAATGCCACTTTCTCTGTGAATTCTTCAACTCCTTGGAGCACAAACTCAGGCTTAACACATACATTAAGTAAACCACATTAGGTTAGCCAACTAAAATGTAATTAATTAGAAGGATTGTTTGCTCATAGTTTTAAAAGTTTTCGTTTGTCTTAAACCAATTTCAATCCATACCAGTGTAAGTTTGTCGGGAATGGGAACAGATGGATATAGACTGCGAAAAATGTAGTCATCGTCTTGCTTTTGACACTCCATTTTAGATGGTTTGAATATGATTTACGTTTTGACGAAAAAGAGTGAATATAAATAGGAAGATGATGTCTTTGTTCATATGTCATGTCATGTGTGTGTGTGTGTGTGCAAACCAATATTGGTAATTAAGAGGAAAGTAGAGAGAGGATAGTTCTTCTTTGACTCTCTTAAACACATAGGTGAAGTTTTGTTGAGTCACGGAGATGTTGTGAAAAGATCTGATTTACACTATTCTTAAAGACGAGCCCAATAAATAAATAAAATGTTATTCAGAACTGTTTGTGAAGGCCCGTTTTTGTTCGTAAAAGGCCCAAACATACAAGGTTTCAAAATCTGATATTTCGACTTTCATCTTTGGTCAATGGCTCTTACTAAGCTTTTTTTTTCATAGTAAATTTTGTAATTTCGAAACTATAAACTGATTTGAACAATTGATTCTCTGTATATAACTTAAATACATTTCCAGTTGTATATATATTTTCAAAATTGTTTATCGCCTAGTTTTAATTGCAACAAAAAGGTTAATATTAAATAACTCTTAAAGTAATGTGGATAAATTGATGAAAATATGAACATAAAACTGTCTATAAAGAATTATTATTACTCTTTCAAAATAGTGTTACACAATGCATAATTTTTATTTGGTGATGATTTTTATATGAAACAAAACTAAGTTTTCTCAACTAAATAGAAATAATAAATTTCTAAATAATGATAATTTTCTAAAATAAAATATTAGTAAACATGCATAACTTTAAAAAACTTTCGAAATTTTAGTTTTGATGTTTTATTTTACATCTATCTACATATATTAGTTAGTTTTTTTTATTCATTGTTGCACAAACTTTGGATATAAGAATTTTGTTTTTGCCATATAGGTTTCTCATTTAGGTTGATTCATAAGTTGTTAAAAAAATTCTTTTCGTTTCTCCTCAAAATCATTTGAAAGTTTTTTTTTCTTCAAATCTTAATTTTTTTTTATTTTTTTCTTGTTCAATAATTTTACTCATTTTTTTTTATTTTTTAGAGATGACTAAAGTTTTGTTAACAGCATCCCGTGGTCTTCCTATTCTCAAATATTGTTTTTCAGAAATTACTCAAGAGTACTATCTGTAAGCCCACAATTATTGACTAGAGCTAATATCAAGGTGAGATTCAGCTCAAGTAATGCAATGGGACTTGAGCATGATGACACCACTATAAGTCGTTTAATGATTTTTTTTATTGCTTTTCAAAAAACGATCTAAGAGAAAGATGTACCAATGTTTTGATAAAGCCCACGATTATTCTTTAAAATATCCAACAAACATATTATTGTATATTAGTAAATGAATTATACCAACATAATACTTTTTATGCTTGCGTAATCAACAAACTTGTGAGGCAAGCTAGGCTACTTATATAGGAGCGGCAATGAGTGAAGTTGCTAAAAAGTCATTTATTTATCTATGCATTTCGGTGAGATCCAGCTCAAGTCATTCTTATGGGACTTGAGCATGATGACACCACTGTGGGTTGTTTGATGAATTTCTATTCCAAAATGGTTGGTGAAAGGGGCCATGATACTGCTAATTTATAAGTTGTTGAAAAGTTTCTTTTTCTTCTCCTCAAGACCATTTGTAGGTTTTTTCTTTTTTCTTGTTCAAAGATTTTACTGATCTTTTTCTTTCTCTCTCGGATGACTAAAGCTTTGTTAACAACATATTGTGGGTTTCCTGCTCTCAAGGTATGTTAAGTTATCCTTCAGATCTGATTATACGTATTAAAATATATAACATCAGATCAAATTCGTACATATATAAGAGGAAAAACAGGTTTTTGGGGGTATAATATAGTATTTGGTCCGATCAAAGTATTTATTGGGGTATAATATAATATTTTGTCCGATCAAACAGTTGAGAATGTTCTTTAAAATATCCAACAAACATATTATTGTATATAAGTAAATGAAATATATCAACATAATACTTCTTATGGGTGCGTAATCAACAAACTTGTGAGGCAAGCTAGCCTACTTATATAAGAGCGGCAATGAGTGATGGCTAAAAGTCGTTTCTTTATCTATGCATTTCGGTTCTTTAATGCACTATCTCTTACTATCATTCTTTATTTATCGAGCTAAACACAAGAATTGAAAGTCACTGAAACTATTATTATAAGATGTTTTTATAGTTTGGTGTTGTATTTAAGCAAACAGTGGATTTGACAAAAAAAACATCTTCAATAGATTCACATAAAGACTGTTCTCAAACGTAGTTTTCTTCCCTTATTCACTAAAATAGGCAAAGCTTAATAATAATTGATTATATTAAGCTTTACCTATTTGAACACGCCGATGAAATATACAGATACAATAGTGACTTATGTGAACTATTACATTATTCTCATATGTCCTTGATAGGATCAAGAATATACCTTTTCCACAACAATGATGTACCGAGCATCGCTTCTCATGATGGTGTTGTTGTCTAGCAAATTAAAATCTCCTGATATAGCAAAACCTGAAGAGCCCACTTGCTGAACAATCTACAACTTCCTTATCTGGTTCCTAACGAAATAAATGTACATAGATCACAAAACATAAGTGTTCACCGGAACAAACCGGCATAGAGCAAAACGATTGATTAATTTTTACTCACTTGTAGAAATAACTTTCCAGCAACAAGGCCTCCGCTAGAAGCCATAATCCCAAGACTGTGTTTACTGCAACGTAAAAGTGCCACCACATCTGTATAAAACAGTGATCAGAAAACAAAACCATATGCATCGTTTTCAGATCAAAGCTCTTTGAGCTACATTGAACAGCTAATAATTATTAGTCTGATCATTGATCATTTTCTAGTTTCATTATTTCATTTTAGTCCAATTTTGGTTTGAACAATGTCCGAATCCAACAACTTGGATTCACAAATGGAAGCTTCAAACTTTTCCTCTGTGTTAGAAATTCAAGATAGAATTCAAAGACTTGGATTCAAAAATAAAATCTTTTTCCTCTGATTGTTGGAGATTCAAGAATTGTGAACGTTGGAAATTCAAGAACTTGGATTAAACAGTGGAGACTTGGTTCTTCAAGCTCTTGGAATTTCAAGAACTTGAATTGAGTTAGAAACTTATTTGTCCTTCAGAAATTGAATCTTTTGTTGTGTTTTGGCCTTTGGGTGTTGGTTTTGAACAGTCAATTCAGACAGTATATTATGGAGAAAGTGTTGAAGTTAACGGTTTAACGATCCTAGAGTTAACCGGATCAGACCGTATTGGATTGCTATCCGAAATCTTTGCGGTTCTCTCTGATCCAAACTGCAATGTACTTGATGCTAAGCTCTCGGTTCAGAATTGGACCGAGAGGAGTTATTCGGTTGTTAACGTTCAATGTCAAGGCCGAAGAAAGCTTCTTTTTGACGTGGTGTGTACGTTAACCGACATGGAGTATGTTGTGCTTACAAGCTGCGGTAGAAAGAAGAGCATCAAAGGTTAGGAATATAATGGCGTAAGAAACTGAGCTGATTGATTTTAGTTTGAACCTTATGATCTAAAGTTGTTATGATTATGTTGTTAGGGTGTGAAAATGGAGCTAAGGCAACAAGATAGACAAGGTTTACTAGCGGAAGTGACACGGACTTTCAGGGAAAACGGTCTGAATGTTACAAGAACAGAGATATCGACGAGCAGTGACATGGCTACAAACATATTCTACGTGACTGATGCAGATGGGAATGAGTCTAAACCGAGATTGATTGAATCGGTTAGCGCAAAAATCGGGTTCTAGTCACTGAGAGTGAAGGAAATGCCATGCGTGGAGAGTAAGAAAGGAGATGAAGAAAGAGACCAACAGACAAAGGCGGCGGTATTGGTTTCAATTGGGAGTTTAGTTTGGAGAAATCTCTTCAACTTCGGTCTGATTAAATCATGTTCTTAAATCTTGATTAGGCGTTAAGATCATAGGGTTTAGATTATGTGCCTCAAGCAAAGTTTAATATAGCGGAAAAAAGGTTGTAAAGTTTCTTTTATGTCAGAGTCATATAATCTTGTACATAGAAAAAGGGATTGATTATAAATTTGAATTTAGAAAATTTCTCGCTCTATTGGTGATGATGATGATACATTGACGAGCAGGATTGAATCTGTTTGTCTCGCTCTTGTCTGATTCATTACAAGTGAAAGCAGACCAGAGAGGAGGACAAAGAGACACACCAAAAATCTGCAACGAAAGGATTCTGCCACCACATGAAGAATCCACTCGGAGTTTAAACCGCCAAAGATGAATAGCAAACATCCAATTATATGATATGAAACGTCACTATGAGCAAGAGGTTTCGGAGGACTCGGAACAAACTCCGGCCACCGGCAAGAAAATACAAACTTTGTTCAGACACTACAAATTAAAAACGAATCAGATTATCTGAAAACCCAATCAACAAGACAAAACCCCGAAGCCAAACAAGACTAAATCTAAAAAGCGAAAGTACAGAGAGAAGGTGTTAAAGGACGAACCTTTGGTGCCCTCATGGAAGGAAACAATCCGAGAGTGGTGATCGCAGATATCTCTTACGCGCAATCTTGGGGAAGTTTCAATTCCCAAACGAGAAACTGCAGATCTTAAATCAGAGGTACATAACTTTTCCGGCGAAACCCTGAAGAACAAGCAGGCTTCAACAAGCATGAGTGACATATCTAAACCGGTTCAGTGTCAGTCTTGGATTTAAAACCGGTTATTATCAAGGTTTGAGAAATCCGGTTATCTACGAAATAGGTCTCCTCTTCTCTTCCGTTGGAATTGTAAACCGGGAAATTCCTTAAGAAAAATCAGACATGGAAGGAATTATAAAAACCGGTTTAATAGATTCAAATTTTGAAAATCATTTGACAATGTATCAAATACAATATTGTCATTTTCGGTAAATTAACTTTACTTGGGGTTTTTCCATAAAAACACCAAAAAATTTAATTAATAAATAATCGTTTGACTTTAATCATTGTATCAAATACATAAAACCGGTTTAATAACAGTTTAAAAATTTCTGTTGAAAAATAAATCCAAATTTTGAAAATCATTTAATAATGTATTAAATACAATATTGTCATTTTTAGTAGATTAACTTTATTGAGTTTTTTTCCCTAATAAACACCAAAAAATCACATTTTTAAAATCGGTTCAACCCGATTTTACTATAAAATAAAATAATCTCATTTGGAAACATTTATTTTAATTAAACAGGTCGATGTCTTAATCTTTACTTTGATTTAAAAAAAAAAAAAAATTTGTAAGGTTATATTAAAAAAAAGGATAAACGAGCATTCTTGTCAAACTGTCATGATCTTAACTTAAAAACTCAAATTTGTCTACTCCAAGAATTTTAAATTTCCCTCTCAAGAACATATAAATATTTTACATAGTTACACATACGCACATTGTTATAACTTGCGTAGCAAGAAACAGTCATGAGTATAAGTGTATAACATATACTCTTAAGAATTTAATAATATTGTGCTTGGAAGATTTACAATAACTTCACACAACAGACTTTTTCCACTCATTTTCCCGAAAACTTACTCTTCGATCCGAATTTTCCCGGAAAGTTACTCTTTCGTTAATATAAGATAAAACCCACATGAAGATGTTCAACATTATAATCAATGACATGGCGATCATCTGGAGAAGGATTGTTTCAGCATTAATGCTCTTGAGATATTTCTATAATCCTCTCCTTGTTTTCTTTTTCATCGGTTCGGTCCTTTTCTTGCTTATCATCGACCGTAATCGCTCTGTTTATGAAGAAATCGAAAGTTTATATGTTCTGTGCACGTTTGAAGAAGACAGGATAGTTGATGGTAACACCATAGACGAGAACAAAGAATGTTGTAATCTCACAAGATACTACTATGACGACGGTGATTGCTTTGGCTTTTACGGTGGTTTTCACGAAGTTGATCATGATGGTGATGTACGGAATGGTGATGAAGATCATAGCCAGTGCAATCAAGATGGTGGTGATGATGGTATTGAAAACCATGATGATGATCATCATGCCCATGTTGATGATGAAGATGGTGATGATGATACATTGACGAGCAGGATTGAAGATTACATTGCAAGCGTTTACAATGGATGGAGAGAAGAGAGACGAGCAGAGAATCTGTTTGTCTGACAATTTCACTACTCTGTTTTTTTTTTTGTTCTCTTCTTTCTCTCTGTATTGTTGTGGTGTGTACATAAGTTTTGGTTGACAGAGATTTAATATCGCCTTTAATCAGTAAGTTATGTATCGATTTGTAATTATTAAAATGCAGAAACAAGAACCAACAACAAAAAGCATCAAAAAGATAAATACTTTCTGACATTTATAAAGCCTCTTTTTTGACATTACAATGCCTTACATGAAGACAACTTGATGAAACAAAAGACAGGATCTATGATCAGCAGCAGCATTTTCTCATAAATCCACAGTTAATTCAAATTTAATCTGTAAAAAGCAAAGTCATCTTCTACGAGTTTAAAAGCGTTGCAGGTTACAAGATCACATCATCACATTTCCTTACTGAAATCAACAACATAATTGGCTAGTTAACAACAAGTAAATCAAACATATTCATGAACATAAGGGGACTTGGTGGAGAAGTCATCACCTCAAGGATGCTTTAAGAAAGCAAGTCCAGAAAGCTTTTGTCCAACCTCCCATCATACAACATATTCCCGACCAAACTTATCGTTGAAGCATCTCCAGCGAAGCCGCAACTCCTCATTTCCTTGATGAGTTCTGCTGATTCTGCTTTGTCACCATCTCTGAGATGTGCCCTGATCAGCGTATTATAGGTACAGCTATTTGTTCTCACCGAACAGATCAACTGCATCGTTCAGCTTTATATCAGGAAGCCCATTTCTCAATCTCTCTCTGGAATCATCACTGAGACGCTCGTCTCCTGCAAAGGGAGAAGGAGGGAGGAGCCATTACAGGATTACCTTTTTCCAGCATACTTCGATGAGTAAATCTCTGGGCCGTAAAGGCAATAGCAAACCTCATCTTCTCGATCGCTCTGTAAACCCTAAATGCACCTGAACAGTTTGTGGGTTTTCCTTCAAGCACTGAGAGAGAGAGAGAGAGAGAGAGGGAGACTCACGAGGAGAGTGTCACTTCTTAGACCGGCCGGTTCAGTTTAATTTCAATACGAGAGATTACGATTCTTGTTTAATTTGATTTAAGATCCCCTTTCATTTTCCTGATTTTCACTGACTATTTTCAAACAAAATATGGCAATCAAAATTCAAAATTGTTCGAGGTCATCTATCAAATATATGGATATGTGAATAATTTTGGGTTAGAGCTGATAAAAAAAAAAAAAAAATCAGACTACACACAAAATAGTTTTGTTTGGGTTAACTTTATTGAAAAGGTTAATCTTTGATACTTACATTGTAAAGGAAGCTCCTTTTTCTTCATTCTCCTGGAAAGGAGCTTCCTTTACAATATGGTGTTTATCATGAGGTTGATGATGATGGTGGTATATGAAATGGTGATGATTATTATAGTCGATAGAATGAAGACAGTAGAAGAACTCACTTGATGATAATAAGTTGGCATCGAGGTTAAGAGAATGGAATTTTCCAAGTGGTAACATATAAGACCCCAAACAAACGGTTTCAACTGCATCAGGCAATCCACGGGATCGACTTCACTGGCTCTTTGCTGCAACTAGCTTTTCTTTCTCTAGGGAGCAACGTTAGATCTGCTTGTCTCTTGCACAGGCAGGCATTGCAACACCCTTTCGATATACAACAATTCAAAGATTGATATTCCCATGAAAGCAAGAACAGGAGACCAGCTTCCTCAGCCTTGAAACCTCATCACTCACCGATGCTTGCTCAACTATTCTCTGTTTAAGAAAGCATATCGAGAAAGCTTTTGTCCAATCTCCCAACATACAACAAATCAATGACCAGGCTTATCGTTGAAGCGTCTCCAGAAAACCCACAACTCCTCATTTCTTTGATGAGTTCAGCTGATGATTCTTTGTCACCATATTTTAGATGTGCCCTTATCAGCGGGTTATACGTACCGCTGCTTGGCAAAGTCCCACCTTCTTTCATTTCTCTAAACAAGGCATCCGCTTCATCCAGTAGTCGTTTACTACACAGCCCTGAGATCATTGTATTGTATGTTACCACATCCGGATGCACTGCTTTGCGCATGAGGCTACAAAACAGATCTTGTGCGTCTTCCACATGACCAGCCTTGCACATCCCGTGAATGACGATATTATATGTAGTAATATCAATATCCATCCCGCTCTTTTGCATATCTTCGAACACCACCAACGCTTTCTCTAGCTTCCCGATATCACAGAGTCCATCTAACAAAATTTTGTAGGTCATAACACTGGGAGGGACATCACTAGAAAGCATCACTTCGAAAACTTTTTGGGCCTTCTCATAGTCGCCATCTTGTAAAAAACCTTGAATAAGAATGTTGTAAGTGATTGTGTTGCCAACCAATCCTCTTTGAGACATCTCACGGAAGAGTTCCATGCCATCATCTACTTTCTTACACTTGCAAAACCCATTTATAAGAATGTTATAAGTCACTACATCTGGTAGAACACCCTTGCGAACCATCAGATCAAACATTTTTATGGCGTCGTCTAGGCGATCATGCATGCAAAGCCCGTTTATAAGCGAACTGTAAGTGACTGTATTAGGATTGATAGACCTTCTGATCATCTCCTCGTACAACCTCTCGGCCTCCAAAAGTTTTCCTTCTTTAGCAAACGCATCGATCAGTGCGTTGAAAGTGAACGTATCGGGGTTGATTCTCCTCTCAATCATATCGCTTAGTAGTCGAGAGGCGTCACTCCATCTTCCGTAGTTACAGAGACAGCTTATGAGGGTGCTGTAGGTAACGACACTTGGTCTAACTCCTTTGGTCTCCATTTCACTGAATAGGTCGAGTGCGTCATCCACATGCCTGTACTTGCAGAGACTATCAATGAGTGTGTTGTAGATCACAACACCAGCCTCTATTTTCCTCTCCTCCATGTTTCTGAGCAGATTCAAAGCCAAATCAGTATGACCTCTCTTACATATTCCATTCACTAACACACCGTAAGTAACTAAACTTGGTTGACATCCTTTCAGCACCATCCGTTCAAGTAAAGCCACTGCTTCTGAGACTTTGTTGTTGAGAAAAAGCCCGTGGATCAGAGTGTTGAACGTGACGGTATCAGGTTTACATCCCATCTCCACCATTTGATCAACCAAAGCTACGGCATCAGAGATCCTCTTACCGTGACAGTATCCACTGAGAAGCGAGGTAAGCGTGACAATGCTGGGATCAAAGCCGAGTTTCATCATCTTCCCAAGAATGGCTAAAGCAAGAGAGAGCTCAGAGCGGCGGCAAAAACAGTTTATGAAAATATTGTAAGTATAGAGATCATGAGGAATCCCTAACATTTGCATCTGCTCGCCGAGAGAGATGACAACATCATACTTCTTCATCTTGGCAATGGCACTCAGCAATTTACTGAACTCAATAATGGAAGGGCGTGGACGAGACTTGGCCATCTCACCGAACAAATCAACGGCATCGTCTAGCTTTATATCACGAAGCCCACTTCTCAAAATCTCTCTGTAATCATCACTACGACCTGAGAAAGCTCGTATCCAGCAACGGAAACCGTAAAAACCACTTCTCTGAAGATGACTCCGATGAACAAATCTCTTTGGTGTCGACGAAATCACCATCACCCTCCACATTTTCTCGATTTGGATTCAGCTGATTTTGGGATCCGAGAGAGTGACTGCTTTAACCCGATTTTGTAACCCGATAACCGATTTTGTAACCCGATAACCCGATTTCAGTAACCGACCGGTTCACTCTGTGTTCTCTGGTCCGGTCTGGTTTTATAATTTCTACTTTTTTTAGTGTCACAAAGAAGAAGAAGAGATGGAATTTGTACTGTATAAAATCAAACTCTCAAACCAATAAACCAATTCGGTTTTGTAAGAACCGAATACATTTCATCTCACCCTGCACACAACTCCAACTAAAAAACACCATGTTTTTTTCTCATCAGAGGTTTAACACAAATCATTTTTAATGTCACAAACACTATATAATATGATCCAAATCAACAACATCAAGTCGGCTTAGCGAAAGAAATCTGATCCCTAAACTTGGAGATCTCGCTGCGGATCATCTCTTCAGCTTGTGGCTTCACAAACATACAAGTAGTATCCAGTTTCAGTACTTGTATTATGAACTTCTGCGAACAAGGCAACGAACTGTTCAAATGTGCAATGAGCTGCGCCATGGGAACGTCACTGCAAGAAAAGAAAACCAAAGCTTTGGTTTAAAAAAAAAACCGAATATGAACAAAAACATGCCATTAACATACTCGAAATTCTCAAAATCTACCATGAGATGAACATTCCTTTGATGGAGTTAACCATTGATCCAACCTCAAGAGAATCACCAAAAACTGCAAATAACATACTCGAAATTCTCAAAATTCAGCCATGGGAACAACTCAAGCTCGGTTTAATATGCGATTTAACATGATTGAACACTAATCTACGATAAGGTTGTAACCAGATTCAGTACAAGTGATAAAAGCTTTGCGGTTTATCATCCACAAAGTCGATTTTTTCGACTATTATCTTCAGAGATTCCAATTTATTTACACGAAATTCAGAAAACCCAGAAGCAAAATCAAACCAGACGACAACAAAAGGATGAAGAAGGACAAGAATGTGATCGAGAGAGATGAATTGGGTTTCTGGTAACCCTAACCGAAATATTATTTAGGGCTTCTTATAACCCATCAAGTAGAAGAAATCAACGTAGAGAGAGATTCAGAATCCAACGGAAACCCAAAATAAGAGACCAAACAAACCAAAAGTTCGACGTAGAAACCTTTGATCTCACACAAATTTCGTTCGATTCAGAAAGTTTATTCGGAGAACCAAAATCCAGAGAAAGAGAAACCCACCACGATGATGAACGAGAGAGGATTATTGAAGAATTTGTTAATTTTTGTTAGTACAACTACGAAAGGACTAAAAACAATTTTGCAGCTAAACAAAGGAAACCTCTGAACGAGTTAGAGGGTTCCAATTTTGGTTGACCAAGAAACATTAATGATACTTCTCGTGCATCACCAATGTTTTTAAAAGACTAAAGATTACACAAATCTCTAATGCCACAAACCCTAACAACACCCACAGTGACAAACATACGATAAACCTTTCTTTCTTTCATGTCACAGTGATCAAACCCATGTGTCTTGTAGGAGTGTGTCGCCATTAGTCCTCGTAATCATCCAGTGTCGAATAGATTAACCTAACAAAAGAAGAAGTTACAACCTAAGTTTAACAGTTTCTTCTAATCTGGTTTCAGGGTTGAGCAAAAGACAGCGAAGAGGTTTTATTTACTTACCAGAAAATGGTGAGAAAGAGTGTGAGGATCATGTAAGCGAGCTTGAAGAGCCGTTTCTTCTTTTCCCAATCAAGCAAGTTGAAGATCTCTGTGACGTCTATCAAATGCTGTTTCTTCGAGTAACTAACATAGAAAAAGAAGTATATACTCTTTAATATCAAGAGTCAGCTTAAGACATTGGATGTTTTAATACCTTGCTTCAACAGAGAGACTCACAGTTGAAAATTGTAGTAGAGATAAGGGACACAGAGTAGTGCCATGAACCAGTGACCCGTCACGAGGTAGAGTAAACATAAAAGTCCCTGAAGAATGAATTCTGGTAATACCACAAAGTTTATTCTTGATGCAGAGTCGTAAGGGTTGATGTAATCAAACTCGAGATCAGCTAAGCAAATAAGCTGCAAATAAACAAAAAAAAATCAGTTTTTTAGTTACACTAACATATACAAAATCTGATTTCTTGTCAATCCAATCACCTTCAAACATTTAAAACATTATAAGTCTAAATCCTTTTTTATCAGAGTATGAGCACAAAGTGAAAATCTAAGCTAACTTCTTTCGTAATCTAAAACGAAAACTATCACACCATATCATTAACCAATTCAAGAAACAACACCAGTAGATTCCACACAAATTGTGAAACCTTAAAGTTACTCCATTTATCACATATTCAATACTCAAAAACCAATTCTAACAAACGATATTTCTGTTGCAAGAACACGAAACCCTAAATTTCAGTGGTAACAACTTATTCTCTCAATCGAACAAGCAGAAGCAGAGCTATTCCTAATACAATTAGGCAAGAAGATTCGATTGGAACCAAAGTATAAGTTTTTAAGAGTTTTTTTTGTTTGTTCATAAGTTGGAATCGGATCGAACCTGATAAACGATTAATCCGACAAGAGTGATAAGGATTAAGAATGAAATAATCCATGTCCAGACATCTCCCATCCCTCTTCCTCCTGGCTACGACAACAATTATCTCAGATCGATTTCGCTGTATTCTTCTTCTTCTTCTTCTACTCTGTCACACCTTCTATTTTAAGCTTCTAAATCCCTAAGATCCTAATGACGAACAGAGTTACAGAGAGATAAGTTTGTTGTCGGAGAATTCAAGATTTTCTGATCGGAACTGCTGTGGAAGAAAGTACGAGACTTCCGGTTTTTGACCTTTTCTGTAGACCGAATAAAATCCCGGTTTATGTCGGTTTTGATACCAATAATGGTGATCGTGTATCAGTCGGTTAAACCGGTACAAGTTGTTAAAGCCCATGGGTCAATAAATTTAAGCCCAACTTGTATCGTTTTTGAGATAATATAGGATTAGTTTTTTTAATCTTTGAGGTTTTACCGAATGTGGGACCCAAAATTCCTTCAATCATGTGATTGATAGATAAAAAGCCAGCTGTTTTCTAGTTGCGAAAAACAAGCTTCAGCTTTTCGATGTGTGTCTGTTTTTTTTTCTCTAACTAATTTTTTTTAAGACTTTTAGTACTTTCAAATAATTGGCCTAATTTTACTGCCACCTTTTAACTTTAAAAATATTTTAGTAAAAAGGAAATAGAATTTGAAGTTTTGTAATTACCTTTCGCTCACCATTTCTCTAGCGAAATTTTAACAGTTTTTTTTTTTAAACAGTTTCTTCGTAGAACGTATATACTTGGCAATATAAAAAAAAAAATTATACAGGGTTTTGCTGCAAGTTTTTAGAACTCGATATGAATTCTTATTTTCGGTAAGTGAATTCTCGTTATTATCATATATACATAAACTCATAAATAAACCATTATGAGAAATTATAGAAATTTCATGGTTAAAAATATTTTGTTAAGTCCATATAAAATTTCCTATATTCATGGTTTAAAATGTCGATAAAAATGTTCATGTTACATATCTGTTACATATTACATACTATATCATCTCTGTTTTGCATAGATCGATGTTTTAAAACGAACAATTTATAAAGTTCAAAAAAAAAAAACCAACAATTTATATTGATGTAAATAAGGAAAAACTTGTGTTCTAACATTTTGCTGAGTTATACCCTGAATCCACATTTTTCTCTTTTAAAAAACAACTTTATATTTAATTTTTTTATACAATAGAAATAAAATAATTGTCTTCCTTAAGAGTTGGGAATACATGAGTTAATACTTATTTATTTTGCAACTTTACATCGAACACCTAAAGAAAATGTACGGGTAATATGAAACCATCGAATAAAATAAAGAAGTAACATTAATTTATTCCAATTATGAGGTGACTTCTGATTTATTATTTTTACATATTTTTATCTTTTTGTTGTTTGTATTTATCAGCTCTATACACAAACGTAGTGGAGTGGTTGGCATAGAGGATTCTAAACTCTAATACACGCTTGTGAATGAAGCAAATTACACAATAACATTAATAATTCTAATATAATATAATCATCTTTTAGTATTATTATTATTTTTCTTATTACTGCTTTTGCTGTAATCATTTAGATACAATCATACAATCAACACTTTCTTTGTGAAATACACGCATGCCGACATACAAATAAACCAAGAAATCTATTCATAAAAAGAAAAATTAGTACCTGATTTGGTATTCTAATCTTTTAATTGGCAATGGAACATATTATTCATTTTGTTACACCATTAGTAATTTATTATAGTACTTTTAAAAGATATGTACTGTTAGCGAGGGTTTACCACCATTTGCTAAAAGCTCTTTATAAATTAAGAAAATGTTCATTTGAAATCCTACTTCCGCTTATGGGGTTAGATCGATTCATTAAAATGAAAATATCCGAAGATTCATTTAAATCCCGAAAGAAAAGGAAATTAAATTCTGAGAAAAAAAAAATTATCCAGGAGAATGATTCGACTCGAAGCGGTCAACGACGATTATAAAAGGAGAGTCTTTTCCTTCGAAGACCATTCATTCACAACTTCAAACTTGAGACTTAGAACAAACAATAGCTTTCTCCTTTCAGCTTTAGATCTCGAGTCTTTAATCATTAAACTTTAAGTCGATATTCTTTTCTGACAACATAAAATTATTTATTCTTCAAGCTCCGGCTAATCAATAAAACTATATCTTTTTTCTCCACAAATTTTTATATTTTCTCTACAGGAGATATCCAAATTTACGTATACTCAAATCTAGAGTATATGGTGGTTATGTGTCAATGTATTTCAGTTAAAGATATGTGGGTTTAAAATGTGCATGTACGTAGGATCACTGAAACAAATCATTGATTTAAAAACAGAATACAAATTTTGTTTGGTTTCTGTTACTAAAAGTTGGGAAATATTACATACTTCAAGATACTGACCCCTAAAAAAAAAGCATACCTTAAGATAGTCACGTAAAATTATGTTATAATAAAGGGTACTTACGTAAGTTTTGTATAATACCAGAAGTAGTAACCATAGTTTTGTTAAAGTGGTGATAATTCGTTGGAAATAATGTTCTAAAAGGTTTTGTATATACAGTGTAACTACACATGCCTTTGATGTGACTTTTGTATGGACAAATCATGCGAGTTACGATAGTCAAATTTAGTTAGTGTTTCTTGTCTACATTTACTCTTTTTCTTCATTTAAAATGTGTTTTAATTCTTCCTCTTGTTATTTGATAATTCTTATTACTCTTTGCTTTTTTCCAAATACAAAAAGCTGGTTTGCATGTTGCATTCGATTATTAAATCAGAGTATGCAAGGTCTTTTTGGAGATATAGGCAAAGGATGAAAGAATGGTGGCAAACAAATATTTTCTGAAGAGGACACGTGTACCGAGTCAATTGGAGAAAAGAATAAGAATACTCTCACGTGTGAGACAAAATCTCCACCTTTGTTTTTGTTTGTTTTGTTGATTGTAGAATGCCATTTTTTCACGAGAGTTTATAATAAATCGAAGAAATCTGTTTTATGCTTCTTAGTAGAGAACAATGTGAACTTCATAGTTTCGATGATTGCACACACACAATTAAAGTTTGGAAGAGAAGAAATTTTTTTTGTAAAACTTCTTGTATAGTGAATTCGAGATTACAATTTTTGCTGAGTTCAAAATCACATTTGTTTGATATTCTAATATTGAAGTTTTCTATAGTAAACCATGTTTGACGAACGAAAACAAGAATTACGGGATTTCGATATATATTGTCAACTTCGTATTGAAATAAATAGACACACGAGACATCTAGCTCAATAAAAGTATAAAACAAATATTATCCAAAGCTTGATTGTATATCGACATAATGGTAATCATATTGCTAAGCAATCTCACCCAAAAAAACTACATTCTGCTAACGAAAAAGTTAACAAACATATTTTGTAGTGTTGATTTGTTAATTAAATCGGTGGAAGAAAAGATTTTCACTATATATATATAGCTTTTTATTTTTATTGCAATGGTCGTTGAACAGCGAGGGTTCGTCAATGAATTTAGTCTTAATATAATTAGACACAAATACCAATATCTGACATAGGCAAGACATTCATTCGAAGTGAACCACAACAAAATATCAGGGTTCAATATCGATCTCAAACCATATAAACAATTGATATCGATCTCAAACTTTGGTGTTGTTGGTGTTTAAGGTCTCTAGGTTTTTGGTTTGCTTTGCTTAAGCTAGTTGACACGGCTCCTAGGTTCTTGGTTTGGTCAGCTTTCTGGTTTCTCGTGGGTTCGGAGGAGTTTCTAGGTTCAAGCCTCCCTGTTGGTGTTCGGTTGGCCTAAGTTCGAGATTAGTCAAGTTTATCTCCTGTCTTTACTTTTTTTTTTTACTTTTTTTTTACTGTGCTTTATGATTAGAAAGGATGAGTTAAAAGATAAATATAAATTCATCAATACAAAGAAATTAATCTCTGTTTCATATTATCGGTTCTTTTGGGTAAAATACAAAGATCAAAAATTAACTTTTATTTAAAAAAATATCAATTAACAAATAAACTAGATATAGTTCAACCAATTATACAATAAACTGTATTATTGGTTATACAATATCCAATAAAGTTAAAAGTGATATTGAAAAGTGAAAACAACTTACATTTTGAAATAAAATTATACTCCTAAAACAATTTTCATTGTGAAACAAAATTGTACTCCTAAAACAATTTCCATTGTGAAACAGAGGGAATATAATTAAGCAAGACAATAATCTTATTTCATTCTATTTTATTCAAACTCTCAAGTAATTAACATGTTATACGTTCAAAACATTATCATTTAAAGCATTTAGTGTTATTTTTCTTTGTAAATTTCATAATGTTTGTTAGCATGTGTTTTGTTGAATAATAAACTGGCGTTTTCATCAATTTTTTAATTTATGTCTTGATATTTTTTTATCTATTTAGAGTTTTTTAAATTTTGTATCAATTTTTCTCAGAATTTAGATTGTTTTGAAGGAAAATAAGTTATCTTGATTGCAAATGTACATACGAAGATTCAAGGTTATGTGAAAGTGTCAGAAGTTTCGTATTTGTTTCAGAATTTTCGACCTATAAGTCACGGTAATATTTAGATACAAATTAAATAGAATAATGAATAATATTCAAACAATGCTGGAAGATTAATTCTATAATATTTTCGATATATATATGTGGTGACATTCTATGATTTATTCTCTGTACATATGGGTTTTGTAGAACAAAAAAAAAGGAAACAAACAAACAGATGGTAAATGTTTTAAGATAACCTGAAGTTACAAAGTTTACAAGATGATCTCCAAATTCTTGCGGTTGATAAATAATAACACAACGGATAATTTTCAAATTAAGGACCATTCATTTTTCCAATAATTGGAATGATTTTTCAAAAAAACAAAAAAGTCGTACGTTTTTTGTTTTTCTTTCACAAAATGATCGTATTCATAATTGCATTATACGATCGTACACAAGAAGGTGGGAGACAGTTGTGACGTGTGGCTATTTTGACATTAAGACACTGACCAATTAAATTTTGACTCCTACTAATCACCACTTGTTTACTTTAAATATCGTTTTATTATTTATTAATATTTCTACATTTTATTTTGCCATTTCTTATATCCTTTCCATAAAGAGATTGAACTTTTAAAAAATTGGTAATACAGTATTCTCATATTCTTAATAATTAAACAAATTAAAAATTCCACAAATCAGTACGTGAAATCTGCAGATATATGACGTCAAAAATATGCATATATATACATAGAACGAATGTGCAGTTTTATTTTCAGATTTATGAATTTGATTGTTTTTCGTATAATAGAATACACAAAAATAAATATGTCGATGGTTTAAAAACGATCAATCTCCATTGAGGCATTGACAATTCTATACCTATATTCACAGAGCCAGAAAATAAAAAGAATCTAACCCAAACATTCTTTCATTTTGTAACCCTACGTAATATGTTACAGATCTTATGAAGAAATTAGATTCCTTTTTCTGTGAGACTGACATTTGATTAAGATAGCTCATTGAGTTTATAATCTAGATATATTGGATACTATGGTTTATAAATAGTCAAAAGTTCGACAAATAGATAAGTTTACTATTGGGACGTCCAAAAAAGAAGACGACAAGTTCAATGTTGGATTTTTAGACCTAATTTTCATGAAGACTAAGATCATGAAGCAATCATAAATCAACAAAACATTTAAATAAAACCAATATCCACTGCGATCTGCAAATTTTCAATTTTAATATGAATTTGTGATAAGTAACACATATATGATATATCTATTATTATGCTCTTCTGCAGATAACATTTAAATTTATAATATAAGGTTAGCAAAAGTAGAGTAAATAGATATAATAAAAATAGGAAGTAGAGTAAATAACTTTACAGAGAAAAAGGTAGAGTATAAAGAGCAACGATGAAAAACATGAAATGAGTGTTGTAACGACCATGAGGCTCATGAATACCACACAAGACAGTTAAAAAGGTGAGTAAAAAAAGTCACTGTGGAGGGAAAGAGAGAGTAAGAAAGTCAAATGTTTCATTAAAAAGGTAAGAAATACAATCATCAACTCTAAAGAAATCATTTAAGAATACAGTAAATTTACGTTTAACAAAATATCATTGATTATGAAGTGTAAGTTGTAGTAGGAGTAGCATAGCTATGAATTTTTAATTACTTCTCTTTTTTTACGTTGCAAATAGTATCAAATTAATATATCTTCCAAACATATTGATAAAAATGAGATATACAATTAAAAAAAAAATAGATGAGAGTTCTTTTTTTGGGGGTTTGTAAAATGCAGTCATACTATTCTGAGTATATTTTTCTTTTTTTATGAGTGGTGGTAAAAAAAATGAATTAATTGTCGTCTCACCATATGAATGCAATATAACTAATTTTACTGAAATGTGGAAATGAATAAAGAATTTACTAAGGAGTGTCCTTTTGGTCAACAACAACACACACACTCTCTCTCTCTCACATTCACAGTGTCACAGAGACACAGTCTCTATAGAAACAAATTAAATTCCTAGGTTGCCCTTTTATGCCCACATTCTGAATATATCCCACATAGACAACAAGACACAAATGGAAACCCCACTCATCATTCTTGTATTTTTCCTTTTTTATAATAAAAAAGTAAATCTATTAAATTAACACACACATACACATACAAAAGAAAATTCATATATCTTTCATTCATTTATTAACACTTTCACACAATTATCTACTTTAAATCATTTAATGATTTTGTACTAAGTTTGTGAACTGCTTATGTCATGAATGATTTATAATCATATGGGTGGTTACTGGTTAGTTCACAACACGAATTATACCATTTCAAAACTCTTTAGATACCAAATTTGATTACGTGGATTAGTTGATACTATAGAATAGTTAGACAATATTATAAACATTAATATAAAAATTAAATTAAGGAAAAGAGGAAACAGACGAAGACCTCTTCCACACAAGAACCCAACAATTTACTCAAAAAAAAAAAAATGAAAGCAGGAGACATCAACAAAACAAAAATTGAAAAAAGGGTTATTCATTTTTTTTTATTTTTTAAAAAAGGTGTAAAATAATTAGAAATAAGAACCTTTTTATAGAGAGCGTGAGACCACGCACCAATGAGAAGGAAGTGAGAGAGTCTAACATCCAATGCTTTGTTTCCGTTCTCGTACGACGTGGGACTCTGGTCTCACCTTGTTCCTATCAAACGTTCCATTCAATGTTACATTTTCACTCCACGCGCATCTCTCAAGCGCGTGAGATTCACTCTTTAAAACTCTGTCTCTCTCATTTTTCTACTTCTCTCTCTCTCCTGTCTCTTTCTTCTCTTTGAATTTTCTTCAGAGTTTAAAAAAAAAAAAACCGGAAAGAAACGATCAGTGAGAGTAGAGAGAAGAAACATATTTTTTTTTTTAAGTAGAAAGAACGAGAGCAAGTGAGTTTTTTTTTTTGTTTGGTCTGGTTTCCACCATGAAAAATCATCACCGGAGCTCCGATCATCTCCGACCGCCGGCGGATTTTCCCGGCTGAAATTTAACCTTTCTTTTTTTTACTGCTTCTCGTTTAAAAACAACGCAAGAAAACTAAGAATCAACAACTCCCGCTTAAACCCATCGCAGAAAATTTTCTCCGCCTGAAATTTTTTTCATTTTCCGGGAAACTTTTTTTTTCCAATTTTCAATTCCTTGGAAATTTTTATAATTTTGTTGATTCTCTGTTTAATTCAACGAGGAGGTTTTTTTTTTTGTGGAGTTTTCATTTTGCAATGGCGACGACGACGACGAACGCGACTCAATCGCAGTCACCGCAACCGCCATTACCGTCGGCGGAAGAAATAGCGTCCAAGGCGTTACAGAAGCGTTACGAAGGATTGATGTTGGTGAGAACAAAAGCAGTAAAAGGCAAAGGCGCGTGGTATTGGAGCCATCTCGAACCAATCCTGCTCCACAACACCGACACTGGTCTTCCCAAAGCCGTCAAGCTCCGGTGCTCCTTATGCGACGCCGTTTTCTCCGCCTCTAACCCTTCTCGAACCGCCTCCGAGCATCTCAAACGCGGGACCTGCCCCAATTTCAACTCCATACCCAAACCCATCTCCACAATCTCCCCTTCTCCTCCTCCTCCGCCGTCTAATCGAAAACGAAATTCCTCCGGCGGAAGCTCCGTCGCCGTCGAACCGCTGAACCATCATCACCCGGGGTCTTACCACGTGACGCCTCTCACCGTCGTTGATCCGTCGAGATTCTGCGGCAGGGACTTGCAGTACTCGGCGTCTTCTCCCGCCGTTGGGTTGCTCTCGCAGCAGCCGCATTTGATGCTCTCCGGTGGAAAAGACGATTTGGGTCCTTTAGCCATGCTTGAAGACAGCGTGAAGAAGCTCAAAAGCCCCAAAACTTCGCAGACGCAGAATCTGAGCAAAACCCAGATAGAATCTGCGCTTGATTCTCTCTCCGACTGGGTTTTCGAATCCTGCGGCTCCGTTTCTCTCTCCGGCCTCGAGCACCCGAAGCTGAGAGCTTTCCTGACGCAAGTTGGGTTACCGATCATCTCAAGGAGGGATTTCGTCACCGGGAGGTTGGATTCGAAGTACGAGGATTCGAGAACAGAGGCCGAGTCGAGGATCCACGACGCAATGTTCTTCCAAATCGCTTCCGACGGGTGGAAATTCGAGAGCTCCGGCGAGAATCTCGTCAGCTTGATCGTGAACCTGCCCAACGGGACGAGTCTGTACAGACGAGCCGTGTTCGCGAACGGAGCTGTTCCGTCTAACTACGCGGAGGAGGTTCTGTGGGAGACGGTGAGGGGTATTTGCGGGAATTCACCTCAGAGGTGCGTCGGGATCGTCTCCGATAGGTTTATGACTAAAGCGTTGAGGAATCTCGAGAGCCAGCATCAGTGGATGGTGAACCTCTCTTGTCAGTTCCAAGGATTCAACAGTTTGATCAAAGACTTCGTCAAAGAGCTTCCTCTGTTCAAATCCGTCTCTCAGAGCTGCTCGAGGCTCGTCGGTTTCGTCAACAACACGGCGCAGATCCGAAACGCTCTGTGCAAGTATCAGCTGCAAGAGCAAGGAGAAGCAAGAACGCTGCATTTGCCTCTTGAGTGTTCCTCCTCGTTCGAGCCATTGTATAACCTCCTTGAGGACGTTCTTAGCTCCGCTAGAGCGATTCATCTGCTGATGCATGACGATGCTTGTAAGGTTGTTCTGATGGAGGATCACTTGGCTAGAGAGGTCGGTGAAATGGTCGGGGATGTCGGGTTTTGGAACGAGGTAGATTCGGTTTACTCGCTGTTGAAGCTCGTTAAAGAAATGGCTCGGAGGATAGAGGAAGAGAGGCCTTTGATAGGGCAATGCTTGCCGCTTTGGGACGAGCTTAGGTCCAAGATTAAAGATTGGTACGCTAAGTTCAACGTAGTTGAAGAGAGACAAGTAGAGAAGCTCGTCGAGAGGAGGTTCAAGAAAAGCTATCACCCGGCTTGGGCTGCTGCGTTTATACTCGACCCGCTCTACTTGATAAGAGACAGCTCCGGGAAGTTTCTTCCTCCGTTCAAATGCTTGTCGCCGGAGCAAGAGAAAGATGTCGATAAGCTTATAACAAGGCTTGTCTCTAGAGACGAGGCACATATCGCTATGATGGAGCTGATGAAATGGAGAACGGAAGGGCTTGATCCGGTTTACGCACGGGCGGTTCAAATGAAGGAGAGAGATCCGGTTTCAGGGAAGATGAAGATAGCTAACCCACAAAGCAGTAGACTTGTTTGGGAAACTTATCTTAGTGAGTTCAGGTCATTGGGGAGAGTTGCTGTTAGGCTAATCTTTCTCCATGCTACTTCTTGTGGGTTCAAATGCAACTCTTCTCTTTTGAGATGGGTGAACTCTCATAGACGATCACGAGCAGCCATGGATCGAGCTCAAAAGCTAATTTTTATATCAGCAAATTCGAAATTCGAGAGGCGGGATTTCTCAAACGATGAAGAGAGAGATGCTGAGCTTCTCACTATGGCTAATGGTGAAGATGTGTTAAACGATGTTCTCATTGATACATCATCAGTGTGACTTGTTAATTTTTTTTTTTTTTACTTCTTGTTTTGGTTAATTAGTTTTTCTTTAGAACTTGAGCCCATTTTGTAGGATTGCTTGAATTCATTTTTTTTTACTACCGTTAATTCAATTTGTAATTTGGCTTCTTGAGAAAGAGAGCCATTTCATTGTATTTCTTTAGCCTATTTCGATCATAATTTTAGGCGATTTTCCCTGTGTTTTTTTTTTACTGTAGCAATGATCTTGTGACTGGTTTTAAAATTCATATATTATACAAGTGATTCTTGTAACGTTCTTGTTGTCTTTATCATACTGAAAGTTCCATGTTTCTTGGCTTGAGTATAGCAATATGTGAAACGACTTGTATTTCGTTTTTCTTTTTCTATTGTCGTAATCATTAATCTATATTGGTTCAGAAGCTCAAAGCTTGTAGTTAAGAACATTAATGGCATCAACAGAAGATTCAACGACAGCTTCATCTTCTCTATTGTACATTGTAATGATACCTTTCTCTGTCTATTTTGTTCTTTTTCTCATTAACGTTAATATTCTTTAATCATGAGCCGAACCAATGTCTTTCCATTTCAAGAAATCGACTTAATAATTAAAAAAAAAAAACATTTTAATTTGGTATAATTTTCATGTTCTTTCTTCATCATAACATGTTAGTTTCTCTTGATGTAGACCTTTTTGTCATCCAAGAACATAACCGGGTTTTCGGGTTTTCCAATATGATTATTGATTTATCTATCTATATAACTATTAATCTATAGTATTGTTTTCTACATGTTTTCTCAAAAAAATATGTGGATCCCCACAAGGAAAGCAAGCTTAGTGGGAGGTTCTTGCATCAAAATCATAGCTTTTTGAAGTTCTATTGGAGTTGTGAAAGTGAAACTGTCGAAGTAGAGGAACAATCTTAAAAGCTTAGACCCCAAAATCCAAAACCTTGTTTTTCTTGTTGGTTTGGAGATTACAAAAATTTGATTTGATTTTCATGGATAAAGCTCCAAGATTAGATTCTTGTAGATCTTGTAGCCACTATGTGTGTTTTTTTGTGTGTTAACCCATAATTTGTACTGTTGTGAATGGTTAAAAAGGTCAAATCTTTTGTCCTTTTTACCTAAGCTCATGATTTAACTATGGTCATTTTTGGAATTAAAAAAAAAATCAATTTTGTTGTGCAAACCCATGATTTTACACTCTTGTAAACAAGTGGTAGTAAAAGAACTTAAAAGTCAAGAACTGCTGTTGGGAAAAGTTTTAGTTGTTGTGTATATCTTTTGATATGCAAATCTTACCTCCATAATACTCATCACAGCTTTATCAATAGTACTGAACTTTGAAATTTTTAGTGGTAAAAATGTCATTGCTAGACTCGACAACTAAAGTGAAAATTACACAAATTGAGTAACAAAAGAAACACCAACAGATAAAAATACAATAAATGACGAATAAGTTTAATTAATAAATACAAAAAATATTTTTAAAAAGTAAAGAGAAACACATTCATTTTGGATGGTGTTTTAGCAGACAAATAGATAAATCTAAGTACTCTCCCTTTTTTGTGTGATAGTGCCTTGTCAACAACCATTTTCTTACAAACATATATACGTCTATATTCTACATTATAAGGTACTATAGTATTAATATTTTCCAACCGATGATTATTACTTTATCAATTCGAAAGTGTTAATGGAGAAGGCGTCAGGATTGACTCTCAGCAAGGTATTCATGACCATTGTGTGAACTATTTCTCTGATCTCTTGGGTAGTGATGTAGACAACCCCATATTTGAGCAAAGCGATTTGAGCTTGATTCTGCTTTTTAAGTGCTCTTTGGACCAGAAAGTAAAAATGGTTAAACTTTTCTCAACTGCTGAAATTAAAAAAGCATTCCTTTCTCTGCCTAGGAACAAGACAAGTGGACCTGATGGTTACTCCGCTGAGTTCTTCATCAATTGTTGGGATATAGTTGGCGCAGAAGTCACAGAAGCAGTCACTGAATTCTTCGAGTCTGGCAAACTCCTGCAGCAGTGGAATGCGACTTCCCTCGTTCTCATTCCTAAGATTACTAATGCCTCAACCACCTCTGATTTCAGGTCTATTTCTTGTCTAAATACGGTCTATAAGGTGATCTCAAGGCTACTGGCCTCCAGATTGAAAGACATTCTCCCTGATGTCATCTCCCACTCCCAATCAGCCTTTATGCCTAGTCGTTTGCTCTCTGAGAATATACTACTTGCCACTGACCTAGTTTAAGGCTATAATGGAAAGAGAATGGAGTCTAGAGGAATGCTGAAGGTTGATCTTTGTAAAGCCTTTGACTCGGTGAGATGGGACTTTATTCTTGGTACCTTAAGAGCTCTCCACATCCCTGAGAAATTTATCAACTGGATCGCTCAGTGCATCACCACTCCATCGTTCTCCATCTCTGTGAATGGCGTTTCAGGGGGTTATTTTAAAAGCACAAAAGGCATAAGACAAGGTGATCCTCTATCTCCGTACCTGTTTGTGCTTGAAATGGAAGTTCTCTCTCAGCTGCTCCTCTCGCGTTTCGAGACAAGTATTATCAACTATCACCCAAAGACCGCTGCTTTAAAAATTACTCATCTCATGTTTGCGGATGACGTGATGGTCTTCTTTGATGGAAGTAGCTCTTCTCTGCATGGTATATATGAATGCTTAGATGATTTTGCAAGCTGGTCGGGTCTTCAGATGAACAGGACCAAAACAGAATTATTTTATGCAGGCTTGAACCCAAGCGAATCCACTGCCCTGGAAAGCTATGGATTCCCGGTTGGTTCTCTGCCTATAAGGTATCTGGGCTTGCCTCTTATGTCAAGGAAGTTGAGGATTTCGGAGTATGATCCGCTGCTGCACAAGCTTGAAAATAAATTCAGAACTTGGACTGTCAAAACACTCTCTTTTGCGGGAAGAGTGCAGTTGATAAAGTCGGTCATCTCAGGAACTGTAACCTTCTGGTTTTCGGCTTTCATCCTTCCTAAGGGCTGTATTAAGAAAATTGAGTCACTTTTCTCTAGATTTTTGTGGTCTGGGAACATTGAGAACACAAGAGGGGCTAAAGTTGCATGGTCTACTGTCTGCCTTCCGAGAGAAGAAGGAGGACTCGGTCTTAGGAGATTTTCGGTTTGGAATAAAACCCTGTGCCTGAGGTTCGTTTGGCTGTTGTTTTCTAAGAGTAAGTCTCTTTGGGTGGCGTGGCAGAGGCACCACCATCTCAGAAACAAGAGCTTCTGGGCAGTCGAGCCCGCGCATCAGGATACGTGGACTTGGAAAGAGATTCTGAAACTCAGACCGGAGGCAATTAAGTTCATCAAGGGGGTTTTTGGAGATGGAAACAAATTACGATTCTGGTATGATGGCTGGTCCCCTTTAGGCCAACTGTTATACTTCATGGGGCCTACGGGTCCTAGAGACCTCAGAATTCACCTCCAAGCAACGGTTTCTGAAGCTTCTAACCATCTAGGCTGGAATCTGCCGGACCCAAGATCTGAAGAAGCAGTTTCCCTGCATACTCACCTCACAACAGTAGCTCCTCCGATGCCCAACGCTGCAGCAGATGCGTATATCTGGTCCATTGATGGAGTCGGCTGTGATAGGTTCTCATCGTCAAAAACATGGGAAGTGACGAGGCCTAGGGCGGAGATAAAGACTTGGGCTAAAAAGATTTGGTTCAAAGGCGCTGTTCCAAAGCATTCCTTCACAATGTGGACAGCAAATTTAAACAGATTACCAACAAGAGCGAGGTTGGCCATGTGGGGAATGCAGATTCAAACAGACTGCTGTCTCTGTAACAATTTCGAGGAAAACAGAGACCACTTGTTCCTGACTTGTGCTTACAGTGTAGAGATTTGGAGGTTAACTATATCCAGGCTTCGCCCATCCCAGCATATGTTCGGATCCTGGTCTGAGCTTCTCTCTTGGTTAAGAATGACCTCTGCTGCAGCGCCATTCCTGCTGCGGAGGTTAGTGGCCCAAACGACAATCTACCATATTTGGAAACAGAGGAATAACGTGTTTCACAACAAAATATATCTCTCTCTGATGGCTATCTTCAACCTTATAGACAGAGAAATCAGAAACACAATCACTGGTAGAAGGCATAGAAAAAAATTCTGTCACTTGATGATTCTCTGGTTTCGGTAACCGGTCTCACGACGGCATTAATTTGTATTTATAGTGCTCCCTTGTTTTTATTCTTTTTGCCAAGGTAGCGCTGTTTTTAGATTTGCTTTTTGTAAAATCTAACTCTTTCATTACTATTAATGATATTTACATTCTTAGCCAAAAAAAAAATCGAAAGTGTTAAAAATAATTGTTATTGAGTGCAAGGAAATTGGTTTGCTTTAAAACTATTCATCAAGGAATCATTTTTACTTGCCCAAATGAGGGGTAAAAAAACTCCATAAAGTATAAATCAATAATTATACCCCACAAACAGCATATTATAATGAAAAAGAATACACTTTTTGTTTTGATAACTTTATACTTGATTGGTATTAGATTCATCTTACCCACTTCCATTAGCTGTTGATCTCAAGAAAATTCGAAACTCATAACTACACAAAAATATTTTTACCAAAAAAAAACATTCATATTTAAAACATCTCAAAAATACTACAACTTTTAAAAAATACATATAATTTTTTTATTATACCTTGTTTTTGGATAATACCATAAGTTAGTATATATGTATATATCATTTAATACCTATATATATTGCGATTAAAAGTAAAAAAAAAAGAAAAACATTATCAACCTTTCAAAAAAAAATTTAAAATTTAAATTTTATCTTTTCTCACAAAATAAAATTAATCGTTTATTATTTTACACAGACAACATAATTAAAACAAGTAAAAATTACATTTTTAATAAAATCTTTACATATAACTCTTATGAATTATTAGTGGAAATAAAAAATTTCATTTTAGAAAAACATAAAAAAACTCAATTTTTTTAAGAAGTTATTTTGAAACAATATTAAAGTTTTATTGTTTTGTTGCAATTTCCTTCTCTTGAAAACAACGACATTATGGACTTAAATAATACATTTTTGAGATAAAATCAGTATTGCTGAAATAAGATTTAAATTAAAATAAAAAATGCATAGACGCCAAGAAAGAAGTAAAAAAGTTACGACCTCAAGAAAGTAGTTGGAATTATTGATTTGGTATTTTGGTGGTAAGACAGAATTTCCTGTCGGCAAATGCTGACTTCTCACCAAATCTCTCTCTCTCACACACACACATATTATTTGAATGTGTTTTTAATTTATTTTAGTGTAAAAGATTTATAAAAGTTGAAAAGAGAAGATTATAATGATATGGTACAGGACAATCTTTTTTAAATACACAAGAATCTCGTCCTCTCCCAATGCTTCTTCATCATTATACAAGCATCCGTTTTTTTTTTTTTATAAAAGAAAACAAAGAAAGTAGATTCGTTTTCCTTTGACATGTTTTAAACAAATTTTGGATTTGACCCGTTATATTAATTTTGTTTTATTTCTATTTACTATGAATTTTTAGTACAGCTGGCCGTTTTTCAGCAGCTAATAAGTTTTTTTTTTGGTTTACTAAGCTAATAAGATTTGCTTAAAACTATGATATTATTACTTGAGTCTTGAATTATTTATCGTGTAGGTATACAGTATAATAATGTAAAACTATTTGCTTTTTTTAATGCAAAATAAAACTATTTGCCATGTATATTTTTTCACATGGTAAATTATTTATCACTGTTTTATCAGATTAAATAATGACATACCATATACACATTTTTTTGTTCGTTTTTTTTAACTTTGCCATATACACATTAAGGCTGATGATTACGCATTTTCGCTAATGACCCTGACATGTGGCACGATAAGCAGAGATCATTGCTCTCGTGTATGGTAACTAGTAACTACATACAAAAGTGTGTTTTTTTTTTATAGAATCCAATACGTTATTTTGATCCAGTTTCGATTATAAAAAATAACACCTTGAGTATAATTTGTTAACATCATTTTAACGTAGTAAGCTGGTTGTTATGAGTTTTTTTAAAAAAGTTAAGGAAAAGACATGTAAAAAGTAAACGGTTAAAAGTAATTATGGAGAAATCGGTTTAGTTAGTGTAATAAGAGTATATGCATTGGTGAGAGACTCACGTAAACTTAAGTCTCTAACTAATTTAATATCATTAATTTTAATATTATTTAATTATATTTTCTTATTTTAAATTAAAAAGAAAAATTTTAAAGAAAACACATGATACTCTCGTAATCTCTTTTTATTCTCTTTTTTTTTTAATTTTTTTAATTTTTAAATATAAGATACTTGATGAGAGATTCTACGATTGCTGTCGATAAGCAAACAATCTATTTTAACTATCCATTCAATTAATAATGGAAGAAATTGGTTTAACATCCAGTTTGCTCCTTCTAACCGTTCGATTAACAGTAAAACCATGTTGATTAACAGTAAATCCATGTTCAGTTAACCGTTCAATTAGAAATGAGCAGTTTTGCTCTTAAACAGCCATGTTTCATGAAGAGTAGAAGATGATAAACTGTAGGAAAAAACGGCGTCGATGTACTCTGTCTTCTGGCACGTGCGGTCAAACATCCGAGTCTCACTGGAAGTTCTCTGCATTGATGACGCGATTGTCTGTCTCTGAATGACGTCAAGAACCTCGAGTTTTTGAAGAACATAAATATTAAATACTATTTGCAACAGATTTGTACAGAAATAGTTGTATTCACAAATATAATTAATAGGTAACGTAAAGAATAGATCTCTTCACGTAGACATATATGTCCCTGGTTTTTTAAATGTTTTGTTTAGAAACAAACCAGTGGTGATTTTTATATATTGATCATATAGCTACTACGTACGACAAAGATATTTTCTTGTTTGTTTTTTAATTGTTGAAGTTGGTGGGTCCACGAACCAGAATAAGTCGAATGTTATTGCTGAATCAATAGATGTAAAAAACAAAAAAAAAGATATGCCCTATTTGCCTATTTCGGTATATATAATAATAAATTACGCCCACCACCAATCTTAAGCTTTACGAAAACGAATTTCATTGAACTTGAAATCACATATTGATATAGTTATAAAGATTTAGATCTAACAATATATTATATATAGCACATGACGAGAATCACGAGATGATTATATCTCACACAAAGGTAACGTTTATGAAGCTAAACCTTGGATTTGAGTTGGATCGTTTAAAACAATGTATAACGAATGTTTTTACCATGATTTACACACAGATTATGAACTCAAACATTAACCAATCGGTTAAAACCAAAAAGAGTTTAACGAATGTGTTTACCATGATTTACAAACAGAATATGGAATTGGAGTTTTTACTTTTCCAAATTGATACTCCATGTTTTAGTATTATATTCTTTAAATTTGTAGAGATACAAATATAAAACACTTTTTAAAAAGAGAGACCATTATTACTTACGGGGGGGTTGATATGAAATGCATGATGATAAATGGAGATTATGTCTATTTTGAATTATGACTTCCAGTAATAATATTATAAACATTAGATTCTCTTGTCTTGTGGAGCATGTGATGGAATTATTTCCTCTAGCTAGGTTTCCTTGTTCGCAAGCAAATCATGATTCAACACTAACCGTTAAATAATATCTAGACAATAATAATTATAATCTCATTAACCCAAGCCAAAAAAACAAAACTCTCATTAACAATCATGAATAAAGGTTGATTTTGTTGTTGTTATATTATGTGGGTGTTAGTCCGGATCGCGACAGATCGATGACATTAGCACAACGTATTATACTACATATCTTGGGTCAAATTAGAGTTAATCAACCATCACAAAACTTTCATTCTTTTTCGGTATTTTTTTTTATTCTTTGCACATACAGAAAAGGAGTGACATTTATACTTATGATTTTAAATTCAACAGTTACAACACCATTTTGATGAAAAATACATCAACAACAGTTTTTAAAGTATTATACTGTATATAGTGTTAAACTTTAACATAAAAATATAAAAAATTGAAGTGAATATATGTGGAAAATATACAAAACGTGTTATGAGAAAACAATAATTAAGAGAGTGACTGAGAATCTACTCTCTTTCAACACTTTTTCTTAATTAGGTATGGAAGATTCTACTAGTTTGACAATTGTATATGAATTAAAGTTAGTCTAGAAAGAATCAAAGAAACAAAGTTACTGCTAAAGCCCAAAATCCGGCCCAGATAGTTCCCAAAAAGCCGAGGCCTGATCTAATCTCGAAACTGGCTGGTTTGAACCGGGAAATCACGATCTACGGACTTTAAACCGACCATTTAAAAGATAGAGAGATAACCACACAAAAATTTCCAAACCGTGTAAACAAACCGGAATTTGGGAGCCACGTAAAATTAGGGCCTTTTTCTTCATCTTCTTCTTCTCGTCACGGTCATTTGACATCGGAAAATTCGGAATCTTCAGGCCGAGAAAAAATGGCGGCAATCAGGACGATGACGAACATGTTCCTGCGCGAAATAATCCATCACCCGCTTCTCTTTCACTCGTCATCGAAATCGTGTCAATTTCTTTTGCCTTCCCTCCGTCGCAGTACCGGAACTGTTCTGGTTCACTCAAATCCCCGATTCGGATCCTTCCGATGTGCGGCTTCGACCTCCGGTGGAGGAAATGGTGATCGGAAGGTTTCTTCACGGTTGTCTCAGGTGCAACAGATGCTTCATGAGGCGGAGGAGAGGGCTAATTCCGCCGGCAATGAGCCTACTCCTCAAATCACACTAGGTAAGCTTTTGCTTTACCCATCCACAATTTTGCTTGATGAAACTTAAAAAAAAACAAAGAAAAGTGATGAAATTTTTTAAGGAAATGAAACTTTTTAAGGTTTAGTTTGAAGAATTCTACTTTCTGATGACTTTTTAAGCCATACATGAATCTCAAAATCGATTTCATTGCTTTTCATATAAGCTAAGCTCATTTACAGGAAAGGGAGGGATGCAATTTTTTTTGTAGATTTAGTGAACTCTCTGTATTGACAATGTTATAGTAGATTTGATTGAAGCATTTTAGAATTTGATATGTTCATAGTTTCATCTGCATCTGTCTTTGGTTCTTGCAGACCATGTTACACTTAACTTTGCTAGAAGTGGTGGTCCTGGAGGCCAGAATGTGAACAAAGGTCTGGCCTTTTCTATTGCATTGTAGTGTTTTGTATACAGTTCTTGTATATCTTAAATTGTTACCAATTCTTTGTTCTTTTTTCTTTTCCAGTGAATACCAAAGTGGATATGCGATTCAATGTGAAAAACGCTTACTGGCTAAGTGACAGGACCAGAGAGAAAATCATACAGACGGTTTGTTTCTTAGACTGGTCTCCCTTCTACAATACTGTGATTGCGAGTTTTCATCTCTATCATGTCCCATGGAGCAAATACAGATAATTGTTAGAATGTTAGTTTGATATTTGGAGCTGATCTTGTTTCCTTGTTGGGGGGTATTTAGCTTTTGTTGTTTATCAACAGGAGAAGAATCGAATCAACAAGGACGGTGAGCTTGTGATATCTTCAACCAAAACCAGAACGCAGAAGTCAGTAAACCTAAAAATAATCTCGTCTTTCTTGTTCCATTTGCAAGAAAACTCTCAGTTTCTAACAGTATGTTTTACGCAGAGGCAACATCGACGATGCACTTGCTAAACTACAGGTAAAAACTACTAAATAACTCTTTTGAATGGTTATGGTGTTTTGGTTTAATCATATAAGATTCAACAGGAGATAATTGATGCGGCTTCATATGTTCCACCACCACCATCAGAAGAACAGAAGAAGAAAATTGTAAAGATGTAAGAATCAACCGAACCAGATCCTCATCTTTCTTCCTTCAATCCACAGATTTTGATGATTACTGATATTTGCAGGGCTGCGAAAGCTGACAATAAACGACTTAAAAGCAAGAAAGTTCTTTCGGACAAGAAAGCTGCGAGAAGAGACCGAAGTAGTTGGGATTAAACTTCAAACCAAAGAGTCCAAGGTTGATTCTAAGAGCTTAACATTAGTTGATTATGTTATTTTCTTGAAATATAATGTAACACAACTATCAAATCTTCCAATATAATTTTTTTCTGTATGTTGGGTTTATGTACAAATCACACTCTCATACCAATCATAAACAGGGAAAATATCAAACATATCATTCCACACTTTTTTTTTTTGTTATTTATTTTCTAATAACATGTTCTTCTCCTGATCTTTGATCAATATGCTTGATCCATTTTCTCTTGTTGTTCACACTCTTCCCGGAGCTTCTCGCCGCCGCCACATGTGCGATTTCAAGACCACCAGAAACCGGAAGAGTCACCGTTCTCACAACTTTCCGGTCGCTAAACGCTTTTGTCCAGCTGAAACACGAACTGCTTCTCCTGTAACCGCTTCTGCATACCACAACTGCTCCTCTGCTACCGAACACAGCGTTTCTCAAAACGTTTGCTGCGAAATCCTTTTGATCCCAGTCAATTACCAAGAAATCGATTTCTTGCAGCTTCTGCATCGTCTTCTCTGTGTTTTCTCCTTCTTCCTCGTTCATAATGATTGTCTCAGGCAAGTTGGAGCAAGACTGTTGTGTCATGGCTTCAAGATAAGCGGTTTTTGATCTCGCGTTTGGTACAATACAAATGTGTCTTGCGTTTGTGTGTTGGCTCGCTACGTTTAAACCAACGCTTATGGCTATGGTTTCTCCTTCTGACCATGTTTCCACGATTAGAGTCGCGTTCCATCCCGCCGCCATCGCCGCCACTAGCTCCGCCGCTCCCGGCGTTCCAAGATTCTCGCACTATAAAATAGTACCGATAAAATCATAATCAGAAGGTCAAAACTTGCGAAGATCAAACATTTTCGTCTTGAAATCTCTCCAATGGTTCGAAAACATTGTCAAATTTAGAGGATTGTAAGCTTTCTTCGTGAAAAAAGTTTCATTGTCAAACATCTTTTTGTTTTTTGTTTTTATTGAAAAATTAAATTGTGAAAACGATACGAAACTGTCGGAATTAATGAACGGAAGATAATGAACATACCGATTTAACGGTGTCGATGTAAGCCTTTGATGCAGTTTCCGGTGACCAAATAAGTTTCATCTTCTTCTTTATTCTTCCTTCTTCTCTTGCGTTTCTAACTTGTTATAGACTCTAGCGTAAAACCTACAAACGATGTTTGCTTTTATATAATTAGACAAAGAGACAAAAGAAAAGTCTTTGTTTGGTATTTTTTATTGACAAAAAAACTGAAAAAGTATGTTCCGCGTAATAGTCAGACAATACCCCTTACAATTCTGGTTTATTTGGTTATAGCCCAAATATTCATGAAACTTGTCAGACAAACCCCCTAAAGTTTTTTTTTGTGGGCAAAATCAAAAAATCAAACTAAACTAATCTCCACTGAAACTTATTGAAGTATTTCTTCTTTTTCAATTAGGAAACCAACAAAGTTAAAGTGCCTCTAATCTCTGAAATTATGCCACACAAACCGCAACAATCATAATAAAAAAAAAAAAACTTTGTCAAGAAAAATGATCTCGGTCTTTAACTAACAAAAAAAATGGACTTTGTCTGTCTTGTAATTTAAAATTCAGCAGTTGTGACTTTTGAGTAACAAGTAGTAACATCTAAAAGATTGACATGGAATGGAAAATAATATAAGGGTTGAATCTGTAAGACACAATAAAGCGTGGGGTCTATAACTAATTTATCCCGAAGATGAATTATTCTCTGTTTCTTCTTTTCTTGAAGATAGGTTGTGTTGTTTAGATCGTTGACATTTTTGTCGAGGAGAATCCGACGTGTGAGAGTTTTGGATTTGGATTATAACGAAATTATACTAATCAATCTTTAATTAGTAGTCGGAACCGACTAAAAACTATTATGTTTAACAAAAAAAAACATTGCTTTGGTACAATAGATACTGACTATACCTAATTGAATTGACTCGGTACTATGTATATTAGTATTTATAAAATATATCCCACGTACTATGTAGGTTGTTGGTGATTATTCTTCATTTGTTTAATTTATTTTCACAACAAGATTTTGTTCTATAAATAATATTAGGTGTTAGTTAATTGGGATTCCCTTAAGTTAATGATATTTCCACCACCCACGTCCTTTGTTAAACCAAAATCAGACCGATTCTTCCGTCGCTGGTTTTGGATTTGGTCGGCAACTCGTTTTGGACATTTATTCGCCAAATAATCAATAAAGTTGATCCTATTCATACACAACTTATAGATTGAAATTCCACTACAAACAAAGAAAAAACGGTTAGATTGAAATCAAATTGGAATACAGCATCAAACTAATCGTCACACGTATTACCAATAATCGGTTTAAGATCTTAAAAACAAAAAAAACCTACTAATAGGAATCTCTGATCGAACATAAACAAAGATATCTTACCCAATACGCGAGATATACGCGTGCATATAGTATACACACAACACAAGGGGATGAATGTGAATATTGATTGTATTATGTAATATACGTGCACATATTACAAACACAAATATGAACTCAAAAACAGCTGTTTTACTTGGTCGTACAGTGTTGATGTAAGAAGTTGCTTTCTCATTAAAGACATTTGAGATATTAATGTTTTTTTTGTTTTTTGTGTCAACAGTCCTTTAAAGCAGTTTAGAAATAGAAACCGGTGGAATTGAATTTATATAGTGTATATGCTCTTTATTTTGTTACTTTGTTGAGGAAATCGTTGAGGAAAGCCTAATTTCTTTTCATCATTGTTCCAAAATCGGAATATAGAAATGCATAATAGTTCTGAAATAAGCAACGGTTTAGATGTAGTATCCTTGATCATCGATGTGAATCAATGTATTTTCTAGCTAGCTTAAAGAAGATAAATCAAACACGTGAATATTATCCTCATTGTTAGTGCTTTTTATCACAGGATGAATCAAGAGATCAGAAGTTATAAGTTATATACTATATATTCACTGATTGTGCAATTTTTATTTTTTAGTAATACTAAATGTGTTTGTTCTCCATAAATCACTCCTAATAGTGGAGACTAAGTCACGATAAAGAATTTTGTTGTTCTTTCCATTTTGAAAACGACCCTAGAGGTTTCGGTTAAAAGAATATTATTAGGTCATGTTCCCCATTTGATCTTTCCCACTTTCTCCAAATTTCTCTTCTATTGGATGATGAAAGGATTTTTGATAAAATTTACATTCCCACACAACCGATCGATGCCAGATTGATTTTTTTTTCATTGACTATAATGTCTGATAACACGCAACGTTTGTAATTATACTCGTGTGCAAGTTGATGACATTTCCAAGGAAAAGAATATCAAATCACGAGTTCGAATCCAAATTTGGAAAAGAGGATTAACTTGCATGTTCACAGTTCAAGGATATTATGGATCTTAGAACTAATTAAGGTCCACACGTGATCCCAAAAAGAATATTGCATGTAACTTCTTCGTCAATTCCAACTTATTATAAGTCTTAATAATCTTATAATTATGCCTAGATCTCTTGCAGCTTTTTATATCCTTTTTGCATGATGAACAAAGATATTACTATTGATAGAGTCAAGAGAACAAGGTTTGATAATGTTTTAGTTCTTCTTTAGCATTATGGATAGAAAATTTGTCTTTCATTTAATTAGTATGTGAATGTAATTAATACTAGGTAGTCATGAAAATTTATAAAAATAATAATTATTAATAATATACATCATTAATAATAAATAAGTGATTGATCAGTCGACAAAAAAAAATGATTGGTCTGTTTAGTAATATATTTGTAAGAAATTTTTGTTTGTGAAAAAATATTTTCATAGATTTGAGAAATTGTATATAGTAAAAAATAAAACATACACAAAACTTAAAATATTTAAAAAACCCGTAATATAAAATAAAATGATTATTCGTTATTCTTTGTTTTCTACTTTTTATTTATATTTTCATCTTTTTATAATTTTTTATCGCATTCTGTCACTTTACGTCCCATTTCTGGTTTGTAATTCTCACTATATAATTGAAATACATTCACATATAATATAAACTTTTGATCTTTATTTATAGTGAGACAAAATAAGATGATAATAAAAATAAAGAAATCCTCCTTCTAAAAATTTTGATGCCGAAAAATTTCACACAAACAATTGAACTTATAAATATTTCGCTAAAAACTTACTTAAAATAAGATTTCAAAAATTTACATCAAAAAACCGAGTTCACAAATTTTATGCCAAAAACATGAATAAGTAGCTTTCACACCAAAAGAATTACATCAAAAATATGATCCAAAAATATTTTATCAAAATTTTAATTTTGTGAATTTCCCGCCAAAAGTGGAATCCATAAAAAAAAATTCGCCAAAAACTTTACATTAAAAATGTGATTAAAAATTACCAGTCAAAATTTCAAGAATTTCCTACTATATAAGTGAAACCGTAAATCTTCCATCAAAATTTTTTTAAAAAAAATATAATTTCAAAAAACTTTTGTGAAAACCCGATTTCAGATATTTTCCCCCAAAAACATGAATTTGTAACTTTTCCACGAAAACATTTATTTTAGAGTATTTTAACTTTTGTCAAATATTATGAATCCATAAATTTTATGTCAAAAATGTGATATCAAAAAATTTATAGCTAAATATGTTGTCACAAATTTTCTGCTAAATATTTGAAATCCGTAAATTTTTCTGACAAACATTTTGTGTCAAAATGTAATTTCAAATCTTTTTGACAAAAATATAATTTTGCCAAATTTTTATGAAAAATTTGAATACTTCAATTTTGTATCAAAATTTGAATATCAAATTTTATTTATAGATTAAATAATATCATGTCAGAAGCCATATGTACTAAAAATTGACATGTCACAATTACATCATCATTACACATCATCATTTTATGTCATATTAAAATTACTCAAACTAAACATATTAACCAATCAAATTAAAACAAATCAAAATTTTTCATTAAACTACATTCTTAATTAATAGATAAAGGATGAATGAATTTATAAAATGAATGATCAGGCTGGAAAATATGATCTATGATTTTAGAATCTATGCACTGTGAGATTTATTAATCAATAATCATGCTGGAAACTATGATCTATTAGTCTATCTGAATTCGGCTGTTACATAGGAAGAATCCTATATATGTTTTTAGTTTCTGGTTTATAACTGAAAATGCTACTCACATTCTTTCTAAAAAATATTCCATTCGATCAAAGTTTTTTGGTATAAATCGGATCATTTTGACTCATTTAGTTTTATATTACTACTAGATTAGGACCCGCGTAAATACAGATTATGATAATAATCTATTTATTATTTCTTTTAAAAAATAGAAAACAAATTGACCACTAGTAAAAACGTATATATTAGAAATATAAAATTGAAATCTAAAAGTTATTATTTAAATTTTTCATTTTCAATTAAAATTTTCAGAACACGAAATATATTTTGCGGATCCTTTAACCCTACTTCTTTTATAGCTCAACACTTTGTCAATTGGATATGCAATTCAAGTGCTTCGAATATGTTAATTCTCTTTCCATTAAATCTCTTCAGGGAAAAAAAGTTTTTCTTTATATTCACATTCATTTTCCGTATATGATCTCTCTGTTTCTAAAAAAGTTATGTTTCTCAGTTTTCGCATCAAAAGCCTCTCTATATGATTTTTGCTGATCATCCTCCTCATTGAGCTCATCATCGTCTAATACAATATCATTAGCATCTAGCATTTCTTTTTATTGCAATCCTACGTTGCAATTTTACATGTAATTATTTTTGTGAGCTATCTAATTATTGAAAACCAAAAATAATGTATATGAATAAAATATTTAGCAAACAAACCATGATAGAATTTTTTTTATAATTCTGTATAAAATGTTTAAATAAAAATAATATAATAAACGAAGCAAAATTATATCTATAAAATGAAGCTCAAGAAATATTATTTTGTTTGGTGAAAAATTATGAAAAAATTTATATGTTTATATCGTTGTGAATGGTATTTTTATTTTTCTTTTACGATTAGTATTTTAGCTTATATTCCTTTTCTAAACTAAAATATATCTTTTTATTAACTTTCTTTTTAATATAACATTTTTCTATTTCTTTTAAAATTAGCGTTTTAGTTTACTTTCTTTTTTCAAACTGAAACATAACCTTTTATTTATTATTTTTTTCTTTCTAATGTTAATCAAGACATATGTCAAAATATGAACAGAAAACTTGCCACATATGACGATTATATTAATTACTAACTTTGATGTATCCGACTTTATATAAAAGGTAAAAAGTAAAAACTAGATAACTACTTTGCTTTGAAACTCTATATCCATTCAGTTGTATAGTTGGATAGTTTCAAACTTAACCAGATTGGTTTTTGTATACTACAAGGTTGCAAAACCAAACTTGGATGTTTTTCTTTTCAAAAAGATTTTAGAAATTTTGGAAAAAAATTGAAAGATCAACAATATACGACGACAGAATAAATAAACTGAGAGGACTATATAGTAAATGGGCCAAGCCCATAAATTTCTTGATAAGATCTACGTTCAAACGGTGAATGATCTGTATTTGAGAAAGGAAGGTTAACTCTAAACACTACGGTCGTCTTCACTCACTCAGAATCTCATAGAGCATGTCAACAGAGACTAAAGAAACCCGACCCGAAGAAGCTAGACCCGAGAACCTGGAAACCGGTTCTAATGTGGATCTATCCGTAGAAGCTCTCGGAAAGCTTACCGCTTACGACGACGACGTCGTTTCCGATGCGTCGGCGACGGAGACAGACCTCTCTCTATCGGCGAGTCAATCAGAGCAACTCCTTGAAGATGGCCAAAACTCACTGGACGATAACTCGCCTTTGACGGAGCTTCAACCTCCGCCTCCTCCTCCTTCTCTTCCTCCTCCTCCAGGTACAACAATCGAAACACGCATCTCGGAATCGCTCGGCGAAGATTCTTCCGATCTGGTGGCGGAGCAACAATTGCAAAACCCCAATGCGGCGGAGCCTGGACCTAGGGCAAGAAAACGACGCCGTAGGAAACGATTCTTCACGGAGATAAACGCGAACCCAGCTTTCTCCAGAAACCGACGCAACAGCGTCGGAAAAGAGGTGGATTCCGAAGCCCTAATCGCAATGTCGGTAGGGTTTCCAGTAAATTCGCTCACGGAGGAAGAAATCGAAGCCAATGTGGTTTCTATTATTGGAGGTAAAGATCAGGCGAACTACATCGTCGTGAGGAACCACATCATCGCACTGTGGCGATCAAATGTCTCGAATTGGCTAACGAGAGACCACGCCCTCGAGTCCATACGCTCCGAGCACAAAACCCTAGTCGACACGGCTTACAATTTCCTCCTGGAGCACGGTTACATCAACTTCGGGCTCGCTCCGGTCATCAAAGAGGCGAAATTGAGGTCCTTCGACGGCGTAGAGCCGCCTAATGTTGTGGTTGTAGGGGCGGGTTTAGCCGGTTTGGTTGCTGCTAGACAACTGTTGTCAATGGGGTTTAGGGTCTTGGTTCTTGAAGGTAGAGATAGACCGGGCGGGCGGGTGAAGACCCGGAAGATGAAAGGTGGTGACGGTGTCGAGGCAATGGCTGATGTAGGAGGAAGCGTTCTCACCGGAATCAATGGGAATCCGCTTGGTGTTCTGGCGAGGCAACTCGGTTTGCCACTTCACAAGGTCAGAGATATTTGCCCATTGTATCTCCCAAGTGGAGAGCTTGTTGATGTTGGTGTTGACTCTAAGATTGAGGCATCGTTTAATAAGCTGTTGGACAGAGTTTGTAAGCTTAGACAGTCGATGATAGAGGAGATTAAATCAGTGGATGTGCCATTGGGTGAAGCGCTCGAGACTTTCCGATTGGTTTACGGTGTGGCCGAGGAGCCGCAAGAGAGAATGCTCTTAGATTGGCATTTAGCAAACTTAGAATATGCAAATGCTACGTTGTTAGGGAATCTGTCTATGGCGTATTGGGATCAAGATGATCCTTATGAGATGGGAGGTGATCACTGCTTTATCCCAGGAGGGAACGAGATATTCGTACACGCTTTGGCTGAGAATCTTCCTGTTTTCTATGGGAATACTGTGGAGAGCATCAGATATGGAAGCAACGGGGTTGTTGTTTATGCGGGAGACAAAGAGTTCTACTGCGATATGGTTCTTTGCACGGTTCCGCTTGGTGTTTTGAAGAAAGGTGCGATCGGGTTTAGTCCTGAGCTTCCTGAGAAGAAGAAAGAAGCGATTCAGAGACTAGGATACGGGCTGTTGAACAAAGTGGCGATGTTGTTTCCGTATAACTTTTGGGGTGAAGAGATTGATACTTTTGGGAGATTAACCGAGGACTCGAGCACGAGAGGAGAGTTCTTCTTGTTCTACAGCTACTCTTCGGTCTCTGGTGGTCCATTGCTTGTAGCGCTAGTAGCTGGAGACGCTGCAGAAAGGTTCGAGACACTGTCGCCTACTGATTCCGTTAAACGGGTGCTGCAGATACTACGAGGAATATATCACCCGAAAGGAATCGTTGTTCCTGATCCGGTTCAAGCTCTCTGTTCCAGATGGGGTCAAGACAAGTTTTCGTACGGTTCTTACTCGTATGTTGCCGTAGGATCATCTGGAGATGATTATGACATTTTAGCTGAGAGTGTTGGAGATGGAAGAGTGTTCTTTGCGGGCGAAGCGACTAACAAACAGTATCCAGCTACAATGCACGGAGCCTTCTTAAGCGGAATGAGAGAAGCAGCAAACATACTTAGAGTTGCTAGAAGAAGGGCGTCAGCATCGGCTTCAAACCCTAACCAGAGCAGCATCGACAAAGAAGAAGAAGATGATGAAGACGAGGGAGAAAACCGCTGTTTGGATCAGTTATTCGAGATACCTGATTTAACATTCGGGGATTTCTCGGTGTTGTTCACTCCGAATTCGGATGAACTCGAGTCCATGTCATTGTTGAGAGTTAGCGTACAAATGGAGAAACCCGAATCAGGTGTTTGGCTTTACGGTTTAGTAACAAGGAAACAAGCTTTTGAGCTTGGTGAAATGGAGGGAGATGAGTTGAGGAATGAATACTTGCGCCATAAGTTAGGGCTTATACTTGTAGAAAGAAGTAGTCTTTCTCAAGAAGGGGAATCGCTAATCTCTTCACTCAAAGCTGCAAGATTGAATCGACAAATCTTCGATTAGTAGTAAATTAGGTTTTATAATGAAAACTGTGTACTCAGCTACGTCTTATTTGTAAATTGCTGTTCTTTTTGTTTTCCACATTTCGATGCCTAATCCACCACAAGAAGGAAAACAAAGCTTCACTAGTATTTGACAAGTCAAATTTACTTTGTTTTATCTCGTTAATCAAATTCAAAATAAAAATATGCTTGAAAAATTGTTTTGTATAACAAAATTTGCGAAATGATGAGTTTCAAATGTAGCCATAGATTTTGCTAAAACAAATAGACAGTTGGTAAGTTTCAAAATTGCATCACAAAATTTTTTTAATCACAAACTTATACATAGATGCATAATGCATTTTACATTCATTGGTTTCACTTTCACCATTTCAAAAAATTAACTATCAAAGCCAAAAGATTAATGCATAATTATTCCACTAATTCAAGAGTTACCAAACCAGACCATATATGTTTTGTAATGGACTAGGCTCATTGATTTCGGCCATGTAAATTTGATTTTATATGAGTGCCATTTGTGTGCAAAAATGTTATAACCATCCAAATTATTATACATTTAGATGGTAAATATTTGTGCTTTGGTGAATATATTTAGAGGGTTAGTATTTGTGCATTTCACCAAAGCTTACATTGGTGAAAGCAATGCAATAGATATTGAGGATATAGAAGATGAAGAGGAGTCAAAAGGCAATATAAATAGAAGAGAAGAATTAATTATGTTTTCGTAGTTAATATATATATATTTTTTGTTGAAAGAAATTTTTTTTTTACTTAACTGCTATCTTAAATGAAAATATTAAACATGAGACAGTCTCTATAAGGGGATTGATTCCAACAAATTTTATACAATCTAACAGTTTCCAAAACTTATATTTGACTTTTCTTTTTTGATAAAATACAAATTATATTATTAAAGCAAAGTTTAATTACGTAACTTCAAAAGTGGAAAATTTTTATAACAAAAAAAAATGAAAACCAGTGAGAAGTTACGGTTTAGAACAAACTAACAACATCATCTAAAAGCAAACCAAGATGATAATAATTGAGAACAATCTAATAACTTATACTTGATTTTGCTAAAACAAATAGAGTCCTTGGTAAGTTTCAATATCAGCATCACAAGATTTTGCCAATCAGAAACTTATACATAGATGCATTTTACATCCATTGGTTTCACCATTTCAAAAGATTAATCATCAAAACCAAAAGAAATGTCATTTATGCGATTTAAATAAAAATATTAATAGTCAAAACATTAACTGGTAAAAACAAGTTATTATCTCATAATTATTCCACTAATTCAAGAGTTACCAAATCAGACCATAGATGTTTGTCCTTTCGTGTTTGTGTGAGCACATATACTAGGCCCATTTATTTATTTCGGCCATGTAGCTTTTGATTTTGTAAACGACGACGTATAATATCTCAGCTCCTTCAAATTACAAACGCTTCACAGATCGTTCGTTAGTTTCATTTGTACAGAGAACGCAAAAGAGGATTTGTCGACGAGAGACCCGACCCGAAAACCCGTAAAAATCGAAGATGGGCAAGGATGGTTTGAGCGACGATCAGGTCTCTTCAATGAAGGAAGCCTTCACGCTCTTCGACGCCGACGGCGACGGCAAAATCGCGCCTTCCGAGCTCGGGATCTTAATGCGTTCACTCGGCGGCAATCCCACGGAAGCCCAGCTTAAATCAATCACCACCACCGAAAGCCTCTCTTCTCCGTTCGATTTCAACCGATTCCTCGATCTCATGGCGAAGCATCTGAAAACGGAGCCGTTCGATCGGCAGCTTCGCGATGCCTTCAAGGTGCTCGACAAGGAAGGCACAGGGTTCGTCGCTGTGGCGGATCTGAGGCATATACTCACCAGTATCGGCGAGAAGCTGCAGCCGAGTGAATTCGATGAGTGGATCAAGGAGGTCGATGTTGGTTCCGATGGTAAGATCCGGTACGAGGATTTCATCGCTAGGATGGTCGCTAAGTGAGATCTAATCTTTTAAAGTTTAAAAATTTTGAATTTTGAATTTTGAAATTTTCGAATTTTACTCCTTTAGTTTTTATTTTCTCTGTTGACTGGATCGAATCTTAGGGTTTGTTCAGAAAATGTTAATTGTGATGCAATTTCGAATTGCTCTGCTGCTATAGGACCTTGAAATTATGTGTGTGAATCTCTTCATTTTATCACCAGAATGATAAATATCTTATCTTTATGCTTCTGTAATTTCATTTTTAATATCGAATCCTGCAAATGTCATAGATGTTCGTTGGTTCTTGATCATGTTCTGCATCAAAATGGTTGCTCTTTGAACTTGAATTTCGCTTGTTCTACACACGATGATGTTAGAGATCTTGTTCTTTTGATTTGTTCAAGTATCCTTTTAGAACTTCGTGTTAATCATGTGCTGTTGGGTTTTTTCATCTCAAGTGAGTCACATGTAATGTCAGAGAAAGGATTATAAATATTAATGTGCACACAGATCACAGAAACACAGATCACCAGGAAGAAAGTGTCTCTCTCTTGTCATCTTTTCGTGTTCTGCATCAAACCGTTGATCTTGGCTTTTTCCTAAACGATAATTCATGTTCATTTCTTAGTCTCGAGGAATTTACAAGCGTGACTATGATTTTGTGAGTTAGAAACTTGTGATCTTGAAATGGTATTGGAGATCTTGCGTTTGTTTTCCTCTGGAGCGTAAACAAAGCTGTGATCACCATCCCTCATACACAACTTATCAGCCATCATCTCACAGCCATAATAACACGTGTAACCAAGCACAATGTCTGCCTTTATAATCTCAGGCTCCTCCTCCCACTTTTGTGTTTCTGTATTGAACACCATCATCACCTTCTTTGCGTTATCGCCACAATCACCGTTTCCGATTACGTAGATTCTCCCGTCGATGATATCAGCCACTGAGTTATACATTGGCATAGATATGCTGGGGAGAGGTTGCGCCGTGTGAGATCTACAGTCGATGGCTACCGCACTCGTTGTCGTCTTATCTTTATTAACCCCACCAAACACATATATCCTCGACCCCACCGCGACAAAGCTTCCACCACAAGGCAAAGCAGGAAGCGAAGGGATAAGGACCAAGCGGCTATTGCCTTTGGCTTTCCGGCGGAGAACATACAGACGGTTATCATAGTTGTCTCTGTCACAGAGAATAACATAGAGACAGTGTTCGGTGCAGCCCAACAAAGATCGCCTGACGTATATCTCAGGCGAGGAAACAAGTGATTGGAAATGTTTGGAAACGAGGGAGAGTATTTGATAGTCGCATCTCGGTATACGCACTAAGATATTAATGATGACGTCGTCGGGAAGTGACGTCATCACAGATGGCGGTGGATCCGTAGATTGCTACTTCTCCATATATATATATTCAGAGAGAGAGAGAGAGAGGCGCACAACCCTAATTTTAGGATAAGAGAGAGGAAAAATCCCAAACCCTATCTCTCGGATTTAGCAAAACCTGTAATTAATATTTGTATATCTTAAACAAAATATCTGAAAGTTATATTTTCCATTAATTAACGAGTATAGCTAAATTTAATCATTTATGTAATGCCAATAGGATAAACATGTGCGAAATTGTATACTACATTCGCAGGCCACACTACCCTAGCATTGAGTCTCCAAAGACCAAATGACTGTTCGATATTGAACGTCGGAGCTTGCGCTCTCTCTCTCTTAGGGGTGGGCATTTTACCCAGATCCAAAAATCCGATCCAGATCCAATCCAAAATATTCGATCCGAACCGATCCGGATCCCACATAATATCCGATCAGGAACATTCTTCTTTGTACTTCAGGTACTGGGTAATACCCGATCCGATCTGAAATACCCGAGTATCCGATCCAAATTCTCTTATCTATTTTTCAACAATAACGCTTCACTCAATCCTGATTTTGAAGCCAAACATAAAAACTATTCATTCACTCAATCATGATATACAGACAGTATCTATTTTTCAAATCCAGAAATTTATAATCCTTTAATTGTTTCTCTGCAGCTTCTGAGACATCAAAAAATCACTTTCGGTTTCAGATATGGAATTTCTCACACTCCATCAGAGTATATCGATTACTTGTTGTATATATGTTTGGTGCTTTTAGTTTTAATCTTTTCCTTTGTTTCGATTTACTGTTTTTTTAACTCTGTAATTTATGGTTTCTCTTAACTAACAGTTCGAGTTTGTCTCTTTAATCTCTGTTTCTGGATTTTGGCAACAAAGATTTAATAATAGTATGATGAAGAAGAAGCATGAATTATTCAGAAAACAGAGCAGTTTTTCAATATTGTTTATGTGTGTGTTTGTATTTACTTGTTTCAGGATCGATATAAGTTTGAGTATCCATACAAATTCATTTTGAGGATTGATACAAGTTTGTATTTACTAATTCCAAATAATAATTGTAATTGTAATTTTTTCTTAGTTTTATTTTACACTTTTTATTCTATTTTTTGTATGCTTTAGTTTATTAGAATGTCTAGACAGACATAAGAATCTTTTTAAAGTTGTTATTATTTGCATTATTAAATTAAAAATTATACATAAGTGTAAGAGCTTTTTGTAAACCTTTTTGAGTTTCTGCGATTTGCATAAATATCAAGTGAAGAAGAAGATATTAAAAAGTTCTTTACGTTTAGTTTTGTTTCTCCACTTTCTTTCTTTCTTTTGGATGTTTAGTCTCGTTTGAAGTGTTTTCAAAATTCAGCTATTTCATTATTATTTTGAAATATTTTAGTTATTTTTGGATAAAAATACTTGAATCCGAACTGGATCTGAAAAAACCGGATCCAAAATATAATATCCGAACCGATCCGAATCCAGAAAAATCCGAACCAAATCTGATCTGAATTTTAAAAATACCCGATCAGTACTAAAAATTATAGTTCTAAAATATCCAAAATCTGAAATACCTGATCCAATCCGATAACCCGAACTCTCACATGGCCATAAACGCAAGGATTCAACAATTAATGAGGAAATAAAAATTAGATAAAGACAAAACCATCTTTAATAAAACCTATCAGCCTAAATTTGTTTTCACTATGATAAATATAACTTTGGTTTTCTATAAAAAAGGGCCCTAATTTTTTTATCAGAGGATTCTTATTTTTCATTTATGAATAGGGTTCTGTGCTTTATAAATTTTACAAGTTTAAATATTGATTTTCTATAAAAATGGCTCTATTTTTTTTAAAAAAACCCCCTAAACTATAGCTAAAATTTAACCAAAAAAAAGTGGACCTTGTGCAAAAGCACCTCTTGCACATGACAAGAACCGCCTGATTTTTAGACAAACACATACATATAGAGAAGAGTTCGGTTTTGGTTCTTTCTTAATAATGGGATTAAAAAAAAGGTTTAGACTAAAAAAAGAAAGGCGTAATTAGTGGTTCCATAATCTCCACGTTCATGTTTCAACCGAGACAATACCAGCTAAGTACTGTTTTAAATTCAATTAAGTGGATAGACTCTCTGATCTTCTAAGTTGCCTCTTGCCACTTCACCATAATCAATAAGAAAAATATTTAGAGATGCGATCGAACATAGTCAAAGATAACTTCTAATTACGTTAGTAAACTCTTGATGCACATATGCATAGAATAACAACTAATCTTTGATTTTATTTCAGATACGATCGCAGTCATAGTTATATATTAATGACGTTGACACACTTAATCTTACAGGATCGGATCGGAACAAAAAAAAAACATACTTTCAACTAATCTTTGATTTTTAAGAACAAGTAGCTTATGTAGTTGCATGACTAGAATAATAAATAAGTAAAAATATCTCATGGTCATGCATGATTCTCTTTCTTTGGACTCAAAACATACTTTCAATTATCCAATTAAGTGGAAAAATATTTTCTATTAAAACAACACTAGTACAGTTTTATAAGTTATTGGCTTTTATAAGTAAGATTGTACACTCAAAGACGGCTCAAGTGGTTCCAAAGTCAAAAAGTCTCTCTCTCTCACTTAAACATGGCCGAACCATCTTTTGCTCGTCTCTCTCTCTTGTTCTTCGGCTTTCTCCTTCTCTTCGCCACTTACTCTTGGGTCTTTGGACCCGACTCAGGCTTCTTTTCCGGTACTCGGGTCCGGAAAACTCTCGGGTCGGATCCTAAACCCCGCGTTGACCACTCTTCCGAAAAGCCTCATCATCCACTTGACCCACTAACGGTGCGTGAAATCGAGAGAGTCCGATCCATCCTCTCGGGTCATGACCCGGTTTTCCGTTCCGGGTCGGCTACGATTCACTCCATGGCTCTCGACGAGCCGGATAAGACACGTGTCTTACAGTGGAAGAAGGGAAATCCGCTTCCGTCAAGAAGGGCCGAGGTCGTCGCGTTGTCGGGTGGTCAAAGCCACGTGATAACGGTTGATCTTGATTCGGGTCGGGTCGTTTCTGATTTGATTAACCCGACTTCTGGTTATCCGATTCTCACCATGGACGACCTCCTCGTCGCTGCGCAGGTATCGAATGCTTCTACTTTCTTGAATTACTTTTCTAGTTTTTATCCACAAAATCTCAACTTTGTGTTTTTATCTCCTTGTTTTTATACATTTCTAGTTTTCAAATGAATATTTTAAGCTTTTTGTTGTCTTTTTTCGGTTTAATGCTGGTTAAAACGAATCGAAAAAAGCAAAAAACAGAAAGAAAACGAATCGAATCATATCGAATTATTCGGGTATGTGTGGATTGGATCGGTTTGATATATCAATCTTGACACATTTTTTACACTGTAACACCAACATTTCCACTCTTCTAAACCGGTTTAATAATTATTTTTTTTGTCAACACAAAAATGCGCGCAGGTTCCTTTAAAAAGCATCGAATTCAACCGCTCAATAGAAGCGCGTGGGGTTAAATTTTCCGATCTGGTATGCATAACGCCGTTCGCCGGATGGTTTGGACCGGATGAAGAAGGACGTCGAATCATAAGAGTCCAATGTTACACGTTACAAGGTACTCCGAACTATTTCATGAGACCTCTTGAAGGTCTTTATGCAACGGTCGATATGAACACATTAGAAATCATCAAGATCGTCGATAAAGGCCCGGTTCCGATTCCTAAAGCCGCTGGTACAGAATACCGGTTTGGTGTTGAAAATAAACCGGTTCATATGGATCGAATCAACCCGATTTCGATGGAGCAGCCGGATGGTCCGAGTTTCCGGGTCGAAGATGGACATTTGGTTAAGTGGGCTAATTGGGTTTTCCATGTTAAAGCGGACCACCGAGCCGGTATGATCATTTCTCAGGCCACGGTTCGTGACTCGGAGACAGGTAATTAACATTTAACACCGTAATTTAATCATAATATAGGATTTAACAGGTAATTTTTTAAAATTTAATTCTAGAAAATATTGGTTTTGTAAAGATAATTTCAAAATATATTTTTATGGTTCTACAACATTTTTTCAAAACAGCTAATCTTCAATTAATGCTAAGATGTTATGAAATATATATATGAAAATTGTATTCATTTTTACGTAAACACATGTTTGATACAATTCTATATATTAAGCAATATTCTTACATATAAAGCATGTGTTTACGTTTGTGCTGAGTAAATATTTTTAAGATTAAAATTTATGTTTTAAATATTATTTTTGGATTTTAACTATTAGAGTTTAAAATTTGAATGGTTAATTTTATATTTTTTGTTAATCATACTCATATTTTTAGTAAAAATATATATAATAAAAGTGTGTTTAATTTTTAATAAGAAGATAATATATTAATATTTTTCTTTGTCTTTATCTTCTTCATTATTTTTGTTGTTATTGTTCTTTTTTTTCTAAGTTTTTATTATTGTTCTTCTTTTTATCTTCTTCGTGTTTATCTTTTTCTTATTTTTATTAATTTTTTTCTCTGTTTCTCGCAATGAAATTTAGAGCCTTAAAATATTATTTTTATTTTTTTGGCGTTTTCTATATAATTTTTTGATAAATTTCGAATTAAAAACAAAAAATAAGATAATTCTAAATTTTTAAATAAAAATGGGCCTTTCAATAAAAAGGAAAATAAAATATTGAGCCCTTAAAGAGAAGAATAACAAAAAATTAGATATTTAATAATTTAATGAAAAAAATAAATTTAATAAACTTTTATATATTTAATGAAAGTCCAATGACACATTACGTAAATAACACAATAACTAAATGTTATTCTTCTAAATCGGATTCTCCTTTAATATAATAGATACACACATGCATAACTTTCTTAAGACTCTAGGTCAAGGGTAATCTCAGATTCTCAATAACTATTTACCAAAAATTACAAAGAGGCTGCAATAGTCATATGATATCATGAACTCACACTCCTCATAGGTGAACCAAGAAGTGTGATGTACAAAGGATTCCCATCGGAGTTGTTCGTACCATACATGGATCCGGAAGAATCATGGTCCTACAAAGCTTACATGGATGCCGGCGAGCTCGGCTTAGGCCCCACGGCAATGCCGCTTGTGCCCCTCAACGACTGTCCTCGAAATGCTTACTACATCGACGGCGTTTTCGCCTCTCCCGACGGCAAAGCCATCGTCCAACCTAACATGATATGCTTGTTTGAACGCTACGCAGGCGATGTTAGCTGGAGACATTCTGAGATTCTCGTCCCCAATGTCGATGTATGACCTTTCTTAAATCACACTTATATAGTAAGGTGTTAAATCCATGTTTAGGGTTATTGTCACGATCTTTGCTTCTGCTTTTAACAGATAAGAGAGGCAAGGCCAAAAGTTACATTGGTAGCTCGAATGGCAACTTCGGTCGGAAATTACGACTATACTTTTGATTGGGAGTTTCAGACCGATGGTTTGATTCGCGTTACGGTATATATATGTCAAATGTCAAAACATTTTTTTTATTTTGTATATGATTGATTATATTTGCGCTCAAGTTTCCTTATGGTTTGATGTTATTGATAGGTCGCGGCTTCAGGGATGTTGATGGTGAAAGGGACACCTTACGAGAATGTAGATGACTTAGGTGATAAAGAGGATGATTCTGGACCGTTGATCTCTGAGAATGTGATTGGAGTCGTCCACGATCATTTCATATCGTTTCATCTAGACATGGACGTTGATGGACCTTCGAACAATTCTTTGGTTAAGGTTCATCTAGAGAAGCAGAGAGATCCAACGGGAAAAGCGCCAAGGAAGAGTTACTTGAAAGTCAAGAAATCTGTTGCCAAGACTGAGAAAGATGCACAGATCAAATTGAGCCTTTATGACCCGTATGAATTCCACATTGTGAACCCGAACCGAAAGTCTCGGTTAGGAAACCCTGCCGGTTACAGGATCATACCGGGTGGCAATGCAGCGAGTTTGCTCGATCACGACGATCCTCCTCAAATTCGAGGTGCATTCACCAATAATCAGGTACTTCATTTTAAGCTTTGTGTTTAGTTACGTATGGGATTATTTTATCAGTTGAAATTTCGGACTCAATGTTTCCAAATGTTTGGTTTAACCAATGCAATTGGTTATATCGGTTTAGATATGGGTAACTCGGTATAACCAGTCAGAACAGTTTGCCGGAGGAGTTCTTGTTTACCAGAGCCACGGCGATGATACACTACAAGTTTGGTCAGACCGGTATGAAACCATTTAATTCACCATACCAATTGAGTCATACCGTTTCTAGTTAAAGATATTTGGTTTAAAACATATCTCTAAACATTTTGTTTTGTGGTGAAACAGCGACCGTTCTATCGAAAACAAGGACATAGTGCTATGGTACACACTAGGGTTTCATCACGTACCGTGCCAAGAAGATTATCCGGTTATGCCAACCGTTGCAGCTAGCTTTGAACTTAAACCGGCCAATTTCTTTGAATCCAATCCGGTTCTTGGGGTCGCGCCTTTCTTTGAAAAAGACTTACCAGTCTGTAAACCATTTGCTTCATCTTGATCGGTTCTGTCTCGTATAGAATTTAGATCAGATCAAATGTCTGCTATATATAAGCTGTTGAAGTTTGTTTCAACCGTGGGGCTTCATCTTGAAAAAGACTTAGCAGTCTGTAAACTATTTCCTATATATAAGCTGTTGAAGTTTGTTTACCTTTTTGTGACAAAACCAAGACGACAAACAAATAATTCTTAGAGAAAATCCATATTAGGTTCTCATTTATTGAAATAAAACACAGGCCATAATTGAGTTCAGCTTTTAATAAAGTAACAAATTATTTGTATTTGAGGTATATAAATTTAACAGCATAAACAAAAGAAAGTTGTGTGCAAAAACAAAGAATTAAAACTAACAAAAACAAAAGTTGTAAAAGAAGCTCTTAAAAAAAATTTATAGTAACGAAACTGAAAAAGAATCAAAATCAATACACAAAGACGTCATCTTTATCATCCATAACTTTTTAATTAATAATGATGTGTGTTCAACGCTAGGTTATCTGGAAACTCTGTCTGAGGTGCGTTTCATGTTTTGGAAACGTTTTGAAAACTGAAATTCAATGAATGGAATGTTATTTTTCTATCTACTTAAAATTTAAGTGCTTGAACAGTGAGCTAGATGTTACATTTATTTGTATATTTTCAGTGAAAACCTTAGCAATGAGAATTGTGTATTGCAGAAGGATAAGCATGGCAGGCCTAAGCTCAACTCGCTGATTGAAGTTACCCGCGTGGGCTAAACTGTATATGTTGTTTCATGAATACATATGGGGAATTTTATATATACAAAAAATCTTGTTTGGTGAAACTAACTATATGCTTTGACTTCACAGAACATTCCTTTAAGTAACTGATCGAAATTTTGTTTTTCTTATGTTTCAAAGTAACTTCAACTGAGTCAAGCGTTCTTCCTGCTCCCGAAGATCCCATTCTTAGTGTATCTAAACTTCACTTTAAGGCTCTACACATCGACCTTACGTACGGTTTTGTTGTTGTTGCTGTTGTCCATCGATATATAGTTCCTTTTCTTGCAAGGTAGGGTTATGGAATCTTTCATAAAAAGCTCCTAATTTGGAAACTTTTATAACTTGTTACGTTTCTCATTGCTTTCAGCGTGCCATTTTCGATTCAAACCCAACTTGGGGGAACCATCACAATGTTTTGCCTGTAGAGTATTTCCTTTACTATATTGGTATATTGCAAGCTTGTGCGCATAACCCAACAGGTGTTGATCCAACATTCGAACAATGGGAACAGATTCGACTACTAGTGAGGTCTAAAAGCTTATTACCCTTCTTTGATAATGCATATCAGTCAGGTCAGTCATAACCGTTTACATATTTACTTTTGTTTCTTTGTTCTACAGACAAATGAAACTCTGTTATAGTGTTCACACACGGTTTAATACAAGAACATATGAGTTTATAATGTTTTTTTCCTTAAATTTTCACGATTTTGCTAGTGGTAGCCTTGACATAGATGCACAAGCAGTTCGTATGTTTGTTGCTGATGGAGATGAATGTTTGATAGCTCAAAGTTTTGCCAAATATATGAGTCTTTATGGTGGTGGATCCAGATTTGTGTGTTATTGTAGTTTCTTTGATAAAAAAGGTAATAAAATTATGATTCACTAAAATTAAATGTTTACTACGAATATATATATATATATATATTTATAATTTATCATATTATTTTTAGTTTAATATTTTTAATGTTGTATTTAAATATTTTAATTAATTATATAATTAGTTATCATTGATATAATTTTGGTCAAGTCTAAAATAAAACATATAACAATATATCAAAATGTGAAGGATTATTTTGTAAACAAAAATGTTAAACTCTAAAAAATAGAAATACCAGGTTTTTGTTTTAAATTAAGAAACTCTTTTTTTATAGATGTTATCATATAAGCAATTTTATTATCTACTTCTTTATTTGATATATGTTTTTTTTAAATTATATACAGTTTGGTAAGTGCTGTAGAATCTGTACACATCCATAATTTTAAGTGTTGTAGAATCTGTACACAACCATAATTTTTTTAAAGCACTAAATTTTTCCTAATCATATTTGACATAATTTTTTTTTTTAAAGCTACATATCTTTCTTTTATTTTTTAATTTTTTTAACTGTACAAAGCAAAATATATAAATCACTAATAGTTGACTTTGAAAAATTAAAAATCAAACAACATTAAAATCTACAATATTGAAATCTACAGTATTAAATTCTACAACTACAATAAAATCTTACAGCTTTATTTCTATAGCAAAAAAAACTAAAACTAGACCAGTAACAAATCAAGCCTTTGCATCTATATTTTAAATGATGTTGAATCTGTACATAGCTATAATTTTTTTAAAGTACTAAATTTTTTCTAATCATGTTTTACATAGATTTTTTAAAGTGACAGATATTTCTTTCATTTTTTTTAAAACTTTTTTGAAGCAAACTATGTAAAGCATTAATAGTTGGATTTGAAAAATTAAAAATCATACAGCACTGAAATCTATGTATTTAGTGTTTAAGCTTTGTTTCTAAATATTACAAGAATTTGGTAAGCATTTAATTTCTGTAAGAATTGAATTACTTAATAAAGATATTGGAAAATTGAGTAAGATATTTTTGAATATTAACTGAGATAGTAGAACATAAATAATATACTATTTTATCTCAAACTACTTGTCTTATATATATATATATATCCTGGTAAAAGTCTGTATATTTTTTTAGTGATTAAGCTTTGTGTATAAAAATATAAAAGAATTCAATACGACGAGAAGAAACATAACACAATCAAAAGATGAAATCATCACATATAGCTCTAATCTGCATTGTCATGATCTCATTCTTTGCTCTGCATGAATGTACGTATAGATCTTTCCTCACACATACAAACATATATATATATATATATAAACGTTTGATTTTAATTTTAATTTTTCCATCGTCGAAGTTTGGTTTATGAAATGGTTGATAAAAAGTTTGGTTTACGTTTCAAATCATTGTGTAGGTGGCACGATGATGGAGGTTGGAGAGAAACATGTCGCATCTTGTGTCCATAAAAAATGCAGAATCAACGACACGTATCCTAACTGTTGGTGCTGTTCCAGGTTAATAGATAAAAAAACTAGTCTGTTATGATCCAAAAATAATTCCAGCCGCCAAAGATCTTTGTTTTACATTCTGTCCAAAGTAAATGTAAAACCTTTAATAATCATAAATTCACAAAAGTATTATGTATGTTGTTTATTCAATTTCAGGCTTTTCTAAAGCATTCTTATAAACAAACATAAATCACTGCCTGAAAAGCTATTTTGTAAGAATGTAGCCTCTCATCAACAAAATGCAAATGTGAAAATCAACTAAGTATTGCTCTTTGCCACCATTTTTTATATGTTATATAAAGTAGATCAGCACTTGATCTTCAAAACCAAGCTATATCAATTAGTCACAGCCTCGGAAATTATGAACAAGAGAAAAAATATTAGGACAGTGCCTCAACTCAAAGACCAAACTTATTGTCAAAGCAAGTCCAGAAAGCTTTTGTCCAACCTCCCATCATACAACATATTCCCGACCAAACTTATCGTTGAAGCATCTCCAGCGAAGCCGTAACTCCTCATTTCCTTGATGAGTTCTGCTGATGCTTCTTTGTCACCATCTCTAAGATGTGCCCTGATCAGCGTATTATAGGTACAGTCACTTGGGAGAGGTCCATCTTCTTTCATTTCTCTGAACAAGGCATCGGCTTCCTCCTTTAAGCCTTTCCCACAAAACCCTGAGATCATTGTGTTGTAGGTTACAACATCAGGCTTCATCACTCCTTTGAGGCTGAGACTATTGAATAAATCCCAAGCATCTTCCACTTTACCAGCCTTGCACATCCCTTCAATCATAATAGTATAAGTGAATATACTGAGTTCCATTACACTCTTTTGCATATCTTGGAATACGGCCAATGCCTTCTCTAGCTTCCCGTTATTGCAAAGCCCATCTAACGAAATGTTGTACGTCACAATATTAGGAGGGACACCAGCAGAAACCATCTCTTTGAAAACTTGTTGGGCATTCTCACAATCTCCAGCTTCGTAAAAGCCTTGAATAAGAGTGGTGTAAGTGACTGTGTTTCCAACCAATCCTATTTGAGACATCTCACGAAAGAGTTTCATGCCATCCTCTACCCTCTTCGCTTTGCAAAATCCATTTATGAGAGTACCATAGGTCACCACGTCTGGTAGACAACCCTTGCTAGCCATCGAATCAAACATCTGCTTGGCCTCCTCTAGGCGACTCTGCATGCAAAACCCATTGACCAATGAACTGTAAGTGACTGTATCCGGATCTATAGACCTTCGGATCATCTCCTCGTACAATCTCTCAGCCTCCAAAAGTTTCCCCTCTTTCACAAACGCATCTATCAATGCATTGAACGTAACTACGTTGGGGTTTATGTTCCTCTCAATCATATCGCTTAGTAGTCCGGAGGCATCGCTCCATCTTCCATAGTTACAAAGGCAACTTATGAGGGAGTTGTAGGTGACAACATTTGGTCTAAATCCCTTTTTCTCCATTTCACTGAATAGGTCGATTGCATCATCCACATGTTTGTGTTTGCAGAGACCATCGATAATTGTGCTGTAGATCACCACATTCGTCTCTATCTTCTCTTTCTCCATATGTCTGAGCAGATTCAAAGCCAAATCAGTGTAACCTCTCTTACACACTCCGTTTACTACCACACCGTAAGTAACTAAGCTTGGTTGGCACCCTTTCAACACCATCCGTTCAAGTAAAGCCACTGCTTCCGAGACTTTGTTGTGGAGAAAAAGGCCATGGATCAGAGTTGTGAATGTGACTGTATCAGGTTTGTATCCCATTCCCACCATCTGATCAACCAAAGCAACAGCCTCGGAAATCCTATTCCCGTGACAGAAACCATTGAGCAGCGAAGAAAGCGTGACAATGCTGGGCTCATATCCGAGTTTCATCATCTTCCCAAGCATGGATAAAGCAAGAGGAAGTTGCGAGCGGCGGCAGAAACAGTTTATCAAAATATTGTAAGTATAGAGACTATGTGGGATTCCCATAATCTGAATCTGCTCGCCGAGAGAGATGACAACATCATACTTGTTCATCTTCGCAATGGCACTCAACAACTTATTGAACTCAATAATGGAAGGAAAAGGACGAGACTTTACCATCTCACTGAACAGATCAACAGCATCATCTAACTTAATATCACGAAGCCCATTTCTCAATATCTCTCTGCAATCATCCCTGAGACCAGAGAAATCTCGTTCCCAGCAACGGAAACCGCAAAGGGAAAACGGAGAAGGAGAAGGAGAAGTTACAGGATTACCTTTTCCCCGGATATGAAGATGGAGATTCCGATGAACAAATCGGCTGCCCGTAGACGCAATCGCAAACCTCATCTTCTTCGATTTGGCTTTCAGTGAGAGACTCAGGGACGAGCGAGTCTGTGTGTGTCCGGTTTATGGCTGAGTGTGAGTCATGTGACAGTCTTTTAGAATCGGTTTAAAATGTCCGGTTTAGCGATATCCTTCAAGATAACAGAGTCAAGTATTTTCGAACCGGTTTAAATGAATAACTCCCAGTCTTAATAAACCGGACAAGTTTGTTTCACCAACAATTCAAAACGAAGAAGCATTTTAAATTTCCACATGAATTGTGTGATGGGTAAGGGAAACATTTTTTCTCTTCAAATCAACACAACAATAACACTAAAGTCTCTTCATAGCTTGACAAGTCAGCTTTTTTAAGTTATCAAAAACTAACACATCAGCAAAATTAACAACCAATCAAAACATTTTATTAATACACATCATCTACTAACTTTTATTATTTTTAACTTAAACCCATTAAAAACCTAAATATTTTTCTTTGTTAATCTTTATTTTATTTTTTACCAAGCTCAATTCCAAATAATAAATAACACCAAAAAATTGTTTTATTTTTTACCATCCCCAAATCCAAATAATAAATAACAAAAATTAAATCTTTGTTTTATATTTTTGTCAAACCAAAACTCAAATAATAAATAACAGCAAAAAAAAATTAAAATTTTTAACTATGTGTTTGCTTGATAGAGATGTATATGATTAAAGAAAGTGTAGACTCATCATCAACTATGATTTCATAACAACAACGCAAAAAGCGTTACGTTATAATAAGCTCACACATCAGCAAAAATTTAAACCAATAAAAACATAACAATAATACATATCATTAACACATTAATAAAATCAGTTTACTATTTTGTTGAAAGCAAATGAGGAAAAGCTCATACCACCACAGCTTTGAGATTCGCATTTCCGGTGGTTACCGAAAACAATTTTTCTTAGGTTTGGCGGGAACAGAGAATTTCGTGGTTTTGGTAAGAACATGTGATTTTCAGTTTTGGTTAAAAAACATAATTTCTTGGTTATGGCAGAAAAAATGATTTCTCGGGTTCAGTGGAAAAATGTGAATTTTTGGTTTTGGTGAGGAAAAAAAAATTGATTTTGAAAAGGCGAGGAAAATGCAACTTTTCAATTTTGACGAAAAATACGATTTTTCAGTTTTGATAGGAAATGCAGATGGATAATGTGATTTCTTGATTTTCGCGGAAAAATGTGATTTATTAGTTTTCGCGGAAAATTGTTATTTGATGAGTTCAGCGGAAAATGCAATTTCTGGATTTGATGGGAAAACAAAATTTCTCGATTTTGGCAGGAATAAGCAATTTCTCGGTTTTGATGGGAAATGCAAATTTTCAGTTTTTGACATATAATGTGATTTTTTAGTTTTCGCGGGAAAATATGATTTCTTAGTTTTCGCAGGAAACACAATTTTTCAAGAGATAATGCAATTTTTGGTTTTTGCGGAAAATTGTAGTTTATCGGTTATGGTAGGAAGGCGTGATTTTTGGTTTGACGAGAAAAATAATTTTTTTTTTTGTATTGGTGGGAAAAGACGATTTCGCGGTTTTTGCGAAAAAATAGTTTTTTTAGTTTTGACGGGAAAATGTGTTTTTTTTTGTTTTTGCAGGAAGATGAAATTTTGGTTTTGGTGAAAAAACTTGATTTCTCTGTTTTGGCGGGAAAACACAGGTTCTCGCGGGAAAATGTGTTTTTTTTTTGTTTTACGGGGAAATGCAATTTCTTTGTTTTGGTGGAAAAATAAAATTTCAACTTTGATGAGAAATTATTTTTATTTTTTAGTTTTGGCAGGAATAGGCGAAATCTTAGGTTGTGGAAAAATGAATTTTTTTTGTTTTGTCAGAAAAATTCAATTTCTTGGTTTTTGTAAAAATATAAAATTTATGTGTGCTAAATTTTCAAGTTACAATATGTTTACAGTAACCAAACAGTTCAAACAGAACTTTAGTTTAGTTCTAAAACAATAGCAATAGTTTTGATATGAATGTTATTGACTATAGTTTGGTAGTTTTAGAAACATATGTTTATAATAAATATTTGATAAATAAATAAATTTTATAATTCAAAATAATCATATTAATTAATAATTTTTTTAAATGACAATTTGCTTTATATAATTTCAAAGGAGGATCAAGTGGTACTTTAGTAGAGAAAATAAATTACATTTGCCATTAGTATGAAGGTATTTAAAAATTTATTATTTTATTCTTATATATATATATATATATATATAGATAATTAGCTAAACAAATTTGATAGTAGATTATAATTTTGAAAAATAAAAAAATTAAAGATATATAATGTTTATTCAGATCAAAAACTTATAAATACATAACTTAAGCTAATAAAAAATAAATATAATACTTATTTATATTATAAAATTAATTTTATCATAATAAAATATATACAAAATTTAGAAAAATATCTCGCAGCGTAGCGCGGATAAAAAACGTAGTGTTTATAATAATCATATCATATCAATTAGGAACACAAATAAATTTCATAAAAGTTCACATTTATGAAATATAAACATTTTTAAGTTTTATAAAAACACATAAAAACTTTCAAAGTACAAACAAAAACAAGGGATTCTCCTTCCCTGGCTTTTACTTTTGCTTAAAATCGCAATTTCACAAAAGTTTAAATAAATAGTAGTAATTCATAAAATTCAATTATGTTCAATAAATATTTTTTAAAATCTGAAATTTCTTATCATTAATTAGTAAAAATTGCATAGAAAACCTTTTTATCTTTATGTTCAATAAATATTTTTTTGAAATCTGAAATTTCTTATTATTAATTAGTAAAAACTTTGTGGCATGAGTCATGCCATAAGTAACCCACACCACATGAATCATGGCTCATCATATAAAGACAACTTTTTAAATTTAGGAAATGAATATTGTTAGATGTTCAAAAAGGCAATTTTATATTAAAAAAAAATCATGTTTGGTGAAGCTAACTGTGCTGTATGACTTTAAAGAAGACTCCTTTAAGTAACTGACCGAAGTTTTGTTTTTCTTTATGTTTTCTCAAATTCACTTCAACTAAGTCAAACATTAATTCTCATGAGTTCTATCTTGTCAAGTGTTCTTTCTGCTCCTGAAGATCCCATTCTCACTGTAACTAAACCTCTCACTCCAAGGCTCCACACATCGATCTTACTTATGTTTTTTCTGTTGTTGTTAATTTCTTATATATAACTTTAGTCTGGATTTTATTAGTGTAAAATTTGTATTTATTTCAACGTTTTTATTTTTGTGATTGTACAAACTACAGGTATATTTTGCTAGTAGAGATGATCCTAGTCCGCTTAAGTTGAATTTGAGCGGCGGTTCTTATCGAAATGAGGTAATATTGGTTTTTCAGTCTACGTTGCATGAATCTTCATGTCTATCAGTCTATATATATATATATATATGATTACGAGCTCAGGTTTTGATATATTAGTCTTCTCTTGTTGGGTTATTTCTTCTTAATTATAAAGGAAGGAAAGCCTCTTGTTCTTGACGTTGTGAGAAGAGCTGAGCAAAAGTTAGCGAATGACCTGTAAGTTAAATATTCGTTGGTGAAAGTAAGACTTCGAATTGTATCAAACGCAATTTCAGAAAAGAAAAAAAAATCACCTTTTCGAAATACTAAATATTATCAGATTATCACAAAATGTTCGCATTTGCGTTTTCTGTTTTCGATTTGTTTGTTGATCATTTAGTTTAATTATTTGGTTTTTGGTTTTACCTCAAGGTCCCGGGACAAGGAATATCTCTCACTTGATGGGCTTGCTGAATTTAACAAATTGAGCGCCAAGCTACTCTTAGGCGACAATAGGTATTAATTTCACTGTAATTATATTTTCTCTCATCTTTTTTTGTTTCAATGTAATCCGAGGTTTGGTTTGATTTTCATTTAAGCTGCTGAATTTTAGGTATATGATATTTTCTAAACCCTTTATGTAATTTTTCATTCTACTATGAAGATTGTTTTTGTTATTTCGAGCAGTACTGCAATGGAGGAGAATAGAGTTGTTACAATCCAGTGTTTGTCTGGAACTGGTTCTTTGAGGGTTGGAGCTGAGTTTCTAGCAAAACACAACCAAGAAGTAAATGTTTCTCACTAATTTATATAGTTTTGTTAATGGTCATTAGAATTTGGTAAATGAAACCCTTAACATTTCAGAATTATGCAAAACGAGCCCTATTCTACAATACAATCACAATTTTTTTTTGCGAAAAATAAAATTATTCATATTTTTAGGAATTTTTGTAATGTAATACAGAGTGCATTTTGCATTTTTTTTCTTCAAAATTGTCTTATAAATAGATCACCGCTTGTTTTGCCTTATTCTAAGAAAAAAAAAAGATTTTAGACTAGAATATGTAGTCTAGTGGTTTGTATTTTGTAATAGTGATGTCGATGGATCATCAATAGTTTATATAGTTTATACAGTTTCGTAAAAATAAACTATTCATATTTAATCTAGTGGTTTGAACTAGTGATATCATTACGTCACCACTCGGATTTAAAATTCACAACATGATACATGTGAAAAGAAAAATTATTAACATTACAGAAAGATGCAAAACGAATATTTTGCTTGACAAACAAAAAAATTATTAACTTTTCTCATTGCTTTCAGCGTGTCGTTTTCGTATCAAACCCAACTTGGGGGAACCATCCAAATATTTTCAACTTGGCGGGTTTATCTGTAGAGTATTTTCGTTACTACGATCCAAAAACTCGAGGACTTGACTTCAAAGGTTGACTTTACAGTTCTGTCCACAAACTCTTTCTCTCTTTCACCAATGATGTTTTTAGTATTACACCAATCATAAAATCTTGATTTTAAACAGGACTGCTCGAGGATCTTGGCGCTGCACCGTCTGGAGCTATCGTGGTATTACAAGCTTGTGCGCATAACCCAACAGGAGTTGACCCAACAAATAAACAATGGGAACAGATTCGACGACTAGTGAGGTCTAAAAGCTTATTACCCTTCTTTGATAATGCATATCAGGTAAGTCATAATTAAACGTTTACATATTTGCTTTTGTTTCTTTGTTCTACAAACAAATGAAACTCTGTTTATAATGTTCACACACGGTTTCACACAAGAACATATGGGTTTATAGTGGGGTTGACTGGTATGTCAATTTAATAGCTGAAAAGTAAAATAATAAACTAACGGAATCAATAGAATGTATAAACTGAAAATTGAAAAAACTTAAAACGCTGAAAAGTTAATATCTATTAGAATGAATAGATTTATTTTTAAACTAGTTATAAATTTAAAATGTGCGAAATGAATTGAAAAATAACGTGTTGATTTTCATTTTTCATCATTTAGTGCTTAATATTATGAATAATATGCATTTAATAAAATTACATTTTACGTTGTGAAAACATGAAAAAAACAGTATACCATTCTAACCTCAGTGTTTTTTTTATTTTGAATTTTCAGGGTTTTGCTAGTGGTAGCCTTGACATAGATGCACAAGCGGTTCGTATGTTTGTTGCTGATGGAGGTGAATGTTTGATAGCTCAAAGTTTTGCTAAAAACATGGGTCTTTATGGTGAGCGTATTGGTGCTCTTACCATTGTAAGCAACCAAACTTTTTTTTACTTTCATCATCATTGAGTTAAATAGTAATGAGAGATTGTTATTTGCGCGTTTGCCTTATAAACAAAGTGTATTATAATTAGTAACCTTCGTGGGTCTAATGTGAAGGTATGTGACTCAGAAGATGTGGCTAGGAAAGTAAAGAGCCAAGTGCTATGTGTTGTGAGACCTATGTATCTTAGTCCACCTATTCATGGAGCATCCATTGTTACCACAATTCTTCAAAACAGGTTAGAATAATGACACAACGACGTCATTAGCATAAACCATTATGCTACATGTCATGGTCTTATAATAATGAATTTAGAATATGCTCAAAGTTTGGTGTGTATACATTTTTTGGCAGTGATATGTACAACGACTGGACCATTGAGCTTAATGGAATGGTTAACCGCATACTTAGAACGCGCCAACAGTTATATGAAGCTATACAAGCTAGAGGTTTAGTTTAATGCACTTTTTTTTATATTTTCCTCAATTTGTTTTTATAAATATTCTCATATAACTTGTGATTTGTGTCACATTTTGTTCTTGCAGGCACACCTGGTGATTGGAGTCACATTATCAAACAGATTGGGATGTTTAGTTTTACCGGATTGAATGAGAAGCAAGTTCGCTTGATAGCCAAAGAGTATCACATTTACATGACTTATAATGGGTGAGGAAAACTATATAATAAAGTAGTTTATATTGCCTAGTTTTCATGAATATAAACTTAAGCTTGAAAGTGAGAATTGTGTATTGATTGCAGGAGGATAAGCATGGCAGGTTTAAGTTCGAAGACAGTTCCTCAACTCGCTGATGCTATACATGCTGCAGTTACCCGCATCGCCTAATCTAAGCGATTCTCTTCTTTGTTGTTTACATTAATTTCACAAAGAATCATACTATATATATCAATAACAAGTGCACTGGTTTTGGAGTAATGAAAGACTCGAATTATTTAATCATTTGAACAAAACATATGAACTAAAACATAATCTGAGATCTAATCTTATGATGCTCACCACTGATCCTGTGTTAACCTAAAAATGAAATAAAACAAAGAACTAATCACTCCAATTAGGCAACATACATTAGCTTAATTCACCTCACAGATGCTTTTGATGGAAGAGGGTTCCAAGAGAGCATGTCCAGAAAGCTTTTGTCTAATCTCCCATCACACATCATATTCCCGACCAAACTTATCGTCGAAGCGTCTCCTGAGAATCCACAACTCCTCATTTCCTTGATGAGTTCTGCTGATTCTGCTCTGTCACCATCTCTGAGGCGTGCCCTGATCAACGTATTATAGGTACCGCTACTTGGGAGAGGCCCATCTTCTTTCATTTTTGTTAATAAGGCATCCGCTTCCTCCTTTAAGCCTTTCCCACAAAATCCTGAAATCATTGTATTGTATGTCACAATATCAGGCTTCATCACTCCTTTGAGCCTGAGGCTGTTAAATAAATCCCAAGCATCTTCCACTTTACCAGCCTTGCACATCCCTTCAATCATAATATTATATGTGACAATACTGAGTTCCATCTCAGTCTTTTGCTGCAGATCCTTGAATATGACCAGTGCTTTCTCGAGCTTCCCATTTTTACAAAACCCATCCAACAGAATGTTGCAAGTCATAGTATCAGGAGTGACACCACCAGAAACCATCTGTTTGAAAACTTGTTGGGCATTCTCACAGTCTCCAGATTCGAAAAACCCTTTGATAAGAGTGTTGTAAGTGATTGTGTTGCCAAATAATCCTCTTTGAGTCATCTCTCGGAAGAGTTCCACAGCATCTTCGACCTTCTTAGACTTGCAAAATGCATTGATAAGAGTAGAATAAGTCACCACGTTTGGGAGACAATCTTTGCTAACCATTAAAGCAAACATCTGCTTGGCCTCCTCTAGACGATTTTGCAAACAAAATCCATTGATCAATGAATTGTAAGTGATAGTATTAGGAGCTATAGACCTTCCAATCATCTCCTCATACAATTTCTCAGCCTCCAAAAGTTTTCCCTCTTTCACAAAAGCGTCGATCAAGGCATTGAAAGTAACAATGTCAGGGTTGGTATTCTTCTCGATCATGTCACTTAGTAGTCGAGAGGCATCGCTCCATCTTCCGTAATTACAAAGGCAGCTTATGAGTGAGCTGTAGGTATAAACATCAGGTCTAATCCCTTTGCTCTCCATCTCACTGAATAGGTCGACTGCGTCATTCACATGTTTGTGTTTGCAGAGACCATCCATAATAGTGCTGTAGATCACAACATCAGCCTCTATTTTGTCCGCTTCCATCTTCTTGAGCAGATTCAAAGCCAAATCAGTATGACCTCTCTTACATACTCCGTTTATTACCGCACCGTAAGTAATCAGATCTGGTTGATACCCTTTCAGCACCATCCGATCAACTAAAGCCACTGCTTCAGAGACTCTGTTGTGGAGAAACAGGCCATGGATAAGGGTATTGAATGTGACGGTGTTGGGTTGATATCCCATTTCCACCATTTGATCAACCAAAGCTACGGCATCAGAAATCCTCTTACCGTGACGACAGAAACCATTGAGAAGCGAGTTAAGCGTGACAATGTCAGGCTTATATCCGAGTTTCATCATCTTTCCAAGAATTGCTAAAGCAAAAGAGAGCTCAGAGCGGCGGCAGAAACAGTTAATCAAAATACTGTAAGTATAGTGATTATGTGGAATCCCTAACATTTGCATCTTCTCGCCGAGAGAGATAACGACATCAAACTTCTTCATCTTGGCGATGGCGCTCAACAATTTACTGAAATCAACAATGGAAGGTCGTGGACGAGACTTTACCATCTCACCGAACAAATCAACGGCATCGTCTAGCTTAATATCCCGAAGCCCGTTTCTCAATCTCTCTCTGGAATCATCACTGAGACCTGAGAAAGCTCGTCTCCAGCAACGGAAACCGCAAACGGAAATTGAGGGACGAGCAATTCGAGAATCACCTTTTTCGAGAAGATTCCGATGTACAAATCTCCTTCTCGTCGACGCAAACGCAAACCTCATCCTCTCGATCTGGCTTCACACCTCTCTCTCAATGCCTATCGCTCCGTAAAATTCAGTAATCCCTAAAAAGTTAGACCACATGAACATTGTGTGTGTGTGTGTTGAACAAGTGAGAGAGAGACTCTGAAACCGGTTTAGTAGATTCGTTATAGCCTATTGGTCTTACCGGTTTGTGATTTATTTTTTGTATATAAAAATCATTTTGGTGGGTCGAAACCAAAAACAAGATTTCATAACCGGCGAGCTTGTTCCCACTTCCACCGTCCAATGTTTTTTCTTGGAAATTTCAGATTCTTTTCCCAATCTGATAAGATCGGTTTTTAAAACTGGTTTATGGTTTCTACTCGGTTCGGTTTAAAACTTGGCTCAGATTCTGGTTTAGTAGTATCTCTCTCTTTCTCCGACTGTGTCGAGGACCAAACCGAATGGACCAAAAATCTCTCAGGAGACAGAAATCGAATGATAACGAAATGTAATTGTGCTAAATCACGAATCCTGTACTCAGTGTTCCTCTAGACAACTCTTAACTAAAGAAACAAAACAAAATTTCTAAAGAGACAAAAGAGTTCTATACTATATTGTCTTAAACTCTAGAGTCTTGCTTTACTTTAATGGTTTCACCACACGAAGAATCATATAACCAAGAAACCAAATTCAAGAAAAATTAACTCCAAGACTCATCTCAATCTTTTCACCTTTCTTGAACCAATGGGGTTTCGACTTGCCGCGAGTCCCGAGACAATAACTCTCTTTAGAGTATTCACAACATCTGACTCAACTTCCTTTGTCGAGTCACATAAACTCAACTTCCTCTTCTTTTCAAATCTCGTCTTTCTCTCTGTCTTTGAGCATTCAAGATCCTGGTTTTGTGTATCTTCTCGGCTCTCTCCTTTACCACTTCCATTAGATTCAACCGTTTCGTCCTCTGCAACATCTTTTGTGTTATCCAAACCTTCAATTACACCAGAAGTCCCAGTCTCCGACTGATTTGAATCATCTTGCACCGTTCTACTCTGAAAATTTTTACAAAACAAGAACTTAAGCTCTTAAAGAGGATTCAAAATTTCGAATAGAATCTGAATCTTCTTACCTTATACTTAGCTTTGATCAAATCGGAAACACTACAACCTTCTGGAAAATCTCTGACAACCGGCACAGGACTTGTCTTGTAAATCATTGTTCGAATCAAAACCTTTACCGAAAACAAAAGACAATCAAATTTTCACAAAGTTATTATTAACTTTTCCAAACTCACAAAAAAAAAAAAATGGAAAAACCAGAAACAGTTTCTTGAAAATCCCTAAATTGCATCAAAATAGCGATGAATAATACACAGAAACAATGCGAGATCGAACCAGTGGTGTGGTAAAGTCTCACGAACCCTAACGAAGAAATTTAGTTCCAAGACTATTTACCAAACGAGAAAACTCCGAGGGAGAGAAAAAGAGAATGTGTACCTGAGAGATGAGAGAATCCCAATACGAAAGCAAGCAAGCGAACAAAATTCTACTTTATATGCCTTTTTAAAGCCCATCTCTTGTAAATATAAAACCCATCTTTATCATCTTAAAAGCCCATCTTTACCATATTAAATTAAAGAAGATTTTTTAGCGTTTATTAATGGCCTAAATCAGAAAAACATTAATGGCAAACCAAAAAAATGGGATTTATCATCATTTGTGGCGTAAAACGCCCTAAATAAGAAAAACATTAGTGATGATGATGACACATCACATGGTTTTGTCTCATCTAATGCTCACTAAATACAGAGAATTGTTATACAGATCAAAAGTCTAATGATTAATTTAACTTGTTTATGCAATATAAATCCGATGCTTTCGCTTGTACCGGGTCCGTGTCGTGTGGTCAATCCCAAAGTGCACGCTTAAATCATGATGTTCCGTCACAAAATTAAAATGAGATGAAGTTACTAATTGTTTGTTTTTTCACAAATATGTATATAGTACAAATTATATGTAGTGGTTATTGGAGAAAATATATTCTGGTGTTAAAATTCCAACAAATTGTCAAAATAAAATCTAATTTTCCAACAAAGGAGATGAACTTGATTTATTCATGAAAATAAAATATATATATATATATGCATTACTTGTATGTATCTCCTGACTGCAAATACATGTGAGAGTCACAAACACACAAATTCGAGATATAAAAAATGTACATATATAGTTTGAGGTTTAAACCCAATCCCCTAATCGCCTTGTACGTCAAATTTCTTATTTATATTAAATATATCTTGTTTAATAATTTGGAGGAAAAATAGTTTCACTTTTAATATATACTCTTTTCTGCCTCCCTTGAATTAAACATTATAATTATAAAACACCTTATGACAAAAGCATGCTTTTGTTATCTTCCTTTTTTTCCACGGCTTGTCTCTCCTCTATATATGTATGTTCCCGAGCCAACATGTCATAACAAATTTTTATCAAGTACACTGATCTTCTTTAAGCCATCTTTACTTCACCTTCACTCTCTTTTATAAATATGGAGAATACCTCTGTGTTTCACATACTAACTCTCCAAGCTTCTTGTAAGTTGTTTTACAACAACAGAAATAAATGTGTAAGTGAATCCCAATCAAACTCAGTTGGTAATTTATTTATGATATTTTTTGTATATATCATATATACGAATGGTTTTATCTATGTTAAGTTGGTGTATGTATTGTATATAAGTTTTAAACATGTCTTGCTCTACTACGTTAATTGTTTCTTTCTTTTTCTTTTCTAAGGATTAAGGACGTGGGATGGTAATGTCGAATAAATTGAAAGAACTTAACTATCTCTTTAATTTGATTTACAATGCACATGTAACTCTAGTCAACAAATTGTAAATAAATAAATGAATCAAAAAAACTTTGCTAATGTAATTTTTTGGAGTAACATCTTTATCTTTCAAGAAAATTTAGAAACGGATAATTATGTTGGTAAAATCAAACGGGAACCAAATATGAAGAACATATCTTGAGTATAGTGTATACATCAATATAACAATTTTTAAAAAACTACAACAGAATAGTTGTCCATTCATACAAGGATTAATGGTCTCACGTTATATATGTAAATTTAGGGATGCATATACATTCATACATATTTGCAATAATGTAACAAGAATCATGGAGAGCAAATACCATACTTTATAGGGATGCATATACATTCATACATGCATACATACATGTCTGCAATAATGTAACAAGAATCATTGAGAACAAATAATACTTTATAGGTTTTTATTATGTACAAAACCTCCATGATCCGGGAAATAACTCCATGTTTTTCCCATTCCATCTTAATTATAAACCTGTTTCCACCATCATCATCTACACATCACTAATGCATGTGCATGCATGTTTCATATATATTCATATTGCATCTTCTTCACTTTGATCACTATTTCCAGAGATCAATCTGACAACTCGAAGAAGTAGAAGCAGCATGAGCATTTGCATACTCTTCTCCCATTTCAACAACCCTTTCGGAATCATTCTCCAGAAAATTCATTCCATCATCTTCCACTTGAAAAGCATTGTCCCCCGCGTCGATCTTGGTGTTGTTTTGATGAGTAGAAGTAGAACCCGCGGCTGCAGCCTCCTCGTTGCTTAGCTGTGAAGCAACAAACTTATCAAGAACTCTCCAATCGGTAGTCACTTGTTCCAGTCCTTGATCGTAATATGGAGAGCTATAACTTTTATTCCCTTGTTTCAGTTCCCCATGAGAGATATTTGATGATTGTTGCAAGCTACCAATATTCCTTTCGTTATTACCGTTGTTGCTTGATCCATAAGGTAGAGAGATGCAATTGCTGTTAGGGCTTTCAAGCTGGGGAAGCTGGAGGAACATAGACTCATGAACATGGTGATTTTGTTGTTGATGTTGTACCATATGATTGTAATGTAGCTCGAGCTCTTGTTTGCATCGCAAGTTAGAGTTGTTGTTGAGTGCATAAGCTGAAGACGCATTGAAACCATAAGGCATTAATGGCTGCGAATGATGGTGGCGATTATAATGATGAGTATGATTAGGAAAAATCCGCCGGGGAGAGTTGGCATCAAGCTCGGATGCCATGCAAGAGAGCTGATCATCGTACCAATGTGATGGCGAAGAATCGTAATCTCCCATTTTCCTCACTGTCGCCGCCAATCTCTTCTTGAAAACCCTACATACCGCCCATCCTTCTTCCTACATAAATATATATCAATTAAATAAGATCACATTTACGACATCAAATGCACACACTTTTCCATCACTTGTACATGGAACATGTATAAAAAATTTCCTTATATAATTGAAAGACCATGTTGATTGTAGTGAACAATGAAATTTAAATTCGGATATGGTGACAAGTTTTGCGTAATAACATCACATGTAAGCTATGTGTGATTGTAATCAACTTTAGCAAGCATTTTTGGACAAAAAAGGAACAACGGTTCTCATTTTTTTTTTTATCATATTTTGAGTCACATGTGTACAAAAACGTTTACATGTTTATGAAAGTTTAACAATGTACGTACTTTGGATATATTGTATCGGACATAGAAGCTATGTGTTTAATGTGAATTTCTCAAATACGTTTTTAGAATTATCCTAAAAAATATGTATTTTGTAGGAAATTTTCTTAATATTCTTATACAAGTAAACTATATATGAGGTAAAGATGTGTTTGGATCAATATATATACCTGAGGGGTTCCATTTTCATTTGTTTCTAAGCGATACTCGTGCATGATCCAGTCCGATTTCTGTCCATTTGGGGCCCTTCCTTTGTAAAACACAAGTGTCTTCCTCATACCGACAAGACTATGTCTTAAGTAGATAGCCTTGTCTCTTCCGGTGGCTTTCCAGAATCCTGCTTTCGTCGCTCTATTGGTTCGAGTTCCCGTGGGATACTTCTTGTCTTTATGGCTAAAGAAGTACCATTCACTTTGCTCTTCGTTTCCTATTTTGCATAACTCTATATTTTCTCAAAAAAGAAGAACAACAATCGTAAAGATCAACGTCCTTGATGATACATATCACTAAAGAGAAATGAAAATTTCTTGCCAAACCTTGAAGATCCCATGGCTCAATCTTGTAAAGATCAACGTCCTTGATGAAATCGATTTCTATTTTCTTTGATGCAACTTTTTTCCTTAGGTAGTAGTCTACAAGTTCTTCATCAGTCGGATGAAATCTGAAGCCAGGAGGTACATTTGAATACGAATCCATATCCTGCTTGTGATATGAAAACATTGACTATTACATTTTGGATCATGAAAGTAAAATTTAAGATTGCTGCTATATATACGTTTTAATATATGATCTAGTGCAGTGACTGATCGTTTCATAAATTTAACTTTGCCAAAAACTAAATAGGGTTATCTCTCGGGTTGATAAACATATTACAATATAATTCTAATTTATACACAATATATTAGACATTCATGTGTATAGTATTTCTTAGCTAACTAAGTTGTGATTACAAGCTTATGCCTATATTTTGTATTGCAATAAAAGTATTTATACATCATATCTTATGACAAATGAAAAAAAAAAAAGAATTGTCCAATTAAGCCCAATGAATGGGTTTAGATTCATGACAATCTTGAAGATGGAAGAGGAATAAATAAAACAATTATTAGTTTCCTATGATAGTAGGGTGAATAAGCTCTCCCATATTATTAATCTTGCAAATATAGTCCATATACCCTAAATACTGATAATTGCATTTAAGTATCAGTAAATAAAGTCAAGGCCGCGAGGAGGTTGATTATCTAGATTATCAATAAAAACATATCTTAGGGAGAAAAAAATCATCTGCTTTCGTGTATTTGGGGTTTTGGGTACTCCGAAACATATCCCACGAGTCTCTTAAGGATGATATTTTGCTTAGCTTGTAACATCAGCAACATTGAGTAGGATAAGAGGACGATATATGATGATGATTATTATCATAATCATGATACTGACTCAAAAAGTAACAAGTTTCAAGAAAGAAAAAACGGTAGCTAACTAACTAGAAAAGCCCCAAAAACATAGAGATAAAGAGATGATAAAAGATGGAGTAGAAACTTCAAATGAAGTTAGGGTCTATACCTCAACAAAATCGAAAACAGGTAGATTCAACTCAAAACCTTCAAAAATCTCTGGATTTGAGTTATTGTATGTGAATAGATTCTATTGAACCTTCCTCTTGTACTTGCAAAGATCGAACACTTCATGAAATACTCTATAGAGTTGAACCTAGAAAGGGATAGTGAGAGATAAGAAGGAGAGATATAACCCTAAAGGAGATTTTATTCAAATGGAAAAGATTTGACAGTTATCATCGGAAATAGCCACCGGAAAGAGATCGGATCCCAAGAGATATTAAGGAAGAGAGAAAGAGAGGGTGGGAAAAGAGAAGGAGAGTAGGGTTAAATAAAGAACATCAGATGATGATGAAAAAGAAGGAGGAGAAAGAGAGAGAAGACACAAGCA